GCCCCCCCCCCCCCCCCCCCCCCCCCCCCCCCCCCCCCCCCCCCCCCCCCCCCCCCCCCCCCGCCCGTGGTCATCTACCGGAATGGACCGTGCCTATTCAGAACCGGTGAAGACTCTCACATCTCAAAGAAAGGCGGCCCTGCCAGGACCATGGTTAGTCGGTCAGCGGACGAGGATCATGTCTTGTTCAGCCCCGAGGTGTCGCGCGGTCCATGGCAGTTTTTACCCCAATGAGTAAAAATGAGGCGGCAGACCGATACACCAAGCACTTTAGCGGAAGGCAACTAGGCGGCCGGGGTGTAGCTCACGGGATCCGCGTTGCGCTGATACGACGACATCGCGTTGGTAGCCCCTCGATAAGGCGACATTCCTGTCGCAGGCTCGAAAGGATTGGGCGTGCCTCTTGCATCTCGACGCAGTCAGATCATGGCTGCATACAGCAAGGATGACAGTTTCGGAGAGTGAGATGTCGATCAAGCCCCATTCAAGTTGGTTCCAGCCAGCCCGACTCGGATGCGAACGGCTTCGAGGCGCCAATACCCACAGGGCAGGGTAGCCGAGCCGCGGGCTTGTGAGCAGCCATGGGACTGGGAATCGGTTGGTGGCGTAGGACGAAGCCATGCCATAGGAGTCGTCTTGAGGTTGCCGGTCAGTCGGTAAGACCGGCCCGCATCTTCTGAGGCTCGACGGCTTGATGACTTCCACATGGCTTGATAGGTAGGTATGTAGGTAGGTAGCTAGTGACGTACGTCTAAGTCCGTATCAGTGGTTGGGGAGGCCATTACTAAATGCATGCAGAAGCCCACATGTGTGTTGCCTCGCTCCAGTCAGAGATGCTGAAAAGAGGCGCAGGGTAGGTCGAGTGTTGAAGTGTAAATTGTGCAAGGTAGTCGTGCGCATGAGTCTGCTAGGGACATAAGGGCGACGAGTACTGTACCTTCCGTCTCTTCCCCGACAATACGTATACATGAGAGTAGGATGAAAGGTATTGCATATAGATCCATGCAGTATGACGCCAAAACAGTGCGGCATGATTTAGTTTGACCCTATATCTGTACATAGTTGGGGTACGACACATCAAGAAGTAAGAGGTGGAAGGTTTCCATTATGAGTTGATGCGTCTGCTCTCCCGGCATTTAATCGAGCCCTCCTTGAATTTTGCTGATGTACGGTATACGGTACACGGACCCCACGCGGGTCACGGGCAGCCCAGGTCGCGGTCGGGTGCAGCATTCCTCTGGAAAAACGGCCGCCCGAGGGTGTAGGTCCTCGAGGGGACCGGCCGTGGAGGATTAACCGCCAATGCAGGGAAGGAGATCGGCTTGGGGGAGACACATCTGACCCTGCCTGCATCCAGTCGGCTAAAACTCGGCGAGGGATCTAGATGTACCTCCTTAGTCGTATGTACTGCGATACGTAAAGTTGTATAGTGAAGGTACATCTATACCTGCTAGGTGTTTTTGATGGCGGACAAGGAGTTGCGCGTGGGTTCCAAGATTCAATTCGTCCGGGGCCGCTCAGCCGTTCCCCGGAACTAATGAAGGGGCCGAAATGACATGGAAGAAAAGAACCTGGAAGGATGATCGCTGCGAGCCAGTAGTGGAAAAGGTGGAAACTGGCAAGTTCCATCCAAGGCCGTGAATTCATTTCCCGAAAAGGGCCTGAGCGCGGAGCTGTTGGTCACGCTTTGGTGCAAAGTTGGGCTGTGGAACAAATACGGATTACACTAGAAGGCAGATTGCAACCTTCCAAGGTCGCCCTAGGGTTCATAGCTGCTATTGCCGTTGGTCAGGTACCATGGTGGTTATCATACCTGCATAGGTACATACTTCCAGGTTTCCATCCATACCAACCTACCTCCCTCCGGGTACATCCTTGAAACGCAGCCATCCCCACACACATCCAGCTCTTCCTCAGGGTGCTCACTAACACCCGCGATTCGTCCAGTGTCGTGGTTTCAGGGGCTAGCCTACTCACCCATCCACTCGGCTGCTCCCCTTGGATGGGCGCCCCAACTGTCGGACGTTCCGACCGCAACTAGTGCGGTGTTTAGCCTCGCATTTGCTCCGCCGACCAGCCGTGGTCGAGAGAACCTGTCACTTGTTGGAGGTTGCGTATCGGCATGTATCGGCACTTGGCAGGTAAGACTCGGAAGTTGGGACAACATGACGGGGCGCCACTTCCATACCGACGGCTCTTGTGTTTGAAGCGCCGCACCGCAGTGTTCGTGGTCATGCTCCGCGGATGCTGCATGACATGCATGCGCCCATCAAGCACCGATGTTGCACCTTCACTGCATCGCACTGCACCACATCCCATTGCATCGTAGGCGGGGCCATCCCGACGAAGAAGAAGAAGAGCCGCAAACAAACCGCGGACTTGCTTGGAGGCACACGCACACACGCACCCTTCACCGAGAATTTGATTTCGTGGGTTCCCCAACCCCCTAAAAGTTGAGCCGGCCAGTTTGCGGGAGTCGGGGCTCAGGAGTCGATAAACCGTGCGTAAGCCTGTTGGGACTGAGATTGTCGTAATTATTACGCAGAACCCGCCGTGCCCGCTCAGAAATTCTGAACAAGGGACGGGACAAAGAACACATGATTAAATTCGTATGCAGCGCCGACGATGTTCAGGGGGAGTTGACCCAGAAAATTTGAGACCCCGGTTGGGGCGACGTCTGGTACTGGTAGGTACTTTGCACATCAATTTTGCGGTGAATCAGTGACTCCCTGGTCGGTACCGGCTTCCGGCACTCATTGCGCTAGGCCCAGGCCCAGCTGCGTGGGAGAGCGATTTTATGCTATGTATGCGTATGTGAGGTTGGGAGATCAGCTTCTGGAAGCGAGACCGGGGTTGGCTAGTCTTGCTCAATTTTGTTTGCCAGATTGCAGGAGGTGATCGGCGTGCGCACATTGTGTTTCTCGTTGAGGCTGTCCCGTGCTCAGCGATCATGGCTTGCAGCCAGGTCTGTTGAAATCGCGAATCGGAAAGGCAGCGTCAGGGTGAGTTACGCAGTATAGGCCCGTTGCGGTTACAACGGATGCGTGACTTCGGTGACTTGTCTCCCACAGTCACAGAGTCCCGATGCGACGATGCCAAGAGCGATGCAACATTTGCTCCCAAATCGATCACCCATGCCACATGGTCTGGACAGGGACCAGCCCTGAATTACGTCCCTTCCCCAGCGACGCCAGAGTAAGGCGCACCTCCGGTTGGCCTGAGCTACCCCAACTAGTCTAGCAAAGTTTCGCTGGCGTGGGATATGAGGTGGCTAGACAAGGACAGGGCGTGTTCCAAATAGTGTGAGCTCTGCTCGGATACAGAGGAAGCGTAAGCTAGAGTGGTGGTGCCCACAATCGAAGTTTTCCCCTGGCGGTCTGTCTCACAGTGGGTTCCGATCGTCGCTTTAGTTGGTGGTTTGGTTATGTGGCGCCGGAACCATGACCATGGGATGGCGAAAAGCCCGATGCGCGGTCAAGACAGAGCCCTCCGCTGTCATTGGGTGAACCCCAATTGTCAACCTCAAAACAGCCCATGCAGGCAGGAGGTGGGGTGTGCGCAGATGGTTGCCGGCAAACTGGTTGAGGGCTGGGGTTAATTTACCAGCTTGCTGGGCTCCAACTGCAGTGCGTGCCTGAGGTGGGTACTCTGGCTGACATGTACCCCAGTACCCAGGTACTTGCCGCGTCGCGGTTTGGGGGGCCTGGTTGGATCATGGATGGGATGGGATGACACAACGTACGAAAGTCGGATGGATACCTGGTAGACAGTGGCTTCGTTGAGATGTGAGCCTGATGATTAATTACACAACTCTCGGTGGCACAGTGAGCGGCGCGAATCGTCACGACACACCAAGGCGACAAGGCGACCAAGCGGACCAGTGCCGATCCTATGGATAACAACCTGTCCGACGACCTGGAGTCGAGAGGTGAGATGCATGCGAGGCGGGCGGTGGCACTTGGTGGGGGCTGCTGTCCCCTCAAGCCATCTGCGCAATCTGAGCAGCCTGATCAGCAATTTCGCAGCTGGCCAGCCTTGGTTTCATGTCTCCATGTTGCACAAGGAACCGCTTCCAGTCGTTCCTACTGGTTCTTGCCAGCCGCGCGATGCCTGCTGCTCTCATGTCCCCATGTTCCTAGTCCCTTTTCTAAGATCCCCTTTCTCTACCTTCCATTTCTCCCTCCCCTTTTCCGTGTTTTTCTTGCCTCTTTATGAACCAGAATGTGCCGTCGTACTTCTGTGTCGTTAGCTTCCCTGTCGTCCTTTTCACCGCCTTCAACCCATGTGCCCCCCTTGGCAATCTGATCCACCCGTTCCAAGTTCTGCCTGGTACATACAGGAAGTAGCGCGACCGGGGTGCCGGTTCCGGAAATGTAGGTACCTCGCCGTAGAGCAAAATGGAAGTTGACCTCCAGCTCCCCCGTGAGGTGGTTAGATTAGGGTACGTCGGTTGGTGGTTCAGTCGGTACATGCCTAGGTACCCAGGTATGCCCGTTTCCTTTCCCCGGATGTAAACGGGAGGCCCTGGTCGGATTATACCACCTATTCCACACTTTATTGCAATTCTTGCACGGAGATCCAATCTCGATCACGGGTTAAGGAGCGCACAGCTGGGATACTCTCAATTTGTGTACCCACAGAGGTACCTACCTACCTAGGTACCTGCCCGGATGCTCGCGCCACCCAATTTGGCTGTGGGTCTAAAAGCCGCTTGGGCGATTAGGGAGGACTTGTAGCGCCTAGTCACGTGTCGTCGGTGGAAACTAAGCGTATGAATAGCCCGATTGGCAACGGCCCCCTGCTAGACAGTAATTCCACCTTTGGTAACCTACGCATGTAACCAAGGATAACACAGATTCGCCAGCCCACAGCGCTCAACAACATCCGCACATCCCAAGAAAACGGCACCGTCTGGCCTCCCCTGTCTTCGCACACCCGGGCACATCCCTGTTACCTGTCCTGGCGCATGCTGGATGACATAGCTGCCGTATTATTATTATATTTCCCACCTCCAGACAGTCCAAAGTAGAACTACATGTGTCCCTCGCGCTCCACACCTGTAGTCACATCCCTGGAACTTGGGGCAACGGCCCAAGTTAAGAGTCGAGCCAGACTCGGGGGGTTCATGGCGCCACCATGGTTGGTTATGCACGCCCGGGATCCTCTCCACGGCCATCGTCGTATCCTCAATTGGCCATGCTTTTGTTACCTGAACAGACCTAGTGCTCTTCAGGATGATCGACTTTTCTCCTTGTCTTGATGTCAAGGTCTATTCCCGTCACCGCCGTTTCGCAGCCAGGTGACCAGCTTCAGCCCCTTCCGCATCTGTCTCTCATCCATTTTCGGTTTGTGCCGTGCCATAGCACGGTTCCTCCATAATTCTCTAGATCTTGGTTCCTACTTATCCTTCCACCTCCCCGTTGCCGGCGCCACGTTGGAACGGCGACCAGACTTTCTTGCTTTTTCTACCTGTTTTACTTTTTTATGTTACATCATCTCACACGCTTCTTCTAGTCGTGTTAGTCCTCCTCCCTCCCCCCACGGACTCTTCCACAGGCCGTCTCTCAGTTGGCCCTTGGCTTCTTAGACATTCCCTTTTGCCTCTCTTGCCTCTCTTGCCTCATGTGCACCGTTGAGCAAGGACAAGGTTTTATACTCTTCAGGCATAACTCAACCCGTCACAACCTTGGCAGACAGCGTGTCAAAGGCTCTGATATCTATATCCAACTCTCTCTCTGTCTCTGTGCCCTGGCCTAGCTCAGCTCTGCTGGTTAACCCCAGAGCCCGGTCTCACCTAGTGTGCTGAGTGTCATATCGAGTCGTCTTCCTTGAAGGATACGCCAACCGCACAGGTCGACATCATGATGAAGAGGAAGGGATACGGGACCGGGTCCAGCAAGGTCCGAGGTCAGACCTCGGACAAACGTCTGCCACCATTCCCCAAGAGACAATTGCTCATCCTCGGTGCGTCATTCCCCTGGGGGGCCCGTCTGACCAACATCTTGCCCTGGCAGGCTATGGCAGTCGTACTATCATGGATTTTCCTAACGCTTCTCTAGCTCTGTGTCGGATATGCGAGCCAATTGCCTTCATGTCCATCTTCCCTTACATCTACTACATGGTCAAGGACTTCAACATCACTGAGGACGAGAACAAAATCTCGTTCTACGCCGGCATGGTGACATCTGCTTTCACCTTCGCCGAGTTCTCGACTGGTGTGATGTGGGGCAAGCTGAGCGATAAAATCGGCCGGAAGCCTGTTCTTCTGACAGGGCTTGCCGGGACCGGCTTGAGCGTGCTGATGTTCGGGTTTTCCCCGAACCTGCCCGTGGCCCTATTCGCAAGGGCCCTCGGTGGCCTTCTCAACGGGTATGTACCCTCCTTAGCATTCGTCATTTATTGCTAGGTATGCAGGACTGAGCTCTAGACTGACGACTCGCGCTTCAGGAACATGGGAGTCTTGCAGACAACAGTCGCCGAGCTGATCACTGTCAAGGAACACCAGCGTGAGTTGACAATAGCCTTGACTTCTGCCAAATCCGGCTCGTTTTCTGACTAGTCACTCAGCACGCGCATATACGATTATGCCTTTGGTTTGGTGTCTCGGGTAAGTCTGCAGAAGATGGACGCGCCTTTTGTAGTACTGGAATTGACTGGAGTAGGTCAATCATTGGGCCAATGATTGGCGGTGCAATGGCCAAGCCGGTCGATGCGTTCCCATCCTTCTTCCTGCCTGGTTCAGTGTGGGATCGGTTTCCATATCTGCTTCCGAACCTGTTCAGTGCCGTCTGCGTTTTCTGCGGAGTTATCATTGGCCTTCTTTTCCTGGAGGAGACTCACGCGGAGAAGAAGCACCGGCGCGATCGTGGAGTCGAGCTGGGAAACCGCCTTCTTTCCTGCATTCCATGGACCAACCGCAGCTCGAGCCAGCCGAAGAGCGCCGAGGAGGAAGCCCTGCTTGAACCAGAGGAGCAACTTCCGGGGTACCGAACGACAGAAAACTCACCACGCCTCGTATCCGTGCCATCCAGCTCGAACCCTGTGGAGCCGTTGAACTTGGAAGCCACGGAACTGAGGCCTTCTGTTGACCTCGAACGGAAGCTGGCGACCAAGACCTTCACCCGTCCCGTTATTTTGAACACCGTGTCGTTCGGGATTCTTGCGTTGTAAGTTGGTCTTGACGAGACTTGACAGCAGTTAAAACCACCCACCCAGCTAACATGATCCCAGTCATACAATGACCTTCGACCAACTGTTCCCCGTCTTCTTGAGCACAGATCCCCCTGCGCATCGGGAGCCGCCCAAGCTGCCGTTCAAGTTCGTCGACGGTTTTGGATTCGACACACAGTCCATTGGGGTCATCCTCGCAGTTCAAGGAGTTTACTCGATGCTTTCAACGTGCTTCCTGTTTCCTTGGGTCGCTCGGCGCCTCGGGGCTCTCCAACTCTTCAGGCTGCTTGCCGTCTCGTACTTTTTGCTGTACTTGATGACTCCTTATCTGGTGCTTCTCCCGCCGCATTTGCAGATGGTTGGCATCTACATCATAGTTATCTGGAAATGCACGTTTTCGACCCTGGCCTACCCGAGCAACGCCATCCTCCTGACCAATTCTGCGCCATCTCTCTTGTCCCTCGGGACGATTAATGGAGTGGCAGCATCAACGGCCAGCTTGAGCCGCGCCTTTGGTCCCACAATTTCCGGGTTGCTCTATTCGCTAGGTTTGCAGGCAGGCTACTCGGGCCTTGCGTGGTGGACAGCCGGCCTCGTGACGATCGGAGGCGCTTTTATCAGCTTCCAGCTTACCGAACCCAGAGGAAGGCTAGACGAGAAGACCGATGATATCGAGTCGAGTATTGCCGGCACCGAGACCCCTTCGACTTTTTCGCCGGAGCAAGACGAGTCAGGAAGACGATAATAGAGCCGAGCTGTTTCAACGGACGATCTTTGACGACGGTTACACAATAAGGGAATAAATAAAACAAAAATGGAAACAACAGAAAAAAAATGCTTAGGAGAGACGGGCATTTTCTCCTTGGGTTGCGTTACCTCCGGGCTATACACGCATTTGGGACTTGGGTTTGCGCGGGTCAACATCACCACATCATGACGGATAGACCAAGGGTTTCTTGAGCGGAGCTACACTGACGATGCATAGCCGACGCAGTGCAGTGCAGCAGGCCGCTATGAGTTGGGCCTTTTTTTTTTTTTTGGCTTTCTTTTGGATTGTTTGGTTGCGATCGTATCGAGTTGCATCGATATCCAGGTACCCACTCAAGCTCAGGTTGGAAAGGGCATTCATTGTATGATGGGCATGCCGCCGCATTTCTCGGGATCGATATACCACGGAGTGAAGGAGTCGGATCAAGACGGAAAGGAAGACTGGGCCTCAACACTCAAGAAATTACGAGACGGGCAACCTCTGGTTATTTCTTTTCATTTTTATCTCTCAAGTTTGGATTTTGTTTCCTTCTGCATTTGTCTCTACCACGCAGGCGCAGACGATGATACCTACTTCAGTTATAAACACTTGTAATGCTTTGGGGCTCAACCATAATAGACACGAGGAATGACAGATTATTTCTTTATATATAGGTGCCTGGGCGCATGCCTATAGAGTAGAAGCCATAATGATTTAGAAGTGGGACTTGTCGATTTGAGGAATTCGCGATCGATGATTCGCCCATATGCCTTATCTTATCATCCCAATCGCAAGGAAGAGGAGGCTCAGCCATCATAAGCCCCGGACCCCACACCCCCCCCCCCCCCCCCCCGCGTTTGACGCTGAACCCCATAAAATTCGACCTGGGAACATTCTCGAGCTGTCGCCCTATGACACAGCTTTGTTGTCTCTCTCCCTCTAAAAAGCTTCTCGAGATATTTTCCACGGCTTCCCGCAACGATTGAAGTTGTGCGCCGACAAGTATGGGGAGCAGAGACTCTAGTTCCACGAGTCAGCGCAGTCGCTGATAACCAAGTCGCCTCTCGCCCTACCCACTGGCTGCGCAACCGACCACTGAGACACAGAGGCCACCAGCAAATCTCTCCGGGTCCGCGCCTCGGAACCCCGGAACAATGGACACGCATGCGCCGAGCCTCCGCCCGTCGAAACGCCTCCGACACTCTTCTCCGGGCAAGGAATCGTCCGCCTCACCGTCCGCTGGTGCGGCCAGTTCTCCTCCCGGCGAACTGCTCCTCCCGGACACCGCGAGCAATACTGGTGGTCACGGTGGGGTTAAGGCCGGCCAGGGCAACAGCTTCCGAAATGTGAGCGCATGCAATCGCTGCCGGTTGCGTAAAAACCGCTGCGATCAGAAGCTGCCAAGCTGCGCCAGCTGCGAGAAGGCCAACGTTGCCTGTGTCGGCTACGACCCCATTACTAGGAGGGAGATCCCACGAAGGTTAGCCCACGCCGCGCCTTCTACCATTTACTACTGAACCGCCGTATTGTCAGACTAATGCGGGTTTAGCTACGTATTTTATCTTGAGACCCGGGTTGGACAGCTCGAAGCCCTTCTAGGATCGCATAACATACCTTTCCCTGCGGCTGAGAATCTCGAGTACTGCTCCAGACCCGGCAATGATTCCAGCACTGTCAGGTCACCTACCGAGGCAGGCCATTCTTCCCACTCAGACACCATAGACGGCCAGAATAATGGAGACGATGCGAGCAGACTCCATAAACTGGCTGGCAGGTCTGGCCTCTCAGCAACCGCTGCAGCCGCCAATCCCCGTCACCTAGGTTCTATACCGGGGGTCTCGTTCGCGCGCGTGGTGCTCGCTGCTGTGCAGTCGTCGGTGTCCGATCAGAAGTCCAATTCGGACAATAACGGTGTCCGCCCGTATAAGCCCGGAGGCACCGGCACGTCGATGCGGGATTCCTTCTTCGGGTTACATACGAAACCAACGATCCACCCGGCCACGTTTCCGGACAAGCCCCTCGGCCTGAAGCTGGCCATGCTGTACTTCGAGCACGCCAATCCCCAGATTCCCGTCCTCCACAAGGGCGAGTTCCACCAGATGTTTGAGCAAGCGTATGCCGAGGAAGGTAGTAGGGTGCGCGGCCCGAAGGAGCTGTACATGTTAAATATGGTATTCGCAATAGGCGGCGGCATAATAATGGGTGATTCGGCCAAGGGCGATACCTCGGCCTCGAGATCATCTTCTGGCGACTCTGGTTCTTGGCAGTGCCAACCTGAAGAGTACCACGCAAGTGCTATTGTCCACCTCGAAGCTTGCCTGAGTAACAGTGGGGGAGGCCTTGCAGAGCTACAAGCCGTTTTGCTCTTGGCCAACTTTGCTCTGCTTAGGCCGGTTCCGCCTGGGTTGTGGTGAGTGCTCCCTGTAAGAGGGCCAAAGGCGTTGTTGTCCGTATGCTGATCGTTCCAGGTACATTGTCGGCGTCGCTATAAGACTAGCTGTGGACTTGGGCCTACATTGTGAGGAAGTTGAAAGTGATCTAGGCGATCTCGCAACTCAACAGAACTACTCCCGAGAACGAGGGCGGCGCGAGTATACGCGGGACGTGAGACGCCGTCTGTGGTGGTGTACTTACTCTTTGGACCGCCTTGTCAGCACATGCGTTGGCCGACCGTTTGGTATATCCGACCAGGTCATTACGACAGAATTTCCTTCGTTGCTGGAGGATCGATATATCACACAAGCGGGCTTCCTGGAACGGCCGCCTGATATCGCCGAACCGACGTACAAGCTCGTTGCCCACCACTACTTCCGTCTCAGGCTTCTTCAGTCCGAAATCCTTCAGGTTCTTCAGTATCAGCAGACGCAGGTCGCCCGAGCCGGAGGCCAAAATCAGCGAAACTCCTACATGCACACGCATCTGCCGTCGCCATTCCTATCCATGCATGACTCGTTTAGATCGTGGCGAATCGATATCGACCGGAGGCTCTACGAGTGGAAGACGTCAGCCCCGAAGAAGAGGGAGACAGGCGTTGCCTTCTCCGTCGAGTTCTTGGATCTCAATTACTGGCAAACGATCATCATGCTCTATCGCCAGAGCCTCAGTGTCCCGGCCGTGTTTGAAGGAGAGTACCACACTGCGAAGGAGGTCAATAGCCCGGCGGTCCACAATATCGAGTTACGTGAGGACGAGGATAGGGTGTATCTTAAGGTCGCGGAAGCTGGCCAGAAGATTCTACGTCTGTATCGGCAGCTGCACCTCGTGGGCCTGGTCAACTATACGTATCTGGCTACGCATCATCTCTTTACCGCAGGCATATCGTATCTTTACGCCATCTGGCACTCTCCTATTGTCAGGAGCCGTCTGGTAAGTAAACCATTATTATCCAATGAAGGCTTGATACTGACTGGCGGCAGTTAATGGACGAGGTTGACTTCACGATACTAGCAGCCACTTCGGTACTCAGCGATCTGACTGAAAAGTGTCCGCCAGCGGAGACCTGCCGAGATGCCTTCGAGCGGACCGCAAAAGCCACAATCCGGATGGTGAACAATACCGGCGGCTTCGGGCAACTCGGTCAACCCGTGCAAAGTCAGACCCCTGCCGACCACCGATCTGACTGGGGTTCTCGGGATGAGTCAGCCCCAACAATCAGTAAATTCAACAGACATCAGCCTAGATCCTGTCTCGACCACCTATCACAAAGCAGACAACCCCAGTTCGATGCGACGCCAGACGGGGCTGCTCCTTCTCAGAGGCGCAACGCCGAGTCCCCGGCAACCCCAGACGCGACAGCCACTGCCGACACCACCACCACCTCCCTGATGCCGTCCCCAACAGCAGCAGCAGCAGCAGCAGCAGCAGCAGCAGCGCAACAGAAACGGGCGACGGCGCGCTCCCTGCACCCGGGCTCGTCAGCCGCCCTGCCGCGCCTAGCCCCTGCCGTTCTTCAGCAAGGCGGCAGCACCTCGACCACCCCGTCCGCCACCGGCACTTCCACAACAACAACGACGACGACGGCCGGGATGCCGAACCCCTTTGCGGCGCAGGAGCAACATTCCTCCGCCAGCGTCCTCAGCCCCGGGACCGTGAACCTCGGCGACCTCCAGGGGATGGACTTCCTCCAGAGCCTGGGGGTAGGAGGAGGAGGGGGAGGAGGAGGAAGCGCCGCGGAAGCCGGCCCCGGGTCCGGCGGACTTGGCGGCGGCGGCGGCATGGACGCGCAGATGCAGATGGGCGGCCTCAACTTTGGCGGCCTTGGCTGGGAGGGCGGCTTCGGCGACGGGCAGCAGTTCGACCTGTTTGACGGGTTCTTCTTTGGCGGCGACCAGCGCGGCGGCGGCGGCGCCGGTAGCGGGACCGGGCCGGGAGGCGTCCTGTGAAAAATGACATCTTTTATTTGGAGGGAAGGCTGCGGGGAGCAGAACTGGAGCCGCCTGGTGGGTGGGTTTATTCAAGTATAGAACTATTGGTTCGGAATCCCGGCCGCGCATACGGGGCACATTGTCCCGGGAAGGAATGCTTGGTGGCTTGGTGTTTGCGAGATATATATACCCATGGCAGATGCTGTTTCGAGTGGCTGTAAGACTCCAGTTGCCCAAGCCTACCGAACAAACAGTCTTCTAGTCTTTCTATCGAAGGCAGTTTTAGAACATGCGTCTAATAGCAGGGGAGTCGCCTCAAGTCTAAGTGCTGTTCTTCTCCATACTCCTTCCTATACGCCTGTTTCTACCAACTCCCCAATAAGGAAGAAGAAAACAACCATCTATCTATACAACAAACGCAGTCTCATGCGATTCGCTAGGTGAATCAGTAAGTCAATACATTCCCGCTCCGTGTCGATCCCACACTTAGCACCACAATCACTCAGTTCGCACGGCCGCGTAAGAAGAATTAGCACTTAACCCTCCTTTACCGACCCAACGCCCTGCTTGTCCCCAGAGGCGGCGAATTTAGTTCACCTGAAGCCAACCCCACGCCTGGCCACCGAGGCTCCACCCCGGTGGCGGCGGCGGCGGGACTTGGACCGCGTTCGGTGGTTGTCCGGGTTGGTGGTCGTTGAGGAGCGGTTGGGCCGGTTGGACCGGCTGGGGCCAGGGCTTGAGCATGTCGTAGAGCCGAAAGAAGATGGCCGTCCCGATGGCCTAGATCGTCCGGCAGATCCTCTGGAGCAGGTGGACGGCCATCATGGGCAATCTGGCGAGGGCGGGAAGAAGGGTGAAGAGGGTCGCGAGGAAGAAGCAGAGGCCCGCGCACAGGACCTGCCATATTGCCCAGATCGGGGAGCCGAGACCGGGGAGGATGAACTTGAGCCACTCGTTTATCTGGTACTGGTCTTCCTGGCGGCCGATCCGGTAGCGGGTCACCGGGACCATCGGGGCGCCGCCATCTTGGTTGTCGCCTTGCCCGTTGTTGTTGCCGTTGACGCTGGCCCCGGACTGCTGTTGATACTGGTGCAGGTGCAAAACCGAGACAAGGCGGACGTTGGCGACATAGAAGGGGATGAACCAGATGGCGAAGCGCTGCGATATGGTGACATACATGATGTTATTGGTCCGGTCGAAGGCTGCGGTTGGCAACGGCAGAAGAGGGTTAGTCAGTCTTTCAGGGGTTGCTTGTGGATTTGGAAATGTGTGGAAGACACCAAGGGATGAGTTGCAGTGTGAATAAATGGGAGCAAGGGGAAGCTGGCGGCTGGCTATACCTGAGGATTCAATCGCGAGGTGGACGATCGGGCTCATCATACGATACCATCGGTAGATCGCCGAGATGACCATGCGAGAATTGATTACTCCCAAGACGGGGAGGGTGCGAGAAAAACTAGGCACTCGAACAAAGGGGTGAACAAAAGAAGCGTCCTCGAGGAAGAAGTTGCTGAGGGTAGTTAGCTGCTGCTGTTGCGTCCCATATGTCAGACTATAGATGACGGCAGGGATCTCAGTAGCTATCAGAGAAGCAGGTGGTGTCAGCAAAGTATCAGGACAGTCTTCAGGATCAATTTGGAACGTCGAGTCTCACCTGGATTCTCCATGGCTGCCAGTTCGTCAATGTTCAAACGTTGAAAGCTGTCCTCGGAGTTTCTGATCTGCAAAGGGTGTCTGGAGGCTTGACGTATCAATGTATCCAATAGACCCGACGGGATAGGAACGGCCAGCAGTCGGATGGGTGGCTAATTGGTTATTGTTTACCTAGTCAAGAGCGAAAGTCGAATAACCTTTGTGTTTTTTGCTCTAGTGAGCGAGCACCTATATGCGCAGTCCCGTGTAAGTCGGCGTTTTGGGTTGGAGTGATGTCATTGTGCTTGGCAGGGACGGACAGAAACGTAAACGTCGATTGCCTTTCTCAGTAGGACCATTCGCAGCGGATTGTGCACTTCAGGGTGCTTGCAGGAGCTCCCTGCCACCTGCCACCTGCATGCAACGACCTGCACGGCCGGAAACCTTGCAGCCGCAGAAGGCCTTATCTGGCATTGAAGTATGTAAATGCCTTCGGTCTGGACAGATTCGCCATACTCCTGGCCAGAACAACATTCCCATCAGTCCTCTCAAACCCGCACCAAGCTTTACCAAAGCCCGCAGGTAAAATCCTGAAGTAATTCCTGGAGGAAGTCCAGATCCAAAATCCCCAGGCTCCCATGTCCAAGCGCGTCCCACACCCGCCACGCATCGCACAAACCGCGGCTACTCCAGTATCCCATGACGCCAAGTCTACCTGTACAGCCCCATATGATACTCCCAAATCAACGATTCAAACGTCGCCCATCGACCCTTCAAGAATGAGATAAGACGAAACCCTGAAAACCCACGAGGTTTGCACCTCCATCGCCCCTACCCCTTACCTCCTCCTACTCCCACTCGACCGTCGCACCCGCGCTTCCTCGTCCCGGTACCCGCTGGGCCTCCTACTCCGATGCCTCCTCGGCGGTGTATTATCCTCGATAACGACCACCTCATCATCATCATCGTCGTCCACAACGACCCTCGGCGGCGGCGGGGCCGACGGCCTGCTTGCGCCGCGCGCCCTCGTCGTCTCCTCCACCAGCACCTCCCTGACCCCAGGCTCCGCGACGACGAACGGTCTCCGGGTGGTCCTCACCTCAATCGTCTCCCCGCCGGAACCCCGACGATGATGGCGCCGGCCATGGCTGTGCCCGCGGCGGTGCTCGCCCCTATCGGGTCGGCGCAGGCGGCCCGTCAGCACCGACCCCGTCGTCGTCCCGACGCTCACGCTGGACGTGTCCATGTCCGCCGGCCGGCCCAGGTTGACGCACCACCAGACGATCCACATGAGCAGCATGAAGCCGCCCACCGAGCCCAGCGTGATCCCCACCACCGTGCCCGGGTCCGGCCCCGACCGCAGCGACCCGTACCCCGACGGTATCGTCGACATGGTGTGCGCCGGCGCCGCGTCCGCCTGGCGCCCGACCACCCGCGTCGCGCCTGGGTCTAGGACGACCACCCGTGTCGCGACTGCTTCGGCTTGCGACGCCTGGGATTGGGGGTCTGGATTGTCGGAGTGCGAGCGCGGAATCAGGTCTTCGGATGTTGGTGGTGTTGCTGTTTCGAGCAGCGAGCGCGGTCCTGGTATCGGCGCAGGCGCGGGCGCGAGGCGCCGCCGGAATAGCGTGGGCGGCATCGCGCCAATTTGATTCCGACAGTGGCTAGGTGTGTCCAATTGCCCTTATTATTCCCAATCCTCTGTGTGGCAGGTTTTCGATGATGCCGACGATGGGGCTGACGTTCTTGTGTGATTGTGGGCGGCGGTGCTGGTTTCCCAACTGAAGCTGACCGTTGCAATGTGGTGAGCTAGTATAACGCAGTAGAGCAACTGCGTGATATTGACCTGCGTCGCGAGACGTGATGCCGTTCGGAGAAACAGCAGTCGAGGTTGAATCGCATATATACAGCGCAGGAAACTCTAGGTTAGAAACAATTACAAGGGAGATGAGCGAGGGAGAAGCGAGTGACGATGACGAATTACCCTCCAACAACATGGGAGAACAAGGACAGGTAGAACAGCATGGAAGATTGGGTGGGCAACATCACCAACCAAACTGATTGGGCGAAGAGCGGGGCCGAGAAACGCGAGGTCTGACAGGGGTACTTTATCTTGTGGCTGGGCCCGACAGGCAACTAACAAGGATCTGTCGATCAACCAGCGACAATACCCGGTCCAGGACGAACCCCTCCTGTTTTTCCAACCCTCCCGTAGGCTCCTTGGTTGGCATAGGAAAGCCACACCATATTGGACCGTCTTAAGGAAGCCACAATACCTGGTTACTCCAGCATTTTGTTTTCTGTTTTCTTCGTCTGAAAAAGACGAAGCGGGGTAGCCCATCCTTCCCCGATGATAGTCCCCAACTCCCTACTACCCACCATAGGTAGGTAGATAAATAAAGCCACAAAAGAGTACGGGTAGGTAACTGCCCCCCGGTTACCTCCCCGTACTCTTTGTATCTCGAGATATACATCCCCCATATCATACAAAACCCCTGAGTCCCCGGATGCCGCCCGGTTTCTTGTCCTTCTTGTCCGGTTTCTCTTCTTTCTTGCTTCCGTCTTTACGGTCCTTGCGGGCCGCATTCTGAGCGCCTCCTGTTTACGTCGTCAATACGTCGATCCTAGTGAAACTTGTGATGGTGTTTTTACTTGCCTCTGCCATGGTATCTCTCACTCTGAGGGCTCGTCCGGGCAGCAGGGATTGGATCAGAGGGTCCGGAAGTTGGCGGAGTCGACGGCCCGAGGAAGGCAACCCCAGCACCTGCTGAGGTCGATACTGGCTCGAGCGGCGGTGTCGCTCTGTACGACGCCGCTTCGAACGCCTCAGGATCAGAGAACCCGCGGTGGGGTCTGCCCCTAGTCACCCCCGAGCTCTCGGCAATTCGGGTGACATCGGCATTTGGGCCAACTTGCATATCCAAAAGGGAAGACTGGAGAAGAGTGTACTTTCTCATCAGCATGCTGAACTGTTTCTGCATCTCCGCCTGCTTGGCTCGGCTGGCGGCAAGGGCACTCTCGAACACGACGCTAGCATTGCTGTCTCGGGTGCTCTGACGACCCTCGATATCTTGTGCCAGCTGTTTGTTGAGGGCCGCGATCTGCGACTCGTAAGCGTCCTTGGCCTGCTTCAATTGGTTCTCCTGTGTCGCCAGTTTGATCGAGAGCATCTCCGCTCTGGCATCTGCCTCGGTGCCTTCTTGGATTGCACTTTGCATCTGCGCCTCCTTGCCTTGATATCGGCGTTCGGAGGTTGACAATCGTGCTATCTCAGCCCGCAGCCTCGCAAGCTCCTCGGCGGTTATATCCATAGCCTCGGAGTCCTGTTTCGACTTCAGCCTAGCTTCTTCGGCGTCTAGGATGAGCTTCCGTAGACTTTCGCATTCGTCACGAGCGCCTTCCAAGTCGTGCTTCAGAACCGACTGCTCGGCTATCCACCTCTTCTGCTCTTCCCGAAGTGTCTTCAACTTGGCCGTTAGATCCGCCTCCCACTTACTGCTCATCTTTCGGCGAATGTCCGACTCCTTCTTGACCTGCAACTCGGCCTTCTTGGCCTCTTCCAGCCGGTGCTTCATGTTTCGGTTCACCATGATCAGGTTTTGGGTCTCGGCTTCGGTTGCAGCCTCCCGAACCTGTCTCCGACGCAGCTCTCCAACGTAACCGATGTGCTGCTGCTTCATGTAACGCTCGAAGTTGAGATCGATCTGCAAGATGAGATTCTGACGGTGGAGCAGTGCCACCTGGCTTCTCATCTCAAGCAAATCCGGCGAGTTCACAGGCTGCGAAAGGGATTGCAGTTGTAAAAATTGCCTTTCCGGGTTGGCATCTTGGTGACTCAAGGCCAATGACACGACACTATCATTGGCATGCGATTGATGAAGTCCAGACTTGATAACCTTATTCGAGTGCATCATGTCCTGCAACTGTGTGTTCGACGACGAGGTGGCCAATTGCGGAGGAAGAGTAGGGCTGTCACTTCCTATCTCACGGGGCCTGTTCTCCACAGATTCTCCTGTTGACAGGTGGCTAGATTGGGAGCTTCTGCGCATAACGTCCGAACTGCCTATTCTTCCGCCGATTGACGATCCTACACCCGAAATATTTCGTCGCAGATGGCCCGACTGAGAATCGTCCGCCGAAGGTGCTTCCCCGACTGATCTGCTCAGTAAGGGAGGGTCCAGACTGTCCTTGTCAGCCGCCTCATTCGGCAACGGACTGGCGAATCCTGGATCCGGGGTGGCATTGTGGTGGGGATCTGTACTGGCATCCCAGTCCGTGCAAAGAGCCATGCATTCGACGACTACCTCCGCAGCCTCGCTCTTGATCCACCGGCTGAGATCCGTCTTCTCGGACTCTATTGTTAAGCTGTAGAAGTTGGGATGCAGGGTATGGCGCTGCCTGAATCGCTCCGACCGGTCCCGTATCTCCGTCGCCTGCACATCAATGTCATCATCATTGTTCGCATGGCGCAGGTATCTCTGTGGTTTCCTGATATAATCGACAAAGTTGATCGGATATAATCCGTAAAGGATGGTGAAGTACTGTGAAAGGTAGGGGATCGAGTTGCCATCCAAATCGTGATCGAAGAAGGACTTTTCCCAAACTACACCAACTCCAGTGGGAGGTGGGCTCTCTGGCCCCCACCCGGTGTGTTCCTGGGCAAATGACCTGTCCCGATCCCAGAAGAGGAGACGGGCATAGATGTTGAACAGTGTTGGGAGGAATGGGACGAGGGAACTAGGCATGTTGGGTAACAGGAGACTGAGACTGGCTAGGGCGAGGGAGACTGTTGACGTAGAGTCATCATGCTGGAGAGACTGCAGAAGGGTTCCAAAGAGCGGGGTCTGGAGAATCAGATGGAGGTGAGGGGGTTCGCTCTGGATGAACTGGCATAGCAAATGCAGCGAGCGGTTACGGTACTCTCTCTTGACGAAGAAGCCATCTAACGCCGTCATGAAACTCTGACAAGTTGTTAGCAATCTCGGCAACAACAGCCATCTTCACGGCCAACCATCATCACACTCGCCTTTGGATCTTTCTTGCCAAATGCAGTCAATGCCTCTCGAACCACGGTCTCGTTCAACTCAATCAGAGAGTTGCCGCCGAGCTGAGCCATCTCGTGTAGCTGCATCCATCTCCTCAGGAGACGATCAACAAACACATTCGGCCCACCGTCGTTTGAGCTGGCAAATTCCTCCTCTTCAAAGGCCAAGAGCTGATGAATGTTGATGAGGGCCTCCTTAGCTAAGCCTCTCTCATGGCTCATAGTCTCTAGAACCGGCTCTATGAGCCGATCCCACCATTGCACCACTCTCGCTGACGTACGTATCGCCGGCCTCAAGGGCCGCAGGAGGACAAGAAAGGCGGCATATTTTTTGGGACGGTCGGCCACATATTTTTGATATATCGATATCAGCTCGTTGTTCAGGCGCTCGGAAGCAGAGTCGTCGAGTCTGTCGTGCTTTTCGAGGTAGGCTGTGATAACCTCGTTGAGGTCGTCTGGAAGTGGTAGTTGCGGCGACTGAACGAAGGCAGTAATAGCCTTAGATAGATCTTTAAGGGAGCTAGACAAGTAGTTAGCATTTTGACCGACACCACTGTACAGAAGTCCTGGACCATGACTACAGTCCAGAGCAAGAGCGAGAAGTGTCGAGTACATACGCAGACGCAGCCATCTTGTTTTCTTAGGAAAGAACCCAACATGCAGTTGAGACCTGCTGCAATGGGAGCTACCACGAGTAATTGTTGTTACCCACCAATCAGGCTACCTCTACACATTGGAGACCTGAGTTCCACAGCGGCTCTCAAGTTCGGATTTGGGAGGTTGAGCTTCTTCGTTATGGAATGGAAGTAGCTCCATCACTCTCGTCGCAAAACATGTGACCGAGCTCTACCATAGCATGGATCCGTCGCATTAGTACCTCATAGAGGGAAGGCGCTATGCCACTATGGTACTAGCTTTTTTACCCCGCACTGCAACCCACCTGACGGAGCTGTTCAGGGGCCTTGGACAGCCTCCCGCGCGCCCCTCACGTGGGGAAGTCTCGATCTGCCCCAGGCAGGTGTCGAAGAGGACAGACAAGTTAGGCGTCTTACCGATACCTTGCTTAGCACCCAACTCTTACCGCTGCCAATTGACTCTTCACATTCGCAACTCAATCCTCTGTCTCTGAGCCCATTTGCGGATATCCACTCGTCCAGCTATTACACCACTTTCTTCATCCCATCAGCTATTCAAGATGGCTGCGAAGGCGTCTGCAGTGGCGGACCAGGAGCCCATCGATGTCCTGTTCGCCCTGCATCCCAAGTTCAATCTTGTTGACTTTGCCGGCCCATTGGAGGTTCTGGCTTATGCCCAGCATGACCTCAAGGATCCGTGTAAGTGGAATCAGCTGATGGGTCTTTGAGTTATATTGTCACCCTCGGAATGCATGCCAAAATACATGCCATTGCAGAAGCTGACCGCAACTTGCCTGCCAATCCTACAGCTACCAAGGCATTCGAAATCACGCTTGCCAGTGGCGAGCCTAAGGTTCTTTCCGGGCAAGGCGTCATCGTCCACTCGCAGATCTCATGGAAAGAAGCCCACGAGCGACTTTCCGACTTCGACGTGCTCGTCGTCCTCGGGGGCAACGTTGAGCCCATCCTGACATCGAAGGCCGAACCTCTCGACCTCATAGCCGCATTCGCCGAGATCCAGAAGGCAGACCCATCTCGCGAGCGGACCCTCCTGTCCATCTGCACGGGCTCCCACTTCCTTGCCCAGCAAGGCCTCCTCGCCGGCCTGTCAGCGACGACCCACCCCGATTCCCTCACCAGGTTCGAGATCCTCTGCAGCCAGGCCGCCACACTCAACTTGGATGAGAGAACCGACGTTATCGAGGATGCTCGGTACGTCGTCAACAACCTGCGCTTCGACCTCGGCGATGAGGATGAGAATCCGTACATCCGCCGCAAGTCGGATGCCCGCCGCCCTTCTAATGCTCGGTAAGTGATAAGTGACTCCTAATTTGGGTTGCCACGGCCTATTTTCTGACGACGACATGCAGAAAGGGTTCCATGTCCTGGAAGGGTTCCAACACGCGCCGCGAGTCCATCGCCCGTCGCGCGGCGATGCGTCTCGGTGGTCTGCGTGTCATCACGAGTGGGGGGGTTGCCGCTGGCCTAGATGCCGCCTTGTACCTGGTTAGCGTTATGGTTTCTGAGGAATCGGCTCTCGAGATCGCTCGAGTCATGCAGTTGACCTGGACCAAGGGAATTGTCGTCGATGGCCTGGATGTTTAAGTTGGGTGGATTGAGTCCCCAGACATATCGGGTTGATGAGGAGAGATAACTCATATGGCATGCCGGATCGAAATATGTTATATCAACAGGGAAAAGAGTAGTTAGACCCTTTTTACTCCAAGTGCTGCCCAGAATAAATTGCTTGCTCAAAATGGTTCACTTCGTCTGTCAGCTGGGTGTGACCTCCGAGGAATAAACCAATTGCCACCTGGCATCAGCTGCCAGCCCCGATTAAGAATCTAACTTGAGCCGGAAAACTCGTGTCAACGGCTACCACACGATAACCCGTCCGGATTCCAGAACTCGACAATTGCGTGTGGCTGGAGACAGAATCTTCGACGCGGCAATGGCAGCAGTAATCGCCGAGGCTGCGGCCCAGTTACGGCCAAACTTCGTCCGGGGACAGAAGAAGCTCTACCTGTGAGTCGCGCCGGCGCGTTGGTGAGCGGCCGAAATTTGTCTTCCGTAACTCACCCCAAGGAATCTTGCAGACCGAACCATGTCATCACCTTCATCCGGCCGAGGCCCAAGCAGTCGCCCACACTGGCAACCTTCATGGTGCCTTTGGCGTTCAACAAGCTCGACCTGCGCGACTATCTCTGGCACGCCTACAACGTCAAGGTCCTCTCCATGCGGTCCTACGTCAGCCAGCAGCTCACGGAGAAGAGGAACGGCATGAAGGGCCAGACATACCGGCCGCGCGCGAACAAAGTGATGATTGCCGAGCTGGAGAAGCCGTTTGTGTGGCCCAAGGCGCCCGAGGGGGAGGCCCTCCAGGAGTTTGACAACTTCATCTGGAAGAGGGTGGAGGCTGCGAAGAAGGACAATCTGCGGAGCCACGAGGACAGGGGCGTCGGCAACTTGCGGACCCGGACGGAGCGCCCGACGGACCCGGATAGGAAGAAGCTGGCGGAACTGGCTAGGGCGCTGGTCGACGGGAAGGACGTGTGGAAGAATAATACGGAGCTGGATGAGCGGTGGGTGGAGATTGAGAAGGACGAATCCAAGAAGAGCCAATGAGGCACTTCTGTATACTATTGTTTTGTTTGATGGTGTCGTGTGGATGTTGGATGTAAGATGCGTGGAATAGGCACTAGCGAGGGAGGAGGGAAGGCTTTGACCCCCAATGCTACGATAAAATGACTGGATACCCGTGTTGGGAGGTTATCACGTCTGGCAGTAAAGGCTGGGTATATCTACCACCCATCTCATACATCTGCCCAATTGCCACCATGCTGGAAGTGAAGAGCCTCGTCACCCCAGCTCCACCAGCCCGCCGTCAAATTCCGTGCGAAGACCTCCAACCCAAGATATCCGGGCCGGAAGACCTCGGCGAACACTCCCCGAAGGTTTGGCTTGCGTGAATGAATATCTGGCACCGCAACGATCACCTTCCTAGGGTTTGGCGTCTTTATGGAACTTCCCAACCTCCTGGCGATCAACAGTCGCTCCCATGGCTTCCTCCACGCAGAGTCGACGGGGTAGATGGGCTCCCCCTTGGTGGTGACTTTAAGCCACGTCCACTCGTCTACCAGCTCAAGCCCCCATTCGGCGAAGATCCCTCCGGTAGACGTTAGAAGCTCCGCGAACCGCGGCGCATTGGTCACCCACACTGCCACAAGACCGTCGGTGGATAGATGGGAACGGACAGGGATGAGCGATAACAATTCCCTCACCGCGTCCAGGCCGTCGGCCGTGGCGTAGTTATTCTTCTTCCTCCTGGCAGAGCGATTCGGCCACGGCGGATCCAGAATCATCAGATCGAACAAGACATCCTGCGAGATGAGGGCTGCTCTTTGCGATTGGACGGTACCAAGTAGGAATTGCGCCTCCTTGGGTATGTATACCTGGTCGGCTACAGGCGAGACTTGCTTGTCCTCAGGGAAAGGGGCGCATCTCTTAGTCCCTGATGAGCAATCCTCAGATACTTCGGCTTCTGGCATAAGGCGGGGCAGACACCATGGCCCGTGGTATCCATGATGCACTTCATCCAGAGCACTATTCACGGCAGCAAGGGTCATCAGCTCGGCCACTTGTGCCGAGGGGGTCGAGGCGGTTTGGGTCAGCTGGCCATGCTTGGGTTCCGGGGTCTGAAAGGGAGTCTCGGGGGGCTTGGTCGAGATCAGCCTCCTCAGAGGAGTCGTCCCAGACTGGAGCTCGCCTGGCAAAAGCTGTGCTTCTTCGAGCGTCCTCGGCACATCAAGCAATACCACTGTATGACTCTCGTTTTGGAAGAGGACTGATGCCGGGGACATTGAATTCTGTCCGGTGCCAATCCACGGGGGGTCTAATTGGTTATCACGAGTTCTTCCCTAACCGGACGAGCCCGTTAGTAGCGCTCGGACGGGGGAATGAAAATCAAATCCGGGGGCGTTGAGTGGAGGCTCGGCAATCCTCGGCTCGGCGACCGGGACACAGGCTTTTCTCCAAAGCGGCATTGCAACCAAATGACGTCCTTCTCTCTTCCGCTTTTTTTTCCCTTTTAGACTTTTAGACTCAAGTGATTGCCCACTACTCTCCACGCACACGATCGTTTTTTTCAGACCCCTGTTTCCGAACCCATCAAGGTTGTCGAGTCTCGTCGGCTGCTCCTTTGCCCAAGCTCATGTTCCTCTAAGCGAAGCCATTTCGCTTTTCCGACGGAGGTCGAGTCCGTCGGCAAGGTGATGCCCTCGGCTCTCATGAGCTATGAGTCTATGTCGGAGGTAGCTCAACACCAATCGCGGGAGGGCGGCGATTCCCTGCGCAAAGGGACGACGGGGAGAGTAGCCAGGGAGCCCGCGATCTGCCCGACAGACGATGAAGCGATAGCACCGCGCAAGAAGCCCGTCGACAAACGCAGCGTCGACTACCTTTGGAGGACTGGTGTGGCCGGTGGCGTTGCTGGTTGTGCTGTAGGTTCCACCGCGAAGTTCTCTAGACGTGGCAATTGTGCTCACCCTCTCAAAAGGCCAAAACCGTTGTTGCCCCTCTCGACCGAGTAAAGATCCTATTCCAAGCGAGTAACCCACAATTTGTCAAGTACGCAGGATCCTGGGCAGGTGTGGCCACCGCCATCACCGATATATACCGACAAGATGGACCGACGGGCTTGTTTCGCGGGCACTCGGCGACGCTACTCAGGATATTCCCGTACGCTGCGATCAAGTTCCTTGCATACGAACAGATTCGGGCGGTTGTCATCCATCGGAAAGACCACGAGACACCTTTCCGCCGCCTCATAAGCGGCTCCCTCGCTGGGGTCACGTCCGTCTTCTTCACATACCCACTAGAATTAATCAGGGTCCGTCTTGCATTCGAGACCAAGGCCGAAGGCAGGTCATCCCTGCGGTCGATATGCAGTGACATCTACCATGAACACCTGGCAAGGAAACCTATTGTGCCGAAGATGCAGAGCGGCCCAGCAGCAATGCGGAATGTGGCTACGGCCGCTGCCGCCACCGTCGATACAATTGCTCCTCGGTCTGGACTGGTGAACTTCTACAGAGGCTTCTCACCCACTCTTCTTGGCATGCTTCCATATGCGGGCATGTCCTTTTTGACACACGACACTATGGGCGATCTACTTCGCCATCCGAGCATAGCAGAATGGACCACTCTCCCAAAACCCGAGCATGCGCCGGCTGGAAAGGCCGCCCCGCTCCGATCATGGGCCGAGCTGTTGGCTGGTGGCATTGCGGGGCTCGTCTCCCAAAGTTGCTCATATCCGCTCGAGGTGATCCGGAGGAGGATGCAAGTCGGCGGCGCTGTTGGGGATGGGCATCGGCTCCGTATTGGAGAGACGGCTAGGCTCATCATGAGAGATCGTGGCGTGAAAGGGTTCTTCGTCGGGCTCACGATCGGGTACGCAAAAGTCATACCAATGGTGGCTGTGAGCTTTTACACATACGAGCGCACAAAGATCTGGCTAGGGGTTTAGACATGATCATGGGTTCGGCGTTGGGTGGTTTCTGGACATGGCCGGTATAGCATACGCTTTAGAGAGTATATGGATATAGGATGCCTCAAATGGCTTGTTTTGTATATACATGAGTAGCGTAGGTCCATAACAATATCAGAGTGAGCTGGCGTAACCATTCTACAACCCTTTTTCCATTTCCACAAAGGAAGCCGGGCCTCACCGACATTCCCAAAACGCGACCACGTGATCAAAATCAATTGGGTCGCGTCTGGCGCGTGCCGGCGCGTCGCATCGGCAGAGGCCGAAATAAATCTCAATGTCCACAGTGGGACAAAGGGAAGGAAGGCGGCCGAGACAGTTACTTCGAGCGAAACGATGACAACAGGCCCCGGGACTCCAAAAGGCCGAAAACGAAGCCGATCGCAAGCAAATGATGGAGACACACCTCGCGTAGCATCTGGAAAGAAGTCCCGACTGATCACCGAGCCCTCATCAACCACACCGCAAACGCGCGACTCAGTCAGCTCGGCAATCTCTGGGCCGCTCAACTACGGACGCCGTATTGCTTCTGCAAGGAGTGTCCGTCATGGCAAGAAAGATGAATCGGTCAATCAGGCTTGGGAAATTCCAGATTCCGAGGACGAACGACGGCCTACGGGCTCCCTGTCAAAGAAGGAACAGCTCAGCAGAAGGGTAGTAAGCTCCTCCGCTGGCAACAAGTCCGACAATCTCTACGATTTTCCCGGTTCTGGAGATGAGCTCTCTACCTCGGCGGCCGACAAAACCAAGGCCGGCAAGAACTCGGGAGAATTGCGCCCTGATGGCGTTCCCGCGCTGAGCGGTTCTGTACAAAAGAAAAGAGGCCGGCCAAGGAAAAGCGAAGCACAGAAGTCAGCTCAGGCTCCTCAGGAGGATGCCAGCCTAGAGGGAACTCCGTCAAAACAGCGGTCTGGTCGGAGACCCGCACAAGCTGGTGCAAATGGGACTATACCTGGCAACGATGCGGAGGCTTCTGGCCAGGAGGTAGCTGAGAAGTTTGGCTCGCTGACGTCGTCTAATCGCCGGAAAGGGGGCCGTCAGGAAGCTGGCGAGTCTCGTCCAGAACCGCCGAAGCTCAAGGGCATCCTAACTCCCAGGAAGAAAAAGGTGGAGGACCGCGGACGGAAGAGCGTTGCATTCGAAGGTGGAAAAGGGAGGGATGAGACCGAGGTCTACTTTGAAGACTTGCCATCAAAGGCCGTCAAACCCTCTGCCGTGTCTGCCCGCAAATCAGCTGCTATCCAGCCAGTTGAGGATGAAGGGCTGGATGCCGAGGCCGCGGAAGATGACGATGAGGTGTGTGCTATCTGTAGCAAGCCAGATTCGACTCCCCCGAACGAGATTCTCTTCTGTGATGGTTGCGACATGGCCGTTCACCAGGATTGCTACGGCGTACCCACCATACCGGAAGGAGATTGGCTGTGCCGGGATTGTTCGCAAGACGGCGCGGTTGGTTCGCTCGATGCAGGCTCGAAAAAGAAGTCTGATCCCGTTGCGAGGACCGAGGAACAAACCCCTGACATCCCCAACTTTGAACAACATTTGCGATCCATGCAGCGAGTTCTCCTAGACCGTTGTACGGGACGACGACGAATAAAGCTTCGGGGGCAGGACGAAGCATATGACAAAGCCCTGCAGCTTATCGAACAGACCATTGTGTCTGGCGAGGGAAATTCGATGCTCGTGATTGGGGCACGGGGGTCTGGCAAGACTACGGTAGGTGCACTCGCTCTCGAGGGTGAACTCTACTAACAGGGGCTGTAGCTGGTCGAGTCCATCGTCTCTGCGATGTCGCATGAGCACAAAGACGAGTTCCACGTAGTGAGACTGAGCGGATTCATTCATACGGATGACAAGCTCGCTTTAAAAGAAATATGGCGGCAGCTTGGGAAGGAGATGGAGGTGGAAGATGACCTCATAAATAGGGTAGGCCCCGTCTTGGTACTACATAACTCGTCTCCAACTTCTGTCTGACAAGCGCGAAGACCAACAACTATGCAGACACTCTGGCCTCGCTTCTGGCGCTGTTATCTCACCCTTCGGAGATCGCCGAGACTCAGGCCGGCGTCACGTCGAAATCTGTCGTCTTCATCATCGACGAATTCGAACTCTTCGCTACGCACGCCCGTCAGACGCTTCTTTACAATCTCTTCGATATTGCTCAAGCCAAGAAGGCGCCTATTGCCGTGCTCGGGCTAACCACTAGGATTGACGTTGTGGAAAGTCTCGAGAAGAGAGTCAAGAGTCGTTTCAGCCACAGATACGTCTACCTCTCGTTGCCGAAGAGCCTTCCGGCCTACTGGGACATCTGTCGACAAGGCCTCGTAGTTGAGGAAGAAGATCTAGAAGAAGAACGCATCGATGGCAGCTTGGAAGGCTCAAGCAAGTTCTTGGAGTGGTGGACCAAGCGGATCGAGGTGAGCCCAACAGAAGAATGCGTGACAACCTACTCCTCCTAACGACCTGCCAGGCCCTGCACAAAGAACCTACCTTCCAAGATCTTCTGGAATATCACTTTTGCACTACGAAGTCGGCCGCCGCCTTCCTGGCCACCTGCATCCTCCCGCTATCTTCACTCTCACCCACCTCCCTATCCCTCAGGGCCCACTTCACCAGCGGCGCTCCCACAACGGTCGGAGGCCCAGACTCCAAGCTGCACCTCCTCGAGTCCCTGTCGGACCTCGACCTGTCGCTGCTCATCGCGGCGGCGCGGCTGGACATTGTGGCCCACACGGACACGGTCAACTTCGCCATGGCGTACGACGAGTACACGACGCTGGTCGGCCGGCAGAGGGTGCAGTCGGCCAGCTCGGGTCTGCTCGCGCTGGGCGGCGGCGCGAGGGTGTGGGGCCGAGGGGCCGCGGGCGTCGCTTGGGAGCGGCTCGCCACGCTCGGCCTGCTGGTGCCGGCGGGGATGGCTGGGAGAGTGGGGGGCGCCTCGGGGGGTGGCGGGCTGGAGGCCAGGATGTGGAAGGTCGACGTCGCGCTGGAGGAGATCCCCGCCTCGGTCAGGCTGAATGCTGTGCTGGCGAGGTGGTGCAGGGAGATATGAGATGTGGAGGGAAGATGGTGGTGCCGGGGTTCCGAGATGGAACCCCCCCCTTTTGTCTGTCTCGGTCTCCTCTTCCCCTTCAAAGTAGGCAACGTTGACATATATGTATTCCGATTGCCGAGAGATCAGGCAAGCTAATTTAAACCCCAACTGCGCGCATAAAGCTGCGTCATTCTTATAGCATGATGTCAAGGGCTGTTTTGTTTGGCGGTCAGAATGACGTGCAGGCGACTATGTGGTGGTGATGTTGGGGTCTGTCTTATAGCTAGCTATACCGTAACGTTGCCTCTTGCCACGACCGTCCGCCTCCTGAGATAACCCGCCGTTGTGGGAGGTAGGGGGGGTAGGGGGGGTTTCTACAACCCCCTGAAGCTAAGAAGGTGAGGCGTCGTGAGAAACGGGACAGGCCTGCTGGTTATTAATGCGTTTTCGCGGGAGATCATCAGTGCTTCTCCAGGTTTTGAGGCTCTGGTCTTCTTGGCATTGCAGTTTGGATGGTAGGTGATGCAGGTCGAGTTTTCTATCCAGGTATCAATGGGATAGACGACAACATCATACCATGTGGCCAATGACTATTAATAATCCCAAATCACTGTCAACATATATCGCGTGTTGAAGTCCTTTCGCTGGTATAAGGACCTCTTCCGCGGCAGCCGCTCCCTCCCTACACATCAGAGACCTGGGGGGACATTGGGTTCGCAAACCCCATCGTGATCACGCATCAGATTGGTCTTGACAACTGCCGCCTCTTAGGCACTGCCTAGGCTTCCAACAATTTAAGTTGACATAGTACGCAGTCGTCAGCATCTATTTGCCAGCCCTTGGCTCTCTGACGGACACTTCGCCCGGCCCATGTGGTCCGTCTGGCGATGTTGTTAGCCACCAAGAAGGTCGCCTTCTTTGATCAGGGCCGGGTCTAGAACCGTCGCCACGCGTCTTGGCAATGCCGAGACAGCCAAGCGCCGCGATACGAATTGTCGGGCCGCAAATAAAGAGCATCGCTAGGAAAACCCAACGCGGGCCTCGGGCGTCCTGAGGGGGCCCGGGCAAGAAGAGTACCTGGAGTCCAAAGTCGCGGCTACTCACTATAGCGAAGCCTCGGCCATTATATGGCAGAAAGCGGTTGCATGAGAAAGGTCTGGGCCCGCGGTAGAACGCGGGGGGCTAGATGGGGGGGGGAGGGTGGGAATTTGGGTGGCCTTAATCCACGCATCATATAGACATATATCTGGGCGACGCAGGCCAAGAGTAATTCATCCACGCGTGTGAACTCGTCCGCAGATCATGTTCTGGACCTTTGGCGAGAGCCTTGGGGTTGGCGCAAGGGAGGAACATACTGGAGATTACAACAGAAGTCCAAGCCCGTTTGTTCTTGTCCAGACGCTTGTAATTGGTTGTCGGTATACGGCGATTTGCAGGTCGCATGCCGAGCATGTCGTCCAAGACTTCTTGTCATCAACATGGACGATTATCTCCCTTTCTCGGCTGAATCGGTAGGTGCCATGCCATAGGTCTACCAGTCCGGAAGACACTGCGTTGGAAAAAGAAAGGGAGAGAAAAGCCCCTAGTAATTCCCAACTGGTATTGTTCGCTTTTCGGGGGTGGGAGAAGATCGTAGTGAAACACTGCAACGTGTGATGGGGGTTGTACACACAGAGAACAGTCGCGAATACATACATACATACATACACATATATATATGTGCTTATATACATACATTCAGTGGTGAGGCGGTTAGGTAGGTATAGCAGCCGCCCCCCAGCCCACCACTCTGGCAATGCCGATTTTCGCTGACATTGTCGGTTCGATATTAGCTCAGTGACGAGTCCACACCCTTGGCATGAAACACGGTGTCCCTGCAGAGATGTAGACGGCGGCAGATGCGCCAAGACTTTCGCTTCCCATCAATTGTGCTGTCTCCAGGTAATTTTCCGTATGTGCCGGCGGGCTTCTCCGCATCGGCATTAATCAACTTTCGTTGAAGTTTACCACCCTGCTTCCAACTGGCAGCCGAGAAGACGATATGCCCTCTTGCCGTTTCGAGGCTTCCACTGAATTTTGACTTTGTCGTCACGCAGTTCCTCAGCCTTCCCTTTTCCCCATATTTTCTTTCTCCTTTTTCCCCTTTCTGTTCTCCTTCACCCCCAGCCCCCGCGCCCCATCTCTAGATTTCTGATCTATGTACGCAAAACGGGGCAGGATGGCTTCAACTATCGCGACATGTTGAATGTTGACCCTCGAGTTGCACAAACAACCTGCCGCATATCCCACTCACTGCCTTTGTAGAATGATGGGGAGAGCGATTACGATTGCCAAGAAAATCAACCAGATCATCGGATCTACACCCCCTCGATCCTGCCAGGGTAACTTATGGATTCGATGTCCGGTGTACCAATCGGAGGGCTTGCTTCATGCCTTTTGAATTTAGCCCCCTTCTCGTTTTAACGTCGCTCTAAATTGCCATCTATGTACGACAAACATGGTGCGCAGTAGCGTCAGCCTCTTTATCTTGACCACTTTGGATATTTGCTCTGTTGAGAGCTCCACCAAACATGAGCGCCTTTGTCGATTTTGCTCGCCTGTTCCCCCGCTGGCCGTATGCCTTTGGAGCCCAATGTGCCGCTGCCTCTCGATCGCCGGCGCAGGTAACATGAGAGGATGCTGTTGATATTCGTTCCATATTGTATCCCGAATTGCGTCCCCAACTCTTGCCAGCCCTGTCCACCCCCACATTCTGGCCAGTCTGTTATATATGTTCGCAGCCGGAAGCCTCCCGCTTGTACAAGTTGTACAAGCGCCCTTCATCCACGCTTCATGGTCCTTTCCAGCTGGTCGTGATGCTGTCCACTATCCGTTCCGCCTGGGTGGCTGCCCTTCTGGGCGCCACAACAGCAAGCGCTGCCTGCAGTGCGAACCTTTTGATTGACGACTTCTCCTCGTTCTCCAGCTCCACGAACAACCTGGGCTCTCCCGTTGGCGGTAGGTTTCTCGGGCGTGGTAGACTGCAGAGGGGCGTATTCTGACCGTGATTGCCAAGATGATGGGAGCATGGCCATTGTGACTTCGACTGCCCAAGGCGGAGGCTCTGTCACTCTAGTTCCCTCGACGCTCGATTCTTATCTCTACGAAACGCTCGAATGCATGGCGGCAAAGACAGAGGGCTATAGCGCCATTTCCTTCACCCTACAGGGCCCTGCGAACGGATCATTTGCGCTTGAATTGCAGACGAAGGCGGCCTGTACGGACGAAACCTTCCAGAGCTCTTACAGCGTCGTCCAGGGGATCTCGGGTATACTGCAGGAATTTACCCTACCCCTGGATTCATTCGAGGGGGAGGGGAACGGAGACGCTATCGTCGCCTTCGTCTGGTCGCAGTTCGCTTCAGATGCGGTTTCTGCGTGGACCATTGGAGACATTGAGCTTGTTTGCGATGCCATCGCCCAGCCTAGTGGTGAGAGACGAGCCCTGCCCCTAGCCATGTCTCTCGTCCGGTAGCAGACATTAACGAGTAATAATAGTTACAGCGAGCCCCCCGGCATCGACGCCGATTTCGCAACCCGCGTCGCAACCGACGACACCATCGGGCGAATGCCAGAATCTTCTCATTGATGATTGGATCTCGCAGTCCCGCTTGACCTTCCTCAACTACAACGCGATGCAGGAGGCCAGCAGCGACGATAACAGCATGCAATCCATCGTTGTAGATAGCAACCGCGTCATGCTTACCCCCAAGGACACCGATTCCTACTTTTACAGCCAGTTCGGCTGTCTCGATGTCGACACGACCTATGGAGGCATCTCCTTCCGGATCAGAGCTGCCGCTGCTACTTCTTTTACAGTGACGCTGACCTCGGTTGACGAGTGCGGGGGCAACGTCAGTGGACAGACGACACGAACTACGGCCCAACTCAGCTGGGCCTTTGACGGAACAGAACGGCTATACTGGTTCCCCTTCTCGGCGTTCCCGCGGGTTGACACTACGAAGCTCCAGATGATCTACTTCTCCACCTTCAACAAGCCCGCCATTTTTGGGCCAATGTCGTTCTACTGTGGCACCACCGCCTCGGATTACGTTCTCCCTGCACCTCCGCCCGAGTCCACGGCCGTGGTTACGGTCAGAGCGCCTTCCTCAACAGCCACACAATTTCTTGTGGACGGTTTTGGGAATGTGGACTCCAACGCTCTCGGACAGTGGCATGGGCCAGACGACGGCATGGTCGTGACCTTCGGGAAGAACAGCATGACGATCCGGACGAATGATTCCGACCTGGGCTGGAATACCCAGCTGGGCGAGGGGTGCGTTGACTTCCACACGTGGGAGAACTCTTACCTCCATGTGAGCTACACCGGCAGCAACAAGTTCTCAATTGCTCTTCAGCAGCACAACGAGCAGTGCAACGATGACATTGCGCCTTTCCCGGAGACATGGGACTCTATCGAGGCGGCCCGATACGCGACTGATACCGACATCTACGTCCCGATATCCCACTTCAACGTCAACCTCACGCGCGTTGTCGGTTTCGCCTTCAAGGGCTTCTACACCACACAGCCAACGACCTTCACCAAGGTCGAAGTCGTCGACTCGATCCCCTCCGACGCTAAGATCCCCAACAAGCTGCCATCCGGGAACCTGGTCTTCGCCTGCAAGCGGCCCAACTCGTTTGCCTTCGCCATTGACGACGGCGAGCCCGAGCTGGCGCAGGAGGTGATGGAGATCGTCAAGAGCGAGAACATCACCGTGACCTTCTTCACCGTCGGCCTGCCGCTGCTGGACCCGACGACGAACCTGTCCAACGTGTACCTGGACATGCAGAGGCGCGGCCACCAGATCGCCATGCACAGCTACACGCACCCCAAGATGGAGGGCCTCCCCGACACGGCGTCCATCGACTGGGAGTACAACAACGACATCGGCGCCGTCAAGCAGGTCTTCAACGGCATGCACACGCCCTACTTCCGGCCGCCATTCGGCACCGAGGGCGCACGTATGCGCCAGCGCCTCGTCGCCGCCCTCGGCGTAGACGACCCCTACATCATCCAGTGGAGCATCGACGTCGAGGACTGGCTGTGGGCCGAGACGGCCACGCCCCAGAAGCAGCTGGACGCCTTCAAGCGCGACCTGGCCAAGGGCGGAAATCTGGTCGTCATGCACTACCTGTACCCGACCACCGTCGCCTACCTGCGCCAGTTCATCCAGCTGGCCAAGGCGACGGGCAAGGATCTGATGAGGGTCGACCAGTGCATGATGGACCCGAACGCACCTCCTTTGTAGGCAGTGAGGGGTGGGGGGTGGGCAATCAATCGTCGGCGGGACGGCGTGTGCGTGTGTGTGCGCGTGCACTTTGTGTGTGCACTGGACTGATTGATTATTGCGGACCTTCTACTCAAGGAAGTCGAGGCTGCGGCTTGCGTCAAAAATAAAAATTTCTCTTATGTTACGAAATTATAATCAACCCTAAAAGGCCGCCTAGTTCGAGAATATCTGGATGAATTTCCCCGCCTATCCTTTCCCTCCGATGTAAGCATCCCCGGCCACTTTGGATCTAGAGAAGATATCGCAACCCCGTCACAACAGTTCCACCGCGCCTTCTATGCATTGCAAGTTATCACCACTTCATGGTCACGCTATACACTTTACCATGGCTAGCTAGCATTGGATGCTGTCTGTATACATAACTGGCACGCGAGCGCGCACCCTGACCACCACCCACCTTTATCCATAGCAAATCGTTCATTACTCTGACACACATCTATCGTCCTGCTTCCCAACTCCCAGACGCCGATGTGACCGCCACAAGTGTTATGCCGAGACCCCTCGAAAACTCACCCCTGGCCTAAAGCAGAGAGCAGAAAAAAGAAAAAATGTAGTGATGAGCATATCCATCCGGCCCATTCTCAGACCTCCTCGACGGCACAGTTGGGGTGGAGAACATAGACGATCTGGCCGCCCGCAACAGAGCTGCCCTCTCCGGTTCCCTCGTCGGCCATACCCTGGCCGCGGATCGCCATGAGGATGTTGTCCTAATCATTACAAGTTAGCCTCTGTGATCACGCGAGTCGGAGCAGTAAGGGGGGAGCAAATTGAAAAAAATAAAATAAAGGGCCAGGAACAAGAAAAAAGCTCACCTTGACCATCTTCTTCAACACCTTCCTCGCCAGCGCCATCTCGTTGTTGTAGTCCTCCTCGCCGTCGAGCTCGTCCTCCTTCTGCTCGAGGTACCACTGCACCAGGGCCTCGGCCTCGACCCCCTCCCCGCCGCCGGCCGACTCGTCCTCCGCCACGCGCGACACCATCATGTTGACGATGCCGATGTACTTGTCGTACGAGACGGTCTGCTTCTGCCGCGGCGCCGCTGCTGCTGCCGAAGCAGCCACCGACCCCTGCCGCTCGTCGCTCGCCTCCTGCTCCTCCTCCTCCTCCTCGTCCGCCATGGGCGAGTCCGCGTCGGCAACAGGACCGTCCGCTGCACCCACACCGGCGGCGCGATCAGCGGCGCGGCGGAGGGTGACACCGTCTTCGGGCGGCGCCGCCCCATCCTCATCGTCGTCGTCGACGTCAACGTCGTCGTGCTCGACCGAGATGATGCTCTGGCGCAGCAGGTTGTAGGCCTCGTTGACAAAGTCCGGGATGATCTCCTCGACGCAGTTGACCTTTGCGATGGCCTCGGACAGGCGGATCATGCTCTCGAGCTGGCGGACGGTGATGCGGTAGCTGTTCCTCCCGACGCCGCCCTGGGCGTCGTCGGCGCGCAGCTCCTTGTACCGGCGCACGAGCAGGTCCTTGGCCTCGTCGGTCAGTTCGGGGCGGAAGGTGCGCGCGAACCGGATGTACCGCTGCAGCTGCTCGGTGCTGAACTCGGGGGCCACGGCGGCGTCGCGCAGCTGGTGCACGCCGACAATGTGCTCGGCCAGGTGGCGGTCGACCTGCTCGTTGCACTCGTCGAGGATGACGAAGAAGAGGTCGAAGCGCGACATGATGGGCGCGCTCATGTTGATGTTGGCCCGCAGCGTCATCTTGCGGTTGTACCGCCCGCCCACGGGGTTCGCCGCCGCGAGGATCGACGTCCGCGCGTTGAGCGTCGCCTGGATGCCCGCCTTGGCGATCGAGATGGTCTGTTGCTCCATGGCCTCGTGGATCGCCACCTGGTCGACAATGTCCATCTTGTCGAACTCGTCGATGGCGCAGATGCCGCTGTCGGCGAGCATGAGCGCCCCGGCCTCGATCGTGAACTCGCCCGTCTCCTCGTCCTTGACCACCGCCGACGTCAGGCCCGCCGCCGACGACGCCTTGCCCGACGTGTAGACGGCCCGCGGGGCGAAGCTGCAGATGTACTTGAGGAACTGCGACTTAGAGGTCGAAGGGTCGCCCACGATGCAGATGTTGATGTCGCCTCGGAGCGCCATGCCCTCGGCGGTGGTCTTGGCCACGCCGGACATGAGCTGGAGGAGCAGGCCCTTCTTGACGATCTCGTGGCCGTAGACCATGGGCGCGAGGGACTGCACCAGACGCCCGTAGATCATGTCGCTGTGGACCATCTGCCGGAGGTCTTCAATCTCGGCCTGGCTGTACGACGCGAGCACCGCGTCCTGGGCTTCCTTGACGCTCTCGGCGGTCTCGATTCCAGAGCTCTGGGTCAGCGAACCGACAATGTCCGCGATCTGCGCGTCCCCGGAGGCGCCAATGGCCGACACGTCCGGCGTCACCATGCACGCCAGGAAGGCGAGGCGGTAGGTCAAGTCGCGGACGCCCAAGGCCTTCAGCCCGCTGACGCCATTGCCTCCGGCCTCGGTGCTACGGTCGTCCCGCACGGCCGTGGGCCGGATCCCCGGCAGGCCCATCTGGCTCACGTCGGGCACGACGATCAGGGCGCCGCTGAAGATGCACTTCTCGCCCGCCTTGGCGCGGTCGACGATCTCTCCCCTCAGGATGACGTCCATGGTCCTCGGCATGCTCCCCGTGGGGATCTCGCTGCTGTTCTCCTGCACTCGCACCTTCTGCCAGTCGACAAATGTGCTCTGCCTGATGTCCAGCTGCCAGGCGTGGCGGTTCTGGCACGTGGCGTTGGGGCACTGCGTCGGCTCGGTGTAGCGGAACGTCTGCTCCACATTAGGCACCACGCTGCGGCAGGCCTCGCAGGTGAAGGTCGCCACCGACAGCTCCGGGCGCACCTCGGACGTGCGGGTCACGGTGCCGCTGATGGAGAGCAGCTGGCCGATGTTCTTGGCGCGCAGCGACCGCACGCGGCTGACCAGCGGGAGGTTGTAGAAGGCGATGGCGAAGAGCTTGTCCGTCTGCTGGTTGGCCGTCTTGCTGCCCTGCAGCTCCGACTGGCTGGCAGAGCCGGCGTTGCTGCCGCCCGAGGTGGTCTGGTTGCTGGAGGTGGTGGGCTGCCGGTGCTCGCGGAAGTACTGGGGTTCGTACTTGGCGATCATGTTGTGCAGCCCCGAGGTGAGGAAGGGGAGGAAGCGGTAGTACTGCTTGACGATGGCGTCTGCAAGACTGCCGTTGCTCCATGATGCGAGGTGCTTGTAGTCGACATAGAAGGTCGATAGTTGGTATGTCCGCATGCCATGGATCTGGGCGACATAGTACTTGTCCGTGGTGATGGCGCTGGAAGTCGGTGCGCCCGAAGATGTGGGGGTTTCTACGAATCTGTGCGAAGTAGGTTTTCAATCAGCGTGCCAGTTCCAGCCCATTGCCAAAAGTCACGACACTCACCCTTCAATAAAATTCTCAAAGTGTTCCTGGATAAGGAGGCCAATCTTGTCCTCGACTCTAGGGATGTTGGTGGCATCTGTGGGACGGGATCGGTTGGGGACCTGATCATCCTCGAAGCCCTCCCCTTCGTCGTCGCTTGGAGCACCGAGACTCTCCGAGGGTGGTGCTCTGGGTCGTCCGGTCGAGGAGCCGGCCACATAGCGTTGCCCCCTGGGGGTTGCGCCAGATCTCGCGAGACCATCAGACATCATGAATCCAGCATCGCTGGAAACTCCCATTGCTGTTGCCATATTGAGCTGCTTGGCCGGATACGAGTTTTCACAATGAGACAGACTGAGAAACTCTCGAGTTGACGAGCGAGGGGCGGATCTTGTGAGAGTAGTTTATCATTTAAACGCGAGAAAACGCGGAGGTCGCGTCTTGACGCGTTTTGTACGAAGTGGAGACAGGGGTCTTAATTGATTGCAGGCACAAAGTGCCAGCACAGACCAGGTTCAGGGGTAACTGCCCCGCGTCAGGAGTTCACAGCAATGCAGAGGAAGCACATGATGCAACTCAGTAAAGGGGTATCTACAGCATGCTTAAACTCCAACATTTTGTGTGTACATATTGACCACGCATTCCAAACCCTCGACTCTTACCATCCCCATGTCCGATTAGACGCCGTGAAGACCGGCGGCTTCCACTGGATCCGCTCGGGATCGATAATCCGCCTCTGCTTCAGTTTCGCCTTCTCCCATTTTTGGAGCAAATTGTCAGGCAGCACGATCTTGTGTTCCCCCTTATGGTACACTTGCATCTTCAGCGCCTGCAACGTATGCTCCACGTCTTGGGTGGTCATGGCAAGTTGCGATGCTATTCCTTCGATTGTGCACTTCTCTTCCCTTTCGTTGTAGCCCGCAAGGATGTCAACAATATTCTCCGACCAATATTGCCGGTAACTCAGGAGCCCCAGATCGGATAGCGGTTTCTCAGGCGAACCCAGCTTGTTCTCGATCCTGGATAACTCGTAGGAGAATTGAATCAGCAGACGACCATAACCTTGCCGCTGATACTGCGGCAGGGTCAGGATACAAGCGACGTTGTACCCGTCTGCGCTCTCCTTTTCCTTTGAGAAGTAGCCGATGAGATGGCAGCCCTTCTCATCCCGGGTCGTCATGACGTAGAACAAGAATGGGTCAACGTCATAGTACAACGTCTTGTGGTCGAGAAACATCTTTGAGAGAAGACAAAGATTCCGACACCACGTACGCTGCCTTCTCCCATCGATCTCGAAGAAGGAGACGTAATCATCGCGGTAGATCTCGTTCCCGGGGGGATGCTGCAACGTGCACTTGCGTCGATGCCGCGCGAACGACTTCAGATCGTCATAGTAGCTCAAGCAGAACTCGCAGATGAAAATGCAGTCTTCCTGACTGAAGACTTCGGGATATGGCGAGAAGTACCATGGGAACAGGATGTATCTTCCGAATTCGACCTTGGATATGTTCCGAATACGCGAGATCTCGGCCGGATTCTGTGTCATCGAACCCGAAGTTCTGAGCTTTTCAATTTCTTCCTCTCTGCTAAAAGACGGCGCCCGATCCCTCTTTGCTACTCCGGCAGGGGTCTCGTCCTCGTCGACTTCCATCTCATCCGCACCAGTCCCTGGGGTGGCACTGATGTCCAGACTCGCCATGACCTTGTCATCGCCATCATCGACCTTCGGCGTGCCTTTCCTCTGAGACTGCGATTCGACGAATTCCGCCCAGGGATGCGGTGTTTGCCCTTCGGACGCTACGGATTGCTCCCGTTTGCCAATTCTCTTCTGTGTCTTCTTTACTGTCTGTGTCTTCTTTCCCGGCGCAGTCGACGCTTTCTTTGTCTTCCCGTCCTTCTGCTTATCTTTTTCTGGATTGGGCCATTCGACATCTTGGTCGAAGTCTATGCGGACGAGAGGCACCCATTCGTCGAGTCGCTTGTTGAAGTTGTCGAAGTTGCAGTAAAATTGGCGGCCACTCTTGGTCTCCTTTATACTGAGGATTTCGGCCCGACGCGGCTTCCCATCCTTCTCTACCATTGCGATGCATCCGACCCTGAGATTCCCTGTTAGTCAGATTGCAGGCGCGGGGTGATGGTGAACAAGGTTGGCATGGCATGACTACAAGTGGACTCACTTTATGGTGTCGGGCGTCGCTTTGCCCTTCTGTCTCGGGCCATCAGAGCCTACAACGGCGTCGCCGTTGACAGCAGCAGGACTCATGATGAAATTCCAATGGCGACGGAGGTGCGTTGATGAAAAAGAACTTGTTGCGAAAAGGCTGATCAAGAGTTGAAGGTCGAGAACCAGCAGCACCGCCACCCGCCGCCACCATAGTAGATAAGGATAAGTACGTACCCCATATTATGGATATAGTAATAAATGTACTCTAGGCCACAAGATCTCAAAATTAATGGGTGTATAGTGATACCAAGTTTAAGTCCCACTCATAAAATCCTCATCCAACACTGATCACTTCGCGCTGCAGGCCTCGATCAGCTTGAGCCTGAAATTTTCATCGACGGACAGAACTTTTACCAAGGTCGGACTGTAGACACTATTATTTGCCGACAAACCTTTGCACTCAGCAATGTATATCTCTACCCAGTGACGGAAGTACGTTGCGATTATCTTTGGTTGGGACCATGGCACCGGAACTCTCATCGAACTGGAAGAAGCTCCAGGCTCAGATCAAGGCTGAGTCAACTACTCAGGAGAAGGGCAAGGGAAAGAGGAAAGGAGAAGAAATTCAAAATCAAGGGTCTCAGAGTGTGCCGAATAAGCGGCAGAAAGTCCTGGGGAAGAGCAAGAGCATCTCCGAGAAGTCAACTGCCCCTCCTCAGCAACGACACGGCAAGACAAAAGCGCCAAGCAGGCCACAGATGGGCAATGTCCAAAGTTCCAGAGTTGTTGAAGGCGGAGCCAAGTCAGGGATATCGCCATCCCTCGCCCTCTGGGCCGAGGACAATGGAATCTCAGCCGAGGATCTCGCCGAGGCTTACGGGCTTGGGATTCAGGACAACTCGATGATCAGCACAGCTTCCGACCGACCCAACGAAGGTCTTGCCCCAGGCATTGAGGTTGGCAAGTACATTGCCATCGACTGTGAGATGGTTGGAGTTGGAGAGAACGGCTATGAGTCTGCTTTAGCAAGGGTCAGCGCTGTCGACTTCCACGGCCGACAGGTTTACGACTCGTTTGTTCGGCCGAAAGAGCGAGTGACGGATTGGCGCACACATGTGAGCGGTGTGAGCCCGAAACATATGGCCACCGCGAGGAGTTTCGAGGAAGTTCAGACACAGGTTGCGGAACTGCTGAAGGGAAGGATTCTCGTCGGCCATGATATCAGACACGACCTGCAAATTCTCTTACTGAGCCACCCTTCAAAACTCGTGCGAGACACGGCCAAGTTCTCGGGCTTCAGGAAGTACGGTCATGGTCCAAAGCCGTCTCTGAGGGTTCTCGCCAAAGAAATCCTCGGCGTCGAAATCCAATCCGGTCAACATTCGAGTACCGAGGATGCTCGCATTGCAATGTTGCTCTTCCGCCGCTTCAAGTCGGGATTTGATGTTGAGAATGCAAATCGATTTCCAGACCCGACGCTGCCCTCAAAGTCCAAATCACAGTCATCTAAGTCCAAGAAGAAGCGAAAGAATTGATGAGCTTGCGCTCAAGTGCTCCTATCCTTGGCTCGCCATCACGACAGGTATCAGGTCCAATATGCGGTTTCAGTTCCTCAGGAATATGCGTCGATTTGGCGGCGCCTCTATCAACCGTGGTCTAGCTCAAACATGGCCTATTATCCTTCCAGAATCCAATATTGACCATCCAATGCGGCCGTTCCTCATAAAGGGATCCCCTCCATCAACTCTATTGCGCCTTCTCGCCCAACCGTGATGATGACATCACCCAACGTCTTGGTGACAAATCCTGCTTCGCAGTATGTGAAATAATACTGGCAACAAACTGTTAGCGACACTCGATATGAAGTCCGGTCGATCATCGCAGGTCAGCCTCACCTCCCACTTTTTTCGAAACACTTCGATCTCCTCTTCTGTCATGTTTTGGTGCTTCGTTTGGAGGCATGGTCTGATCTTGGAGTGGAAGTCCTTCAGGAAGCTCTCTTTCCATAAGCGCAACGTCTTGGCGTAATGGCCGCCAATATTCTCCACCTTCTCTACGATCAGGGTTCCCTCCGACTCCTTGCTGATGTGATTCAACAGCTGTGTTATGGATGGCAGATATCCTCCCGGGAAGATGTAGTGGTTTATGAAGCTGAATGGGCTGTGAGCAGGACTGGAAAGGCACGCACCATCGGCGGCAGAACTTACTCCTCTCCCTTAGAATAGGCTGCATGCCTTCCCTCAGGCATGGTGATGCACTGGAACACAGCAACCCCGCCGTCCTTCTTCAGCAGGCGATGGATGCACGAGAAATATGTCCCGAGAAACTCCTGGCCAACCGCCTCCAGCATCTCGATGGAGACGATCTTGTCGTAAGGATTGTCTGGCACCGGCAAAGCACGATAATCCATTAATTTGACTTCGATTCGGTCTGAGAGGCCGGCCTTGGCGATCCGTTCCTCTGCCAATATCTTCTGTTCCTTCGATAATGTCAAGCTCGTGATACGGCATCCAGTGGTGCGAACTGCCTCAATGGCGAAGGATCCCCATCCCGTCCCAATCTCCAAGACATGGTCCGTCGACTTGATCCGCGCCCCGTCAATGAACCGATGCAACTTTGTCATCTGCGCCTCCTCAAGAGATTCCTCCTGGTCGCCCCTCACGTGAGACCTCCAGATCGGACATGAGTATGTCATGTCGGGCGACAGGAAGGTCGCAAACATGTCGTTGCTGATGTCGTAATGCGCCGAGGTGTTGAGCAGGGAGTTGGAGAGCGTGTTGGTGGACCGCGCCAGGCCTGTCACAGCGGTGGAAATCGACGACAACCACGTCGTCGCATTGCCCATGCCCTCGCGATTCGTGATGAAAAGCTGGAAGAAGGCCGTCAGGTCCGCACACTCGACCTCGCCGAGCATGTACGCCTCTGCGAAGCCCATGTCGGCGAACAGGAACAGCCGCATCCAGAAGGCCTCGTCCTTGACCACGAGCTCGACGCGCGGAATCGTCGTCGCCTTACGGACGCCATTGACCCCGTTTGTCAGGTCGCCAAAGTCGTAATCGGCCGTCAGGTTGTCGAGCTTGCTTGGCTTCAGCTTCTGGCCGAATACCAGCCGTTCCCCGGCGGGCTCGTCAAAGAGGAGCAGTGTCCCCGTCTCGATGCACGAGAAGACGGACAGGATCGCGGGCTTCGCCACAGAGATGGCAGGTCCCCAGGTCAGGCTGCCCAGAACACTGCGGAGCAGACCAGTGCTGCGGTAAAGCGGCCGGGAGACGATGCCCGGCAGCTGAAGAGACGGAGCCATGGCCTTGCGCCGGGCGCCGAGGGGCCGTGGTTAGGAGCTGAGAGTTGACGAAGAGTGGGAAGTGGGCTGGCCCTACAGGAAGCTTCCCGTGCTAGTTCCAATGCCTCAGGTAAAGGCTGGATCTCCTTTGCTGCCGGTGGTTTATAGTTGGACGTCGACCTAACAGGCCAAGCTACGAAATATGTGCGAGGAGCAAGCTAATCAACAGCTCTGGGGAATCGCCCAAGCGAGGAAGAAGAAACGGAGGGGATATTAGGGCTCGTGGAACGAGTAGCAAAAGGAAATGGAGGGTTTTAGTGCTTGTACATGATTGTCGCCGGCAGTGCGGGAGCATCTGGGCTCCACGCCCACAACAAAATATGCCGGGATTGAGTGGCATCCGGCAGGGGTCCGATGTAGGGGGGAGGGCATGGGCCGTCTGTTCCTGTCTCGAGTTCCAGACAGACAACTACACGGGCCTGGGGAACTTGGTGCAAGGGAAGAAGCTCCTAGGACGCTCTGATTGATATCTGCAATGTTGCTAAGCTATCTATCTATGTTGGTTAATAGGAATCTCAAAAGGCCCCCAAGACCCCCAGGACCCCAGAACCCGGCCAAGCAAGAGCTTTCGTGTGGCAATCTGACAGCTGGGGGGGTTGTACAAGATCTCTTGGGCGCCCGATGAGGGTGTAGTGGGGTAGCATCGTCGATCTCAGACCGCTCCGTCTCGGCTGGCTCAGGGTCCGAGCTGCATCTAGAATCCCCAGTCGAATGCGCCCGACAGCTTTCACCCCGCCAGTGTGCCGCAGGGCAGGGAACAGGCCTCCATTGAGAAGCCTAGCTTGCAGAATATCAAACGCATGCTGCAAAGTTTCAACCCTCCGTTTTCGGAATTGTGTAGTTGTCAAGCGCTCAGGCGACGACAAAACAAGCTCGCCAACATATTTTCTTGATTGGTATCCCGGCTTCCAGTCTGGTAGTCCATATGCAGGGACCAGTCGTAATAAACACCTTTACCGAACTATTGCTGTTTCAACGGTATTGTGCCTGCTTGCCGCCATTGCGTTTGGAGAACACCTCATATGCACAGACCGACTCCCTCGAGGCGCAGAGTCCTTGTAAACGCATAAACTAGTCCCGCCATCAATCTAACCCCCCCGATAAGACGAGCCGCGTCCCGACGCGTCTTCCACCACCTCCAAGGACTCGCACCCTGAGAGAAATGACCATCACGACAATCCCAATTACCGATCCAAGTCCTCAAAATGTCACAACCAATGCTCAACATCTCAAAGCAACCGTCAAATCCACAGACCATCCCGCACCTGCTCCCCTGCCGCGTACACTACGACGGCCCCGTCGAACCCATCCAGTCCTACTGGAGCCCCAGCGAAGCAAAAGGCAAGCCCACCACCCCCCTCCCTCCCTCCCTTCCTCCCCAATCAAACGGCCGAGTTTCTGAGCTGACCACCCGAACGACCCATCTCCAGATGGCACCAAGGTGGCGTATTTCCGCGGCCGGAAGCTGCACGGCAAGGCGGTGAGGCTGCCCGAGGGGTACAGGGGCGTGGTAGTGCAGAAGGGCGAGGTCGAGACCACCACCACCCCGGCGGCGACAGCGCCGGAGCCGGAGGCGGATGAGTTGGGGGATGAGCCGGAAGTCGGGACGGGGAGGTTGGAGGCGAGGGCGGGGTTCGAGGAGGTGGTTGTCTGGGGCCACGAGACGACTGCGGATGCCGGGTCGGATCCGGTTGTGAGGGGTTTGGAGGAGTGGCTTGCTTTGGCTGAGAAGGTAGGGGTTGTTGTTCCCTGTCTGGTTTTATGGATCGGGCTATCTTTGGCTTGTTTGGGGGAATTACTGACATGCGTCTTGCAGATACACTCATACCCGGCTGGTCAGGGGAGTTAATGCTGTGGGTTACAGCTCGTTGGTTATGGCGTTACGGAACTTGGGGATGCATTTTTATGATGCCGACTTTTAACTTTTCTTCTCACGTCCATCAATCTCGCCGTTTTAGTCAATACTGGGAACATGAAATGAAAAACAATGCTGACACACCGCTATCTACGACGGAGTTGCTCTTATTTGAAGTCCTCATATTTGCTGCTACCACCCCTTGTGATTGCCCCCCCTTCCGTTCACATTCTAACCTCTCCAACACCCTGCCAGCCATGATATTGTCGGATCTTGACCATCTCCAGAAGTAAAGTCAGAAGCAGGAGGCATATTTCACTCATCATTTTCAAAGTATTTGTTCTCTTTTCGTGACTGACTGTAAGACTAGCTAGGTACTAAGCACGTCCAGTGCACAGCAATGCGGCGTCCACACTTGGAAACTCTGTGTGCCTCCGATCAACCACCTGGTAAAGAACCTGGGCCGAGCCTGCCATGGGAAGCCCTTTTTGCCTCCCCCCTTGATCCGTTGTCGAGGCATGCTGACAACAGGACACCCATGTCTTGCTGGCAACACCGACCTGATCGGCCCAAGATCTATCCAGTCCATTCCCAAGCGCACGAAAAAAAAACAGTAGCGGTAGCAATAGCAGCAAATATGTGTGCGCCCTTGCTCAAATTTGATCAACCCGATCCATGCACGCACTATCACTATCCTCATTCTGCTTGAGGGCTCATTCATGCTCGTGGCATCTGTGTGGCTGGTCTGTCGGGCTTTCATATGGACCGTCATGCAGCCATGGCTGGATGTTTATGAGAAGATGGAAGACATGGCACCCGGTGGGCCCCCCCTTCCAGGCGGCCTCCAGCCCCCAGTCTGTTGAATTATGTGCAAGCCCTTGTTAAGATGCTATCTGACCGTCAGGTCAGCCACCTGACAGGGCTTTTGGGACCAAAAATGCGAGAACGCTGCCGAGGAAAAATCAAAATAATACAATGTTGACAGGTCGAATTTGCTTGTGAAGGCAGCTCCGAGCAGAGGAGTACCCAACCACTGCAAGATGAAATGCGGCCAGGACTAAGGTAGCTTGCAGCAAGAGGTTGTTCGAAAGGATGATGGCGACCCATCTCGGCCGGAACAATGGGTGAGTCGAGGAGGTGCCGGTATCGAAAAAGGTCGATAGGAATATCCGGATTAGTTTTCAACACGGTTCGATGGGTTTGCCCATTGACTTCTTCGACATCTTCCCTCCTCTCGTAGTAGGTAGGTACGTAGGTTAGGTCTGGATCGGATTCGAAGAATTGCGGGACCAATTGTCTCGTCCCCGATATCCCCCGCCTCGCCCGCCTCCCCTTGGTGCTGGTGCAGATGACGACGATGCGCCCTGGTCGTTCGGATATGCGGAAGATGCTTCCCTCGCCTTGCCAGCTCTGTTAGGTTGGGAAGAATGTCGACCACCACTGCCCCGGACGGCTCGGCGGGGGTTGCTCCGAGTTCTCGAGAACGGAACGGTGATGTTCCTGGTCTCGCTCATGCCCGGGAGGAAGACGCGAAGTACGGTGCCGCCACCCGACATGTCGCTGGGGAAGGTCAGCGGCTCGATGCTGAGGATCGTGGTCCCGAATTTCTTTGGCAACGGCTTCGGGGCAGGGTACGGCTGCCAAGCTGTGTCGGGAACCTTTTTGGGCAATCGGATAGGTGGCAATGACCCCATCTCTTGTTCTTCAAAGCACTCCTCGGCCATACACTTCGAGGTAGGCAACCCATCACCCTCGGAAGCAAGGGTATTCGCGTTGGGAGTGGGCAGCGAAATAGTGGCTGCACTCTGGGGTCGATGGTGCTCCAACGAGTTTCGGCTTGCCGAATCGACCGGAAGCGACTTCGTAGGCGGGGGCCCTTTGCGGCCGCCAAGAAGGCTGTCAATTCGGGCTTGCCAATTGTTCTCCCCGTTGTGGAGGGGTCCCCGTGGCGCATTTGGCGTGCTGGGCGAAATGGGCTGCCCAGTCTCATGTTCCCTGTACGGAGCCGGAGCGGCCCAGCCAAAGGAAGGCGCGTGCTTCGACGTTGAAGGACCTGCAGCGGCGTCGGGTGCAGGGGGCAAGCGAACAACTGGTTGAGGTCGCGGCAGGGAAACATGTGGTCGGGCAACATCTCCGTCGAATGCAGGGTGGCCATCCATATCGGGAGGCGGCGGGGACGGGGAATTCTGTCGTTGGCCGTCCGAGCCTGCACCCAACTCTTGGCGGACGTCTCTCGATGGGAAGAAGCGAGAACCCCTGCCCTGCTGCGGCGTAGTGCCTGAACCCGTGCTAAGAATGGGGCCCGACGGCGCATCACTTGGCACGATGCCGCCCTGCGGCCGCCTGTTGGAGCCAGGAGCCTGGCTGGTGTCCGAGGCTGGCTTCTGCGCCGGAGCTGTAGCACTTTCGGCCGACGTTCCCCATGCGACACCTCTGGAGTGCTGGAATGTCTGTGTCTGTTTCGGCCCATCAGGAATTCGTCTGCCGTCTTCGGACAGTTTCGTCGGGCGCCATGTGTCTTTGATGATTGGCTGGGCGTCGATAACAGACCGTCCTTCAGCTTCCAACTTGCGAAGGTCCTCGTCTCGTCGAGCCTGGAGTTCATTTTCCAAAGCCGCGTCACTTTCGCGAACACTGGCGGCCCATGCGCTCTGCACGAGGCCACGCGGCTTACCTTCGGCTTCTTGGCGAGGGTTTTGAACTGGAGGCCCGATGGGTGGCTGTCGAGTTGCTAGAGGTGCGGACGAGGGCTTCGTCTGCGGCTTCAACGCGCCTCTATTGGCAGTAGGCGGGGCGATAGGGCCAGGTCCTGACTTGCCAGGAACGGGAGGGATTTGCGCGTGTTCTGCAACTCGCCCAAGGTCCGAGATGAATGTTCCGTTGCCGAGGCTCCGGTCATTGCTTGGAGAGGCCCAGAGATTCTTAACAGAGCTCTGAGGGCCCCATGATGGGTACCGATCGGCCTGAGGAGTCGTATTTGGCCAAGGGTGCACGTGGGTGGTCCCTTGCGGCTGACCCCGGTTCTCCGCGGTATCTCGAGGGCCGCCAGCCTGTGGCTGGCCTTGGGGTGGTACACCGTTCGTACTCGTCTCCAATTTACCGTCAGGATTGACTATGAGGCTGGGCGTCTCGAGCTGGGTTTGGTCATCAGATGAAGCCGAAGCTTGGCCGGGCTGTTTTTGGGTGGCTGGTGAAGGTTCATCTTTTGATGCCGCCATTCTAGCGCTCCTTGATTCTGGGGCAGGACCCATGGCCTCGAGCTTGAGGCGAATTCTCTCTTTCCTTGCAGCCTCTTCACGGGCTTCCTCCTCGAGTCGACGTTGCTTGGCCAATTCACGACGCTCGTGCATCAACCTTTTCTGTTCTTCGATGTCCTGATCGGTCACGGCGGGTACCGCTTTGTTTTCGACCGCTAGAGGTGGTTGATGAGGGACTGAGTGGATTGCAGCGGGCGAAACGTGAGGTGGCCAAATTTGGTTGGTGGGGTGACGAGGTCCGCCTTGCAGGCCAGAAGGTGAGAAATTTCTGGGCGAGACGGGACTGTCACTGACAGCGGTAAAGGACTCCCTCCGCGCGCTAAGCACCTCCGGAGGGGGGAGGGGTTGGTCATGGCCTTTGAGGCGAAGAAGACTGCCACTTCCGCCACTAACATTCGACGATCCTCGACGCCGGCCATATGGTCCATGCTGCTCACTGACACGGCTTGTCTGAAATGCTGCCGAGGGCTCAGCAGGGCCCTGGTGCTCAGGCTGAGAGCCTCGTTGGAGGAGGGCTGGCTGCCTGGAGTGCTGGTCACTTCGTATCGATGTTCGACGGTCCATGACAGGCTCATAGCGACCACTTTGTGAGTTGAAAAGTTCCCTATTCCCAGCTCCATGGCTATCCCGCCAAGTGGCACGGTTGAAGTCGTCTGCAGCAATCTCCTTCGGCGGTGGGGGTGTCATGCTCTTTGAGCCCAGTCCATCCTTTCCGGCATATTTGGCTCCTGGCTGGGTTAAGTGAGGGTCTATGACAGGGGCAGCCTTGTCGACCCTCGGTATCGGTGCCCAGGGGGATTTCACAGGGGTGGGAGGTGCTGGAGGTTTCGCGACAAGGGTTGGCTTCTCTGCGGCACCCTTGAGGATCAGTCCCTTTCCAGACCCAAGCACACTAGGCCTGACAGAAGGAGAGACGCTTGGCACAGCTGCCGTGGCTGGCAAAGGTGCTGGTGACTGCGGCTTCTCGAATCCCCCTGTGTCCTTTGCGGGAGGTTGCTGCGGGAGACTAGGTGCCTGTGGAGTGGCATGTTCCTCAACATGGGGAAGGGCTATCTTGGTGCCATCTTTCCAGGAAATCGTTTCCGGTGCCCAGTCATCGTCATCATCGTCAATGTCTGCCCAGTTTGACTGGCCCTTGCCATCGTCAGGATGCAGGCGAGTAGCCATGTGGATTCCATACTTCTTTAGCTCCTCGTCGGTGAACTTCTTAGGCTCAGGAGGGGGGACGGCTACTTCATTGTCAGTTGGGTCTAATGGAGAGCAAGATGCACCTCGGAGAGATGGGCCGGAAGAGATTTGCTCACGTCTATTCTTATTCCACACGGCATTGGGGTCAGGGGCCGGTGCTGATTTCCCCCCATTTGCGTTGGCCGAAGTCTTTGCGATCAAGCCACTCCCAGACTTGGCAACCAGCCGGGGCCGGGGTGTCGCAGTAGATGCAGTCCCTTGTGCGGCAGACAGGCCAGCACCTGTTGCAGGTTTGTCGCTTGGTTTTGAGGGACCGGTAGATGGGGCTCCTTTGGATGCGAGGAAGGTCTTGTTTACAGACACCGATTTGAAAGACGTAGGCTTCTTGACCGTTGAGGAAGTCCGGGCATGGCCCTTCTCGTCATCCTTGAGCCTTGACCGAGACGCTTCAGTGTCAGATCCTCCACTAATGCTCACTTCCGCCGAGTTCACAAGATCGTCGACAATATCAGAGATTTGCTTGTTCCCAATTTCGTCTGTCGGAGTGCTGCCAGCATCGCTGTTTAGTTGCGGCTGGTTGGAGCTGACATCTTGAGAGGCTGAATCGATCTTGAGAACCTGCAAAGCAGCGCCGGCCGCTGTGGTCAGCCAAAGGGGTTGCGCAGTGATAGGAGGCTAAACAGTAAGCAACTTACGGGACTAGAGTCAGAAGTTACGGTAGCTTCATTGGATCGATCCTGAGGTGACTCAGTGGCCATCATACGGTGCTCGGGTATCGTGAGATTCAGTAGAGGGGACCCAGGGACCAGTCGCAGAAACGTCCCAAGTCGCCAAAAAGGATCGGATATAGGGAGTCTGGAGGTTTGGTATGCAGCTACATCCACGCGTTAGTTTGGTAGGTCTAACTAGGAGATCGTGAAGTGATGTGGACGTGTGCTGACAGTGAGCTGCGCGAGTTTTACGTGGATGGGGCCTCGTGATCGCGGTCGCAAAGGGCGGCCAGTTGATTGTAAGATGATTAGAACCTCTTCTCTTCAAGAGAAAGGCAAACAAGGCCTATTAATCCTCCTTGTCGTGATGGATTTAAAGGGGGAGAAGTCCTGGACGGGAGATTTGGAGAGAGGCGATGTCAAGTTGCGGTTTGGGGGGGGTCTGCTTTCTCTGCTTTTCGCAGGTTGACGACGTTGCCAGGTGTGCCCGAGCTCCTGGGTCTCCACTTTAGGTTTAGCGCGCACTCCGACTTGATGGCCAATTTTCAGACAGGCCCGAATGCGGGAAACCGTGGGAAAGAGTCTCAAATATCCCAAATGTATGGCAAGTTCCTGGGTCAAGAGACGTAATCCATTGCACTCACTTTGTCTTTTAGTAAGTGTGATCAAATTCTGACATTGATGTGAATTGCAGTACTTTCACACAAAAACCACGTGTGTTGCTACTTGGGCTGCCGGTTTTGGCAGCCTAGACCTACCATTTTCTGCATCCCAAAACCCCCCATCGTAGTAGACAGTGCTGGCTTGTTTAGTAGCCACAGCCCTGTAGCGGAGCCGGATCTCAAGAGTCTTGCCATTTGTTTTGCATTGCATACTCTTGTAGGGCTCTTCAACGTACCCAGCGGCTCGTAGCTTTACTAACAGTACGCAACAGATCACTATATCACACTGTGTCATTTGCTCTTGGACCTTGCTAAGATTGGTCGGATCCATCCAAGCAACAGCTTGCGGAGCTGAAAACAACAGAAGCCCCACCCCTTTCAGTATATGATGATATCCGGGATGAGGGAAGGAGCCAACGCCCTCTTCCACCAAACCGCACTGATAGGTTTAGGTAGGTAGGCAGATTACACGAAGCTGAACATCGTTGGCGGTCAACGACGATAGATTGCTTCTACGTATTAGATCGGCCGCACTAGCCCAGAAGCCCCTTGTAAAAATACTGAGTCGAGGCAGCACGAGATAACAAAGGAGAAGCAATAGTTAGCAAGAATACCAAGAAACGCTCCTTGTTCGCAAGACAGTTCGTCACGACGTCCTGGCGGACAGACCTCAGAGCACATACCCCTGCTGGTGTCAAGGCTAGCGTAGGCTTGAGACATCTTCAACTTAAGAGTCAGCACTCGCTCGGAATTGATGCAGCCGTGAGTATTTACTTGCCTCGTTGTAGATGCCCGCTTCCTTCATCATGGAGATGAAGATATGATCAGACTTCCTGGCGATGGCGACACGCTCGGCGGTCACCGTCACATAAATGGAGGATTGGGTTGGAAGTCAGCCCAGATAGACCACCACAACAGTATATCGTCTTTCAGGAATTGTAACAAGTCAGTCTGGGCAGATTAAGAGCATCGTCATAAAATCCCTAGGGCCTGGTGCCCGTACCTAGTCCCAGGAGCCCCCAAACATGACCTTTACGTGACATGGGCAATGGCATCAGATGATTCACAGGCTGCTGGTTCAGTCTTGCAGTCAGAGCAGTCAGACGAGAAAGATGAGCAAGCAATTGAAGGCAGCCACTCAGCAGTGCAAAGGGGCCATTGAAGCCTAGACATCCACCTTGCTCTATTCGACAGTCCTTATATACAATGCCCAGGTCTCCATCTTCTCAACTTCCTAGGTGGCCCCATTTAATGCGCGTTGTTCTTGTGGTGACCTAGGTAGTTTCATGTAAGCGTCTATCTAAGAGGGCCTATCCAGAACGGAACTTACGGAGGTGGAAGTAGTAGTTCTGGGCGTAGCCGGTGATGAGCACCAAGAGGATGGCATGAATGATGGCTGGAGCATGTCAGTTGGCTCTCTGCAGAATACAAGAGATCGTCCACGGCCGGAAGTTGGGGACAACGTACGCATCGCAGTCGGGTTCTTGCCAAAGTGCTTTGCCTTGTATCTGCCGAGGAGACCCTTCGCCTTGACTTCGGGAGCCGCTCCGCGGGGGAGCTTCTCGTAGAAGTTGACGACCCGCTGCATCCGGAGTGCATCAGGTGCGGCGCCAATTGCCTGCGTTTCGAAACCGTCAGCACATCGCAATGTTCTGCCATTCCCACCCATCCGTGTTCTTCCGCGGGCCGAGTTCGTCCTCCTCATTACTCCCTCCTTCCTTCCCATCCCACAAGAAGCGGAGTCGAGGAGTCCAAAATGGTATAAAATCATCGAAATATGCGTACCTTTGGCGAGGCGACCTGCAGACTGGGTTAGAATCAGTGCATAGTGACGGTCGAGTGAAAAACCTACCTTGGGAGGAATGAGCGTCGAAAGCGCTCGGCGTGTAACGAAGCTCATGATTGCAAATTCTTGGGGTCGACAACAACTCGAGATCGAGAGGGGTAGAGAAAGGAGACGTTAGAGGAGCCAATTGGCTACAGTGCGACCGACTCAATTGGATTCAATTTGGTGATGCCGTCGTTCAGTTCAGCGATGGTTCGGGATCTAAATCCAGCTCCTCGCTCTCTCGGCTAGACGTTGTTGCGCGGTTCTTTTCGGCAGCCAATCATTTTGCGTAGAGTGGAGGCATGCCAAACCTCGCGATTGACCTCTCGACTTTCCTGGCATTGCCACAAGCTGCCGGCCTCTATCAAAATCCAATCGAGAACTCCACGCCGCATATTCTCCGTCCAAGGGAGCGCAATTGGAATGGCTTCACTACGAGCATCGTCAGTGGTGCGGCTGCTCCGGGGCGCATCACACACCCGATCCATCCTTCCCGCCACTCGTCGATTCGAGAGCTCAATCCCCCTCATCCAAAAGGAGGAGTTGCCGCTGACGACGCCTCGACACAATGTCCCGGAATACGATGTGCATACCGACAAGGCGACATCGTGCGTATATACATACCCTCGCGGAACTGTCTGTTGAGGCCATTGCTGACACCTTCGTAGGACCTTCACCCCGGTCCCCAAGCGTGTGATGGATGGCAGTGAAGACGGCGAGGTGCTCCCGGCTGCCGTCCTGTCGGGCGCACCGGTGGAACTGCAGGCACGAACTGTTCGGTACGATTAATCCCACCCGAGGCAAATCCCAGAGCTGTGCCACCCACTAACTGTCATATCGAAGCATCTACAAGCCTACAAAGCCAGCCACCCAAAGCGGCGACTGGATTGGGACCAGGTGGCGGATGGACTGGGACGTCCTTGGGAAAGGCCACCGGTGGGAGAACCCTCTGATGGGGTGGCAGTCGTCCGGAGACTTCATGCAAGGAACGCACATCCACTTCAAGTCCAAGGAGGACGCCATCGCCTTCGCCGACAAGCAGGGCTATGAGTACTTCGTTCAGGAACCCAACGAGCGCCACATCACGCCCAAGGCATACGCGAACAACTTCTTATACACACCAAAGAAGCTCAAGCATATCCGGACGAAGTAGGGTGTTACAACCAATGATCGGGAAAAGGGGGGGGGGGGGGTGTGTTGTTCATCGGCCGTTGTGTATATATCCGTCGTAAAACTGAATACAATTTTGCTCACAAACACACACACACAGTCCCTCTCTTTTTCTCTCTCTCGTTAGTGAGGTGTTTAATCCCGTTTGAACGAATACTGTATTATTTGTTTCCAGTCGAGCGCTCCTGGTAAAGCACCCAGTGCTTCAGATATCCTTATCCCATGACGAGACCATATAATCCGGTCCGCGCAACGCCTCTGCTTATACATAACAATGTCCATCAAAGTCGGATAGGTCATCCGTCAAAACGCCAGCCAAACCCACTCAACCAAGCGCCGTTACCATATCCCAGCCCGTCATTCATCGTTTAAATCCATAACCCTTACTCAGACATGTCCATCGCGCAAAGGCAAAGCAATACACTATGTTGTAATCATTGACTCGTGTTCGTTTTCCCGCATGCCCTCATCGAAGGCATCGTTGTCTTCCCCGTTCAGACCCAGGTCTATCCGGTCGGGAAGGGCGATTCTCTTGTTTCGCGCCGAAGTCTCCGCCCAGGCCCGCATCTTCACTAGATCCCGGATAGCAGCCTCACGGCGCCCCGTCTGGCGGGAAAGGATGGACTTATTGACCTCATCGGCAACATTCCGCCGGAGGTCGGCCTTGAGCAATGCGGCAAGCTCCGGGTTAAGGCTCTCATCATGGGGAAAGATCAGGAGAGTCATGGTCTTCTCCAGATCCTCGAGGAAGCTCTGATTTGTGGAAGCCCGCGGAGCGAGATTCTGCGACGCAAAGTCCAAGGCTGCGGTGATATCGCCTCCAGTGCACTGGCGGATGAGCTCAACGAGTTGCAACCGAAGGAGAGAAAAGTGCAACTTGGGATTTTGGTCTAGAATCTGTAACAAATGTCAGAATCGGGACCAAGTACGTTATGTGATGGCTGACATGTGGGGCAAATAGGGAAGGATGCTCATAGTATTTAGTGGTTCTTTCTCATCACAGGCCTAATGGCCTAAGCGTGGTGCATGAAAACTCGTATTCTAATCATAGCAAAGACGGGGGGTGGAGGGGCAGCGGAAGTAGCATCATACCTGGGGATCAAGATGGTTCAAGGCTTCTATTGCATGCTCTATGCTTCCTGTGTGGATAGCATGCTGGATCTCCTGGCGGGCCTGTATTGACGAGTTTTCCAGCTGTGGCTCAAGGTTGGCCTCCTTGGAAAACTTGGCGGCAGCCTTGGGATAGCCTTCCATGGTAAGATAATCAAGGATGAGGGCATTGATGTCGCTATTCGCATGTTTAGTCAATCAAAACCAACCACACGATGAGCAGTGGGATGTATGATAGGTAGGTCAAGGATCAGGTGCTTTTAACGAACAGCAAGAGTTCTCCGCATGGTAATTGCTCAGAGAGATTCCCATTGATAATGTATTCATCATAGTACGGTTCGCCAAACTCGGCGGGGCAAGGAGGAGTTGTTTGGTCGTACCTCTTAGGTGACTTCACGTCAGCCACTCGTGCCTCGAAGGCATGCTTCCTTGGTGTAGCAGTTGATGTCGAGGACGTCTGCGGGGAAATGGCCGTCAGCTTCGAGTTGGCGGTGATGGGCGGGATGAGGCTGGCATACCATCTTGGTAATAAACCCTCCGCGGTATCCAAAGACCACGTCGGCGAGAGTGAGTGCACCAGACTCGATCGCACTACTCAAGGTAAATGACATATGCTCTTAATGGTGTAACATTTGGATTTCTGGTGCTACCGCGAAGCCAGAGTGTGAGCACTCGCGGAAGAAGCTTGGAAAAACTGGGAGTTGGAAGTGAAAAGCAAAATTGATGCAAGTGCGGAGCTCTTGCTTTTTGTGAAGGCAGCTTCATGTGGCTGAGCAGGCACCCAACCTCACCAGCCACACCTCGGCGTTGGATAAGAGAGCTAGGCAGGTCCCACCCCCTTATCAGGGTTCGGCCTGGAGGCTTGGTTGGTTGGACATGCCTTGACCAGTTGACCTGGCTATTGAGCCTTCTCGCAGACCTGCTTTTTTGTATATTCAACCTCGCAATGCATCGATACCTCCCGGCCATGCAATAGCAGACACTGGCTAAACTATGGCAGCGTCCTGAAGCTAGCCTACCCCGCGTCCCTTCCCATTTCCCTGCCTGTGAAACGGCGCGAGGATTCATATTCATGCCCGCCTTGGAACGTCTGCTGAGTCCGTTGATATACTATATAGAGGCAGGTGATACGCCGCGATGGATAGCACAATTGCTACAAGGGCTCATTACTCCCCACCGTGGGCAGATGTCAGCATCATTGGGATAGCGGGGAGTTCGGGTTCGGGCAAGTCGACGCTCTCCCATGCCATCGTACGGAAGTTGAACCTACCATGGGTTGTTATTCTATCCATGGTGAGTGGGCAGCTCTGGCTTGGGCAGTGTCTTGAGAATGCGTCGCTCACCAGCTTTGATTAGGATTCTTTCTACAGAAGCCTCGACGCAGAGGCCTCGAAGAAAGCTTTCAATAATGAATACGACTTTGACTCCCCCGAGGCAGGTTTCCTCATCGGCGGTGGTCTCATTCTTGAAAGAGGCTCATAATTGAACATCCCTAGGCTCTGGACTTTGACGCCCTCGTAGACCGACTTCGAGATCTCAAAGCCGGGTAAGTTGGCTCGATTTCGAACATTTCCAGCACCCTATGTGGTTGGGTGTTTTAATTTGCTCATGTACTGTGACAGGAAGCGCGCCGAAATCCCCATATACTCGTTCGAGGAACACGCCCGCCTTGATCAGACAACTGCGATATATTCGCCCCATGTCCTGATTCTTGAGGGCATCTTTGCCCTCTACGACCCGAGACTTCTGGAGTTGATGGACATGAGGGTAACCGGCCCTCACAAATCTGCAGATTCACGGCGTCGTTCTTACGTTTGACCCAGATCTTCTGCGAAGCTGATGCCGATACCTGCTTAGCGCGGCGCCGTAAGTGGTTCCACAGCTGTGTGATGTAACGATTGCTAATGTAACGAAAATTGTCTAGTCGTCCGAGACGTCAGAGACCGTGGCAGAGATATAGACGGCATCGTCAAGCAGTGGTTCACATGGGTGAAGCCTAACTTTGAGAAGGTACAGTTGTTCGACTCTGCCGATTCGCCAAATGCTAACGGGAGATATGTAGTATGTCGATCCACAGAGGAAAATCGCAGGTAAGTCTCCATTACCGTTGTCAGGCGATCCGGACTTCAAGCTGAAACAGAGAGATATCATTGTTCCACGTGGGGTGGAGAATAACGTTGCCATGTGTAGGCTCTCGCCAAATATCTTGCGACTCTAGGCCTTGCTAATTCTCATAAGCTATGGTTGTCCAGTTCATTGAGCAGAAACTGTTGGAGAAATCCAGGCATCATCGAGCGGCCCTCACGAGACTCCAACTCGAGGCCGAATCGGAGCCACTTACGCGGAAGGTCGTGCTCATGGAACAAACGCCACAGCTTCAAGGAATGAACACCATCATACATAACATCGATACCTCGAGCGAGGACTTCATCTTTTACTTTGACCGTCTGACTACCCTGCTCATCGAACAGTGGGTTTCCTCCGGGCTCTTTTCTATACCCGGCTACGGGTCACTAAATGCAAATCAGGGCTCTGAACAACACTTCGTTCGTCTCAACAACCATTGCCACCCCGGCAGGTTACACCTATCACGGGCTTCGGCATGATAGCGAGGTCAGCGCCGTGCTCCTCCTCCGTGGCGGTGCGGCGCTTGAAAATGGCCTCAGGCGTGTGATTCCCGACTGCCGGACGGGCCGCATCCTCATTCAGAGCAACCTCCGGACTGGCGAGCCGGAGCTGCACTACCTGGCCCTGCCCAAGGGCATCGAAAATCATGAAGCGGTGCTCCTCCTCGACGCCCAGATGAGCAGCGGCGGATCGGCGCTCATGGCGGTTCAGGTGCTGGCGGACCATGGCGTCAAGATAGACCGCATCGTTCTGGTGACGTACAGCGCAGGGCGGATGGGGTTGCATCGACTGACAAAGGTCTTCCCCGACATCGCGGTTGTCGTGGGTAATCTAGTTCAGGATATCGAAGAACGGTGGGTGGAGAAAAGGTACTTCAGGTGTTGAAAGATGAGAGATATCCCACATCAAGCTTTTGGTCGTTGGGCCTGCCTCCTGCACATACAGTCATGACGACCTGTAATTAGACCTGTTCTCGATCAGCTCGTCTCAAGCTCCTTGTCCAGGAAAGCAAGAAGAATCCATATCCCACCCGCGGCTCCATAGCTATTGCTGGTGCGGCTTTTGGCATGTCATCTAATAAGAGAATTGCGATACAACTTGGTGAGGACCAGGGTTAGGGTTAACCAATTACCATCTCTCAACCCCTGTTTATCCACAGCCAGTGGAGCAATGACGTCCTGCCACAGCACTCGTTGCATCTAGGAAATGCGCCAGCTCCCACGATTCCCGGGCATTTGCGATATTTTCTCTTGATCTCTCACTACACACCGCACACCACATTCCTGTTGAGCTTCGGTCTTCCCCTTACATCGCGTTTTTCGCAGCTACTTCGCCCACGAAAGCGTCGACGATGCTCGCTTCAGCAGGATAGGACAGCAGCAACCGCATCCCCAGAGTCGTTCGTTCATCCAACGAGTCAGCAATGGCTTCACCATCGCCCTTCATGCTGGCCAGCCGAGCTGGCCGCCATGCCGGTCGTTTCAGCTCTCTACAAGCCCACCCACTTGCCAAATTTCAGCTAGGCTTCGCGCAGAATCGGTCACTATCTACTAAAACGCGCGCGCCGCTATACATTACTTCGAAGATCAGCCGCCTCCATCGCTGGCAGGTTGTTGCGTCACGACCAGTCACTCTTCGCCCATTGTCCGGCACTCCAGAGCCACAGCAGAAGCGGAGGTTGCTGACCTGGGTATACCGAGGGGCGGCATGGATCGGTGCGTCAATGGTGTTCATAGGGCTGGGCGTGGTGGCATTCTTCATCTACGATGCGACCACGTACAAGGAGCATCCAGTGCAGTCCGATATTCAGGTGTCCCAGCTGGCATTGAATCCGCGACGAGGTGGCCCGAAGAACCTGCCCATCCTCGATGTGTTCATCGATGACGACGATTGTGCGGAGATGAAGGAGCAGCGGGACAAGCCAAAGTTGGTCATCCTGGGCGGTGGCTGGGGCAGTGTCGCTCTGCTGAAGGGGTTGAATCCCGACGATTACCACGTCACCGTCATTTCCCCCGCGAACTACTTTCTGTTTACTCCGATGCTTCCTTCTGCGACTGTAGGGACACTGCAGCTGAAGTCGTTGGTCGAGCCGATCCGTCGGATATTGCATAGAGTCAGGGGCCACTTCCTTCGGGCCAACGCCGAGGACGTCGACTTCTCGCACCGGCTAGTCGAGGTTTCGCAAAAGTATCCGGACGGCAAGGAGGTCAGGTTCTACGTCCCGTACGATAAGCTTGTCATTGCGGTTGGCTCCACGACAAACCCGCACGGCGTCAAGGGTCTCGACAACTGCTTCTTCCTCAAGGACATCAACGATGCGCGCATGATCCGGAACAGGATTGTCCGCAACCTGGAGCTGGCCTGCCTGGCCACAACGACGGACGACGAGCGGAAGAGGCTGCTGTCGTTTGTGGTCTGCGGAGGTGGACCTACTGGGGTCGAATTTGCAGCAGAGCTCTTCGACCTGCTGAATGAAGACCTGTCGCTCCATTATCCTAGACTACTCCGCAACCAAGTCTCGGTCCACGTTATCCAGAGCCGTGGCCACATCCTCAACACGTATGACGAGGCATTGTCTAAATATGCCGAAGAGCGGTTTGACAGAGACCAGGTGCAAGTCCTGACCAACTCGCGAGTGCGCGAGGTCACGCCAGACTCCATCTCCTTCACGCAGGTTGGCCCAGATGGCAAGATAATTGTCAAGGAGCTCCCCATGGGATTCTGCCTGTGGTCTACGGGCGTCTCGCAGACCGAGCTCTGCAAGCGATTGGCAGCCAAACTGGGCGACACGCAAACCAACCGACACGCCCTGGAGACCGATACGCACCTCCGAGTCAACGGAACCCCACTCGGGGACGTCTACGCCATCGGTGACTGCTCAACCGTGCAGAACAACGTCGCCGACCACATCGTGACCTTCCTGCGCTCGACGGCGTGGAAGCGGGGCAAGGACCCAGAGAGCCTGGAGCTGCACTTCTCGGACTGGCGCGACGTGGCCGCGGACGTCAAGAAGCGGTTCCCGCAAGCCGTCGGCCATCTCCGGCGCCTGGACAAGCTGTTCGCCGAGTACGACAAGGACCACTCGGGGACGCTCGACTTTGGCGAGCTGCGCGAGCTCCTGAAGCAGATCGACAACAAGCTGACGAGCCTGCCGGCGACGGCGCAGCGGGCGCACCAGCAGGGCCAGTACCTGGCGCACAAGTTCAACAAGACGGCGAGGGCGGCGCCGGGCCTGCGGGCCAACGACATCCGCGAGGGCGACCTCGACGCCGCCGTGTACCGGGCGTTCGAGTACAAGCACCTCGGCAGCCTGGCCTACATCGGGAACTCGGCCGTCTTCGACCTCGGTGAGGGCTGGAGCATGACCGGCGGCCTGTGGGCCGTCTACGCCTGGAGAAGCGTCTACTTTGCGCAGAGTGTCAGCCTCAGGACTAGGATCCTGCTAGCTATGGATTGGGCACAGCGGGCCCTTTTCGGAAGAGGTGAGTGATAAAGATAGATAGAGGGGTTCTTGAGCAATCAACTAACTGGCGCGCAGACATGGTGGCCTTCTAAGGTGATGTGTTTTGGGAAGGGTTGGCTTGGATTAGCTCTCTGTTTGAGAAACAGGAATGGAATCCGAATCTGAGAATCCGAGGGTTAGAAGATAGACACGGCGAGAAGGTTCGATTGAGAGAAGCGAGGTTGAAGAAAGACATCTCGGTGGCGAAGAGCTACCTTCTAACAATGTATCCCCTAGTTTCTCAGCCAGCTTTCATGCAATCGTCATATTCAACCACCCGTCTTTCATATCTGACTGTTGTTGTCAGCCGTTCTCTCCGATATTTTCCCCTCCCCAGTCGCAAAACCAGCCATTGGGCGTCCCCCAGGTATCAAAGCTCATGCAAGTTTCACCTGCTGGACTATCCCTCGACGAAGACATAGCACCGAGACTTGTTCGTGTGAAAGTAATTGGAAATTCTATGTAGAGAATCGCCTTGAACCAGATGACAGATATGTATGCGAGAGCAAGCACCGCCGCCTCGTCTAATCCAGACGGAAGTCCTTGTACGTCCATTTCTCCGTGTACTTCGTCTTGGCCTGCTTCTTGTAGGGGATCCTCCGGCGGCTCTCCATCTTGCCCCGAACCAGGAGGCTGCGATACCTGTCCTTGAGCAGGTTTCCCTCGGGCTTGAGCAGCCTGAGGGAGTCCTGCAGCTCGTCGGGCAGGACCAGCTCCAGGTCCCTCTCGGGCAGCCTGTACTTGCCCAGCTGTCTCCGCCGCAGCTCGTTGTCGTCGCCGCCATCGTCGCTGCCGTCGCTCATCTCGACCTTCTCGAGGGCCAGCGCCCGCTCCCGCTCCTCGACGGTCTGCGCGATGTCCTTGACCTGCTCCAGCTGCGCCCTCCTCAGCTTCATGGCCGCCTCGTGCTTGGCTTTCTGCTCCTCCTCCTTGCGGCGCTTGATCCTGTTGCGCTGGGCCTGCGTCTTCCGCTGCGGCCGCTTGGCCGTGACGCTCAGCTCCTCGCCGCCGCTCTCGAACCCCTCCCACGCAGAGTCCTCGTCCCACTCGGACAGGTCCGCCCGCGCCTCGGCCGCCTCCGCCTCCGCCGCGGATTTCGCCGCCGCCTCGGCCCGGAGGCGGTCCGCCTCCAGGGCGGCGAGGCGCTTGCGCTCGGCCTCGACGGCCTTGTTGCTCTCCTCCGTCAGGCGGGCCTCGTAATCGGTGAAGGCCGGGTTGTAGCTGTGGCCACCTTTGGGTTTTGGGACCGCCCGTACGGATTTCCCGCTGGCTACCAGCGAGACTGGCTTCTGGTTCCGCGACTTCGGTGCCTTCACCTTTGCGGGCTTTGGCAAGAATGAGAGCTCGTCGGCGTCGTCCTGGATCTTGAGGGCTGTGGCTGGTTCGGCCCACACATCGTAGGTGGCATCGGGAATGGCGACGGTGCTATCGTGGTGGCCATCTGCTACTTTCCGGAGTCTCGTCAACTCCTTGTGGGTGACATAGTTTGTCCTCTGGCGCTTGGCGGGAAGGATTCCGTCCGTGGTGATATCTCCGGGTCGTTTGCGTAGAGATACGGCTGGAACAGCAGACCGCTGAGCGATGATGTCGTCGGCCTTCAACCCTCTCGCGAGCTTGGGGAGCTTCTTGCGAATGGACGCATCGCCACCGAGGTCGATGGTGAAGATCTCCTCCGATTTGCGTTCCGAAATTACGCCACTATCAAGAGTCCGTCAGCAATTTGAGACATAATTGTAGGCATTGATCATGACCGAGAACCCACCCCTGTATGATCTCCTGGTTTACTCGCTCCAATCCTTTCTGGACATCGGAGACATCAATGTTTTTCCGCCAAGCCTTCTTGCCCTTTCTCGATGGTTGCTTGTACTGTTGAGGGGCCTCAGTTGAGCCCACCAGCGGTTTTAGGACGGCCATGACAAGTACAAGGAGCGGTTCGCTTGTGGGTTTTGAGGATATCCTGCGAGTTTTCTGGCTCGATAATGGAAAAGAACATCAGTGGTGGTGGGGAATTTTCAGAATTTCACCGATAAGATTCTTATCATCACGTGGTTACTGGCTGTATCGCCTGGCAATCAGCTATCAGTTAGGCGGGGCTACCATAGCTGTCAGCCTGTCCTTAACGGGCCCGATTCTAGCCATGACGGCCGCCAAGAAAGCCGACTGCAACCAAGAGTCGCGAAAAAGGGCTCCCCCTTTTGCTTCAGCGAGCCTTGAACACCAGCCTTTGCTTTATTCCATGCTCCCACAAAGAAGTCCCACAGTCCTTTGAACCTCCCTTCCGAGTCCAATACACTCAGGCACCGCTGTTCTTCTCTGGATTTTTCCCCTGCATCGCGGAGTTCCTTCAAGATTACGCATCGCCGCCGATCCCGCCGAACCTACACAGCCTTCCATCATGGCGCAGGCAGGAGCTGGGGGGTCGTACAACAACCCTCTGAAGAAATTCAAGTACATACGATCCTTCTTCCGTGTCATGTGGTTTGGAGAACTCTAACCTCCCATACAGGCTGGTGTTCCTCGGCGAGCAGAGCGGTATGCGACCTCCCCTGTTTCCACAATTGGGTTCTGCGACGCAAAAGGAAAAACGAATTCGCTAACGATGACATGCCGTGGCAGTCGGGAAAACGTCACTTATCACACGCTTCATGTACGACTCGTTCGATAACATGTACCAAGCCACCATTGGCATCGACTTCCTCTCAAAGGCAGGGCGCCGACGACGCGGGTTCGCCCGAGATTGGGAAGACACAGCTGACAGAATGTCTAGACGATGTATCTCGAGGACAGGACGGTGCGGTTACAGCTCTGGGATACCGCCGGCCAGGAAAGATTCCGAAGTTTGATCCCATCCTACATCCGAGACTCCAGTGTAGCCGTGGTGGTTTACGATGTATCAAGTAAGGAAACCCCTACGCGCGACGGCCTCCGGGTTTCCCGGACATCAGCTGACAGGGCTCCTCCATCGTCACAGATGCTAAGAGCTTTCAAAACACGCGGAAATGGATAGACGACGTCCGGGCCGAGCGCGGCAACGACGTCATCATCGTCCTGGTGGGCAACAAGACGGATCTGAGCAAGCGCGAGGTGACGACACAGCAGGGCGAGGAGGAGGCCAGGAAAAACAACCTGATGTTCGTCGAGACGAGCGCGAAGCTGGGACACAACGTCAAGGCGCTCTTCAAGAGAATAGCGCAAGCCCTGCCCGGGATGGAGAGCTCCGACGCAGCCTCGCGAGCGACGAACCAGGTCATCGACGTCAAGACCAACAGCAACCAACCCTCGCAGGAAGGCTGTTCGTGCTAGGTGGGGACGGTGCCGTCCACTGAAAAGTACATTGGATGGGGGGGGGGGAACGCCGGGGAGATCGATTGAGGGTGGAAGGCTACCATGGAGCACCAGGATGGGGCCAGGCGCCAGGCGATATATCACCGCTCATTCATATCGTCACTCGATTATACATGGGAGCGTTGAAAAGACTGCTGTCGAGAGAGGGACGCATTGGAGCATAGCGAGTAAGGGTGGTTTTGTCGTATTAGTGTTACAAAACATGGCCGATAATAATAGTTCTACAAACTTGGAGTAATCATTCTAGAGGCCTGGCCGCTGCGAGAGTTATACCCTTGTCAACCAAGGATATCAAGCTTATACTACAATGCAAAGTACTCAATTCTAACTACGGGCGGGTACTTAGGTAGATCCTAGGCAGCTGCGCTCTTTCCCCTGAACCAGAAACCCCTTATCTAGCGGCCACCTCGTACAACCTTCAACAGCCAATAGGGTATCCTCCCAGATGGTTGACAAAGGCTATGTGGACTGTTATAAAAGCCACATCACTTCTCCCTCCATTGCCAGCTATCAACGGACGGAAAGAGCAGCCAATTGAAACGACCGGAAACCGGAACACTAGGTAAGGATTGAGCCCGCTGTCGAGGGTTGGAGCTCGAGGACTGCTGAGCATCAAACTGTGCCCAGCAGCCCAGATGTCCAAAGCCCGTCTCATCTCTCTTGATCTACTCCCGCCGCCCAGCTTTGGGTCGATCGCAGGCTTGGCTATCAGGCCCTTGCGCACTCCACCGCACCGCCGGATCGGAACCCCGGCACTGTTTAGGCAGGCGGCGATGAGATGTGGTCCGAGGTGGAATCTGGGGAAGCGGGGCGAATTAGGTAGTCCGCACTATTGAGTACGCTATCAAGTTCTCAACTTAAGTGGGTCTGGCCCTCCACACTGTGCTGTGGGCAACCGACTACCGTCAACAAAAGGTGTTTATCTTCCAGGAGAACGTGCGCGGCGTATGTCTTGAGGAGAGTGTCTCTACGCTACTTTATTAGACAATCGCTTCAGGTTGTCCCATATTACAAGCATCTGAAAGATCAGCTAGAGATTTCAAGTTAACTTGGAATTCAGCACCCGTATCTACAAAGAATGACGCACATAACTTTGCTGACTGTCATGGCAACGGTGATGAGCCACGAGTCTTGATCTGGGGGCCATTAAGATTTGCTTCTGCCTACAGCGACTTTGTATTATACACAGACAGCAGAGGAACTGTACCAAGAGGAAGCGAAATAGTAAATGATATTGCAAACATCTATCACTCTTGATGAAGAAGCGGCCCCGAAGCAGGTCAAGCCTCTGGTATCCAGCGTAGTAATGACTCTATCAATAGACAACCAATCCAAAACTTAGCCTCACTTCCTACTACCTCGCTAGCTAGAGACAATCGCATTCATTCCTAACCATATCTTGGACCAAGTCTCTCATGACATCAAGGACCCTGCTGAGTGTATTAGCCCCTGTACTGGAGATTGTCGAGATTACCTTACTGTTTTCGAAGAGTCTCGTTTTCAAGGAAAAGTGCTGATACATGTGTGTCAAATCGTCTAATTTGTGTTAGTTAGGTTGGAAAACGAGCCTTATCTAGGTAGTCTCTCACAGCCTGTAGAGATCTAGACGGCCTTCAAAATCCTCTTCAGGGGTCGAAATCTGGACGAACGACCTGTATGCAGCAATGTATTCGGCCCCAAATTTATTGCAAGCTGGTCGCCATTGGCCGAACTCGTCTTCATGTTAGTGACCGGCCATGGAGTCCATTATCTTGTCCTGCATATGTTTCAACGGAAAGACGACCTTGACACCCTGGGCCATGAGTCTCTTTGGCCCATCATTGTGCGCGATGGACGTCCCAGGCTCCCTTATTCCTACGTAGACAGTCTTGATGGCACCATTGAGTCGCAGGATCCTGGTCGCGAAAGTCATATGACGCTAAGTTTTTCGCTACACGGCTCTATGGTCGCGTACGGCACCGTGTTGATAGGGAAGACCTCCCCAATGCGCTCCTCTGGGAGGTTTTCCTTGTCGGCGATCTTGATGAAGCAGCATTGCTACGCGTGTGTCGTTCCTCGGTGTCCCTGTCGTCTCGTGGGTACTCCAGCGAGTATCTGATTCACAGGACTTCGCCCTTGGCGGCGTCGACAGGCGCTGCTCCGACGCAAGGTTGTTTGGTGCTGGTGGCGCCTTTCGCCCTTGGTCGAGGGCATATTTCATGAAGGCCTCGTGATCTCCCACCACGAAAGATGGGTAAATTAGCCGTGAATTCGTGGCAAGGCGGTGTCTTCAAGCGAGGGTTTGAGGAAATATTCGTGAAGCTTGGCCTGCGCTAATTTTTGAACGGCGGCCTGCTCTTCGTGGTATTAGGGGGCTACGGTTGATGCGGTTAGCGGATTGGCACGACCACCGAGGGGAACCTAGTCACGCCTGCAGCTACTTATTTTTCAAGCATCGGGACAAGTCAAGGTCTGGGTAGGGTGGCTGTGTCTGGTATTTGGCTTTCTAGATGGTCAGCTCAAAGACCAAAGCCCGAAACGCCATCCTAGTGATACAGAGTGATAGTGTTCGACTGGAACAGGTTGATGGACATAGTCTACGAAGGATCCTCTTTCTGTCTAGCGTTTCCCAGAGGACAGGAACTTGGAATGGGTGGGTGATTGATGCTCCAGACGGATGTTCAAACTCTTCAGCCCCTTTCGATACCATTCTTTCCAAGATTGGCGAATCGATACCCCTCAGAATCCTCATCGCTAGTCGGGATACAGTTGATATGGATCAGCGCTTCTCAGGCCTTCGATCCAGTCTGCTACAGGCTTTATAAATATCGACAGCGGATACACTCCCAGACCACAAGTTCTTGACTGAAAGCAAGACCAACGCCCTGTCTGTCGTGACGCCGAAACAGACAGACGCCCTCTTAAGCGTCGGCACCTACAACATGATCTTATCGCATAGAATATAGAAGTCGACAGATAAAGGCTGGTTAGCGGACGCAACCGTGCTCTTCCAGTCCCGCCATGTGTCTGAAAATGCCATTGTGGACGTTTTGGTCAGAAAAGCGCCGGACAGGTAGACTCGGGAGTCAGGCCACCTCCATACCTTGGACGGTAAGCAGGAGGGATAGCGAACCTACCAAGGTATCCCGGGAATCCAAGTTGATACTCGACGCAGACTGCGTGGCCATCGGAAATGGCGATAGCAGCAACCAGTGGGAGATAAAGTCCCATGATGTTGCTGCATCAACTAAGTTGGCACCGAGGCTGAGACACTCTTTTCGGTTCCAAATTACAAGCTTCGCGCACAATGTCGCTCACGTCATCGGAATCAACGACTCAGGTAAATTCGTTTTCCTCGGCCGCTCTCCTTGGGCATTGTCTCCTGATCATGGAGAGAGTGGACTTGAGGTTTGTTATGGCCATGGTTCCTCTACGATTGAGTAGACCTTCGTTCACTATGACTGGCTCACAGGAAGGAAGAATGTCACTTGTCTGTTGAGCACAGAGGGACGGCGTATTAGATCAGAGTGGCGACCTGGCGGTTATTAAGGGCTCCTTTGAGCAAGCTGAGAGAGTTGGTACTGAGTCTTCTGGCACTTGTGACGAAAGGAAGGGACTCACAGACTCCGAGCCAACTCAGAGAGGCGGAGACTGGTGACTCCCTAGATGGGACTCAAAAAAGGCGCCAAACTGTAACTTGATAGCCTGTGGTGCTGCAATGCACACCCATATATGGAGGTTGTCAGCGAAAAGGGGTAAAAGGGGTAGGTGGGGCTCAGATCATCAGGTATTGAAGAAGCGATTGAACAGCAAGACTGCCAATAACAGGATAATTTCCCTTTGGATTTGTCCAATTGCTGATGGTTTCGACTGATGAGCTTATTATTTTCAGCGCACTTATTTCTCTTCTGCTTCACTCGTTTTTGGCTGTGTTTGCCTCCAGGGGAGAGCCTAGGAAAGGAGCGAAGTGGGCTTGTGATAAGGCTTCCCCTTGTGGGGTAACGCACGTGCCATCTACAGTTCAGTCTGTACTGTACGGGGACATAATCCGGGGAAACCGCTCAACTGACCATTTCCCCTGTTAGTGGCCCCACTGCCCCAGAAACTGCCTTACCGCTAAACCTCTTGGGCCTCAAAGGACGATGTTAGGAGTCGTGCAGTTAAGGTTAGGTGGGGAGTCTGGGAACGGTGAGGGCCAATGGCTGTTCTGGGAGTATTTAGTGAATATCCGTCGCAAGAGACACTGGAGTTACTGTTATTGTAGCTTCGATCAAGTCCTCAGGACCTCCGAGTTGGACACGTGTATACACGTTCAGACACACGTCGGTGTAGCGACTTCGTCTCTCTTACTTCTGATCCTCATCACCCCATAGCGCAACCTCCTCGACGTATCACAGGGGGCGACATGGTCAAACTGACCACTTACAAGAGTCTGAGCGGGGAGCTGACGTCGTAGTTACCTATTCCGTCGGTACGGAGGTACGGTGTTTGGTTATACTAGCGACTGAAACTCAATTACCCCGCTTCTATACAAACTGATACCTAGCCACGCTGCCATACAGGGCCATTCCCCAGATCAGCTGCCGTACCCTAATGTATGGGATGGCTTGGGGCCTGGTCTCAGTGGCGGCGACGACTCGTGCCTGGGTGCCCTTCGAGTTCGAGGGGGAGAAACAGTGACTCCTGACCAACCCAATAAAAGGAGAGAGCCCTCCCCCTTCCCGTCCCATCCCTCCTTCTGTCTCCAAACGCAGCTTCTTGTTACACAAACTTCTCCAACTGTCGAACCAAGTCTCATCATCATCCATCAACAGTCATCAACAGGCAGCTTGCCCTAGCCTCTATCACAGAGACCGACCACGTTAACTTACATCAAGACTCGCGTGTGATCCCAACGGTATGCTTCATTCCCTTTCCACGGTGTTCTCCCTTTGATGCCCTGTCGACGTATTCCACGCAGTGTTATCATTCCGTCTCCATCGTTTCGAATTCTTGTGCCTTTGAACGACGTGTCTTGTCCCATTCTAACATTTCGAAAGGAACACATTACACGCCACCCATCACTTCAACACTTCATCACCACATCGCCCGCCATGCCTATCCGCATCCCCAACGCCCGCTCCAGCGAAGTCCTCTGCTTCGGCGCCGCCGGCGTGGGCGTCTTCGCCCCCTTCTACATGTTGCTCCCCGGCGCCGAGGAGCGCCTAGCCGCCCGGACCGCCCGGTGGGCCCCGCGCTGGGAGCGCAACATCACCTTCTTTAAGTCACCAGTCGAGCGCAGCATCCAGCGGGTTACCCCGCCCATCGGGAGGACGGTCCAGAGGATCGACCGGAGGCTGCCCCTCGAGAGGATGGCCCAGAATGTGGACAGGAGGATCAAGAATGGCATCGATAAGGTCCACCTCCACCACTCATAAGTGAGCTGGAAGGATGTGTGTGTCGAGTTGGAGGGGCGTTTATCTGAACGCACGCTGGCTCTTGCGTACTACCACGACATGACGCAAGCATGCCGCTGATGGAGAGAGAAGGCTCGTCTCCAGTGGGGTTTCAACCAGACTGTTGCCAGCTTGTGGCCAATGCTACCCATCGTCCGTTTCCGGGTGAGGAATTGTTGGCGAGATTGTCTCGATATGAGATTAGATAGGTAGTTGGCTGTGGCCGTGATACGTGCGAATAGTCTGTCTCATCAATGAAACCAAGGGGCCATTATTGGCACCTGTAAAGTCCATTACGCCTTGACACATTGACTTCGTTGTGTCACTAAATCCATTGTCAGCGCCATTCACCAAGTACACCGTAAAATATTACGACGCTCTGGAAGGGGGATAGCACTCTGAAGGCCGCAATGCCTTTTCGGTTGTTCCGCTTATTGCTTCTGCGGGTCTAATTTCAACGACGGGTGATTTTCCAACTTGGTAATCACAGCTTGCTTGTCGAGACATGTCACATAACCCTAACCCTCACCCGGACTTGGGACGGGACGTGCTTGTCACGCACGGACCAAGGGGACCGGCTCTTCCGGGTTTTCTATCGCGTGATAAGCTTCAGAGGTTCACTGGGTATTCACATGCGCTCTTTCCTTGCATCTATCTGCATCAGAGTCAACTTTGAAAATGGCAGCAACGTCGAGAGGATGGTGGCTTCGAATGCCACGACCAAGGGTCAGTTTTGCGATTCCATTCCCGCCCCAAAGGGGACCACTATCTGAGCTGACCAATTCCCTGACTTCCCCCTTTTTCAGACATTCTTTGGCATCATGTCCTTACAGACGGGCACCGAGATTATCACGCTCGCACTTCTCCTCAATAAGATCACGGGCATATACGGCCTCATCGCGGTGCTGACCGGCTACGCTCTCTCGGCCCTCCAGCTGTCCATGTACCTCTACTCGGTGCTCTGCGTCGCCGCCCTCGCCTTCCTCATGCCACACATCCGCAAGCAGACGCCCTTCCACAACCTTGCCCTCGCCTGGCTGTACCTCCTAGACACGGCCATCAACGCCGCCTACACGACCTCCTTCGCTGTCGCGTGGTACCTGGCCGGCTTCCACGACCCCGAGGGCACCGCCGGCAAGGACGCCTCGCCCAACACCCCAGGCGTCGGCGGCGGCAACAACGGGACCTACGCCGTCGGTGGTGCGGGGTCGCCGCGCGAGGAAGACCTGCAGGCGCGCGAGACGGCCGTCAGCATGGTGACGATCGTGGCGCTGACGCTGGTGCGCGCGTACTTTGCCGTCGTGGTGGCGGGCCACGCGCGCGCGGTGCTGCTGCGGTTCGCCGAGGGGCGGCCGGTGCAGGAGGCGCGGGTCGGCGTCGGAGGGGCGGCGCAGAAGGGCAGGGTCGGGAACCCGTTTGCCGAGGGGACGGCCGAGGGGGACGGGTGGAGGGGAGGGCTGGGGAGGGTCATGGTCTCGGTTGGGGAGGGGTACTGGCTCGGGAGCAGGGAGGATGAGGAGTGGACGAGGGATGTCAGCTCAAAATTTAGGAGTGCTGCGAGGAGTCAGGGTGGAGAGCGGGCGCCGTGAGGGTGTCGGTCTCTCTTGGCTTGGGGCGGATGACGCTTGCGGCTCTTTCTTGCTGGTTCTACGGAGCTGGTACTCGTGGAATGGGTGAGATCGGCCTGTGATTCCGCGCCGGATTACATGTCTCTCCCTATCCCCCACTCCGGCCGACCAGAGACTGCTATACCTGGTCCAACGTCCTGGTCCAACGTCCTGGAGCGAACTGTATGAGAAGGATCGGGAGCGTGGACTCCCTGGGTACGGCATTTGCATCACGGAAAGGGCTCTGTCTTTGTCACTGGAGGGCTTCATACACGGAAAGGTCTCCCTAAACGGAAATGCTGCATCATCAATCACTCACCGGACCGGGCGGTTGTTCGGCAATCCACGGCAAGGCTGATAATAATAATAGGAAGGGGTTCTTTCTCCAAACGACTCCTAGAACCTAGACCCTTAAGAGGACATACACATTACACATAGCATAGAATCGAGGAAGGAAATCGTCAACTTGAGCATTTCACGAGTCTTGCATGTTATCACGTCAGTTTCAATGGCGAGTTTCAATTGCCGATTGTAGGTTTGCCCAAGGTAGTCGGCGGCTATCGGTGGCGGGATTTGGTTTGGGGCGGGAATCGGTGGACCGGGGTCTGGATTGCGGGAGGGTCCCCCATCATCTGCCCCCATAATGGCCCAGAATGCAAGCCAGAATGCAGCCTGGGTTAGCCCCGAGATGCTGTGGTTGTTGTTATGGATACGAATTGCGGTAACACCGAAATGCCCTGCAGAGTTGAACCTGATATTATTATGTACTGACATAGGTACGGGGTACGGTAGGTATTTATTTATTTGTGCAGTGTCATCATGATGACGCCTGTACGTCTGTAGAGCAACAAGATGCAAAGTATCCGTCCCAAGAGTTATGTAACTGGTGATTCTATCTTCTCAGACCATAAAGACAAGCCGCCAAGAAAGCGACTTGGAATGGCGACACTGGCCCGGGCCAGCACGGGCTTTGACAAACTGTACGGGGCGACTGGCAGCAGACATTGGGGCCTTTGGATTGGCATCGATGACAAAACCAACCAGGTCTTGAATTGCAACCGTTATCATTCGCCGGGACAGCCATTGGGGCTCAACAGCGCTGACACTAGCACCGATCACGCAATCGACCCCCATCGCAGAGAAAATTAATTGCGCCAGCGGGGCGGCCATTGATGATGGAGCTTGGAGACTTGCCATCCGGGACTAGAAGAATTTAACCCCAAGAGGCGGGCCCTTTCACCTTTATAAGTTCCTGAGAGAAAGAAACATGTCATTTCTCCTCCGACCCTTCAGTACCGCCAGGGACGACGAAGCTGCAGACATGGCAGACAACACTGTTATTCAGGTCCACAGCCCTGAGGAAGCTGGTAAGTTCCAAGTGTTCCCTTGCCCCCGCCTTGCCAATTGTCGTTGTGGTGCCCCCCGCCAGTTTTTTTATCCCAAATCACTCAAACCATTCCCCCCCCCCCGGCGCTCCAATGAGAGACAAGGTGTTGCAACGCCTCGGCCTCGATTTGGGGTTTGGGGCAAGCTGGGAGAAGATCAATGAAGAAAGGCAAAAACACATAGACGAAGAAGACAGGAAGCAGAGGATAGGGGACAGTTGAATTGGCGGCTAACCGATGTCCCCATCTTATAGTTGCGAGGATCGCCTACCTCGCCAGCGATGTAATTGTATCTGTGCAGCCCTCACTCGCAACCGACTCGGGCTTCTCAGAGCACCTGAAGAGATATTCGGCTCGGAAAGATAAGAGTCTCGTGGCGAAGAGCCCCGATACAGTTCCCGAGATCCAGTCCGTCAGGCACAATGCCGACCCTCTACTCTCCGTCTTCACACCCATCCGCTCTGGCCGGCTAGTGTCCGTCACCACCAGCTCCGCCATCCTCCTACCCTCCATTGCCCACCTCTACAAGCTCGCCAACTACCCTGTCGTCATCCATGTCGCACTCCACCCGGCCAGCTACGCCGATTACTCGGCCATCACCTCCATCCGGAACTCGGGCTGGACCTTCCTGCAATCCGAGTCTGTCCAGGAGGCCCAGGACATCGCATTGACTGCCCATGCTCTCGCCATCCGCTCGGGCAAGGGCGTAATCCACTTCTTCAACCCAGGATCCAGCGCCCAGGCCGGTCCAATTGGGCCCGAGGATTCCGACGTCGTTCGGGAGGTGTTGAATCTGGACAATGCTCGGCAATTCCAGTCTTCCTCGATCTCCAGCTCCGGGATCTACGCCGACGATGGCCGTGTTGCGATAGTTACCGAGCAGACGGAACCCTTAACGACAGGCACCCCGGCAACTCAGGCCAGCAGCTCGCGAGGCGGCGAGGACGACACTTCGGAATCTAAGACGGAGTCCACTCGTCCCTCCACAAGGACTAGTCGGCAGCACAGTATCTCTAGCATCCCACCGAGCGTATCCTCAGCAACAACTGTCGACCAAGCCCCACCGGCCGTCAGCTCGGAAGACATCTACAAGTATGCTGTCTCCATTTGGACGCAGCTTGAGAGCCTCGTCGGCAGGCGGTACAGCCCCTTCGAGTGGACGGGATCGTCGAAAGCCGAGAACGCGCTCTTCGTCTTCGGTTCGGATACCGCTCTCTTCTCCCAGGCCATTGACCACGCCCAGGCCGACGACGTCTTTGCCAATGCCGGAATCATCACCGCCCGCCTCTACAGACCATGGCTGGGCGCAAAGCTTCTGGCGGTTATCCCGCGCTCCGTTAAGCGGATAGCTGTTCTCGAGCAGGTTTCCAGGAAGACCACCAAGTGGGGTCCGTTGCTCATTGATGTCTTGACTTCGGTGAAGAGCAGCCCCGGAGGCGTGCAGACCATCGTAGGCCATCAAGTCGGCTATATTTCGCAGAGGACTATCGAGCAGGCGCTTCGTGGCATCTTCCAGAATCTCACTTCCGCCCAGCCGATTCAGAACCTCGAGGTCGGCGAGCGAGAAGGGCCCCAGAAGGAGGCTGAGCCCGCCCTCGAGAAGCCCAAGCTAGAGAATGCCTACACTAAGATCCTCGACCAACTCTTCGGTAACCGGGTCTACGTTGCCAACTCGTTGGACTCGGACAACGCTGGCGTCTCAGACACCATCTCCGCTAGTCCCGAGTTTGGCTTTGGATCCCTGCTGGCAAGAAAGGAGCGGAGGCAAACCTTTGTCACAGACCTGAAGAAGGCTGCCACTTCAGACGCGTTCCTGACGCCGGCTCCGAAGCGTGCCATTGCCCAGTGGCTGGTCAGCGCCGACGCTGGCAACAAGATCGACGCCGCTGCCGACGACTTGGAATCCCAGCTGAACATCGACAACTCCACCGCAGCGCGGAAAATCCTTGCCTACAAGCAGTTCCTCCGGAAGCAGTCGCTCTGGCTCGTCGGGTCTGATGCTTGGTCCTACGATCTCGGCAATTCTGGTGTTCACCATGTCCTGGCCTCTGGAGAGAACGTCAACATGCTCATTATCGATTCCACCCCTTACTCTGAGCGTGCCGCCGCCGACGCGAACCGAAGGAAGAAGGATATTGGCTTGTACGCCATGAACTTCGGCAACGCCTATGTCGCCTCCACTGCCGTCTACAGCTCCTACACCCAGGTGCTCCAGGCCATGGATGAGGCGGACAAGTTCAACGGCCCCTCCATCGTCCTTGCCTACCTGCCATATTTCGGTGAACACGACTCTCCCCTGACCGTCCTCCAGGAGACCAAGAAGGCCGTCGACCTGGGTTACTGGCCCCTGTACCGGTGGAACCCGGACAACGAGAAGAATGGCGAGCCCAACTTCTCGCTCGATTCTGAAAGGATCAAGAAGGAGCTGAAGGAGTTCCTTGCGAGGGACAACCAGCTCACGCAGCTGATGCGGAAAGAGCCTCTCTTCGCCGCCAGCCTCTCGCAGGACTTTGGCACTGAGATCCGCGCTCAGCAGAAGAGGAAGGCGAAGGACGCCTACAACCAGCTTCTCGAGGGCCTGTTCGGCGCGTCGCTCACCATCCTGTTTGCCTCGGACAACGGCAACGGCCAGTCCCTGGCCAAGAGGTTAGGAACCAGGGGCAGGGCAAGAGGGCTCAAGACGGTGGTCATGGATATGGAGGATTATCCCGTCGAGGACCTGCCGACCGAAGAGAACATCGTCTTTTTCACCTCTACTGCCGGCCAGGGTGAGTTCCCGCAGAACGGCCGGGCCTTCTGGGATGCGGTCAAGGATAGCACGGAGCTCGACCTGGCGTCTGTCCACTACTCTGTCTTCGCGCTCGGAGACAGCCACTACTGGCCCCGCAAGGAGGACAAGATCTACTACAACAAGCCTGGCAAGGATCTGGACCGAGTTCTCGCAAATTTCGGCGCCACGAGACTGGCGGATATCGGCCTCGGCGACGATCAGGATCCGGATGGCTTCCAGACTGGCTACCAGGAGTGGGAGCCGAAGCTCTGGGAGGCCCTTGGCGTGGCAAATGTCGAGGGGCTTCCGGACGAACCCCCGCCGATCACAAACGAGGATATCAAGATTGAGTCCAACTACCTGCGTGGCACGATTGTCGAGGGCTTGAACGACCCGACCACCGGCGCCATCTCCGCGAGCGACCAGCAGTTGACCAAGTTCCACGGCACCTACATGCAGGACGATCGGGATCTCAGAGAAGAGCGCAAGGCCCAGGGTCTCGAGCCGGCGTACAGCTTCATGATCCGCTGCAGGTTGCCAAGTGGTGTTTCCACCCCGAAGCAATGGATCCAGATGGACGACATCAGCAATGAGCTCGGAAACGAGACCATGAAGCTGACCACGCGCCAGACCTTCCAGTTCCACGGAGTCGTCAAGGGCAAGCTCAAGCCCGCCATGCAGGCCATCAACAGGGCCCTCATGACGACCATTGCCGCCTGCGGAGACGTGAACCGGAACGTCATGTGCAGCTCGCTGCCCCTGAAGGCCCAGCTTCACAAGGAGGTGCACGCGTGCTCCAAGAGGATCAGCGACCACCTGCTGCCGGCGACTACGGCGTACCACGAGATCTGGCTCACGGACGACGACAACAAGAAGACGCAGATTGCCGGCGACGCCGTTCAGGACTTTGAGCCGCTGTACGGACCGACGTATCTCCCGCGCAAGTTCAAGATCACCATCGCCGTGCCGCCCTACAACGACACGGACGTGTACGCGCACGACATCGGCCTGATCGCCATCGTGGGCGAGGACGGCCACCTGACCGGGTTCAACCTCCTGGCCGGCGGCGGCATGGGCGCCACGCACAACAACAAGAAGACGTACCCGCAGACGGGCCGGATGCTGGGCTACGTCAAGGTCGAGGACGTGCACATTGCGTGCGAGAAGGTGATGCTGGTGCAGCGCGACCACGGCGACCGCAAGAACCGCAAGCACGCGCGGCTCAAGTACACGATCGACGACCTCGGGGTGGACGTGTTCCGGTCCAAGGTGGAGGAGATCTGGGGCCAGGAGTTCCAGCCGGCGCGGGCGTTCCACTTTGAGAGCAACGTCGACTCGTTCGGCTGGCTGCGCGACGATGCGGGCCTGAACCACTTCACCTTCTTCATCGAGAACGGCCGCATCGAAGACACGGCCGAGTTCAAGATGAAGACGGGCCTGCGCGAGATCGCAAAGGTGCACAAGGGCGAGTTCCGCCTGACGGGCAACCAGCACCTGATCCTCAGCAATGTGGCCGACGCCGACGTTCCTAAGATGAAGGAGCTGATGGCCCGGTACAAGCTGGACAACCTGCAGTTCTCGGGCCTGCGGCTCAGCTCGTCGGCGTGCGTGGCCTTCCCGACGTGCGGCCTCGCCATGGCGGAGAGCGAGCGGTACCTCCCCGTGCTGATCTCCAAGCTGGAGGCCTGCCTGGAGGAGAACGGGCTGCGGCAGGACAGCATCGTGATGCGCATGACGGGGTGCCCCAACGGGTGCGCGCGGCCGTGGCTCGCTGAGGTGGCATTCGTCGGCAAGGCCTACGGCGCATACAACATGTACCTCGGCGGCGGGTACCACGGCCAGCGGCTCAACAAGCTGTACCGCAGCAGCATCAAGGAGGACGAGATCCTCGAAATCATGAAGGACCTGCTCAAGCGGTTCGCCGCCGAGAGGAACGAGGGCGAGCACTTTGGCGACTGGACCATCCGCGCCGGCGTCATCAACGCGACGAGGGAGGGCAGGGATTTCCACGAGGGCGTAAGTGATACTCTTTCCTAAATTTCCATCCTCTTACACACACACGATGCTGACATGCTATACACAGGTTGCCGAAGAGGACGAGTCCGACGAGGAGTAAGCGAAGTGGGTAAAATTGGGACGAGCAGTGTAGATAAAAACCCCCGTGTAACCAAAACCCAAACCGCATGCATTAATCCGGGCGTCGAATCTCCTATTTGTTTTGCATCTTCTTTTTGGTCATTATTCCTACATAGTATACTACACTACAGACTAGTGCATACATAGCATCAATTCAGCGACATATCCGTACTAGCTTCTGCGCGAAACCGATGAGCTCCAACGTCTTCGGTAATTATTGACGGTGTACGCATGTAGTGGACAGAAAGATCGACGACGCCTTGTGGTGAAATTCCCCGAAGGTTATTAGATATATCGGGAACGTGTGTGTCTGCGCGTTCTGTGATCTCCCGTTCTCGGCCTCATCCTCGTATTTTAAGGGAATAATTATTCATACAATTCGACGGGAAGCCGCAGGATCCGTAGGACAGTCAACTGGGGTGGGGTGGAGGCTTGTCTCAGAATTTTGAGTGGAGGGGTGAATGAATGTCTGGGTCGGATTGTTGCCCTGACAACCAAGCTGAGCGTGCATACACGCAAGCGCCGGCACTAAACAAAGCATTCCTGTCCAGGACCCCTCCACCACAGCGGGTCTGATTTACGTCTTGACATTCCAATTCTCCCGGGTCTTGAACTTCTCTTGTGTTACGGCCCAGCAGAAAGAAACCATAAAACCTATCTACGACATTAAGGAGGGCCACGCATACCAACACCCATACCTAGCATTGTCAACCTTCTATTACATCCTCCGGGATCATAGCCTCACTCAGCGTTGTCTTGGTGACCAGCATTCCTCGGCTCGCCGCCGACGGTTTCTGTCAACATGGACGGCCCAAATACCCCAGGGTCAAGGCCTCCGGACTACGCACTGCCATCGTACGACGATGTCGACGATCCGATGCCGACTAGCGCAGGTGGTAACGCTGCCGCGGTCCGATTGCTGACGTCTTTGGAAGAACCTTTCTCAGAGGGCAGACAGTATGTTGTCCCACCGCAAGTCCTCATTCCGCCCCCTCTCTCAGTGAAGCAGAGCGAGCCGTTGCATAAGTTGCACCCTCCTTATCACTTGGCCCCCCTCGAGCAGCAGGAAGAGAGTGATCCCGGTGCAACGGGGAAGGGTGTCTCTTTCGTGTCTCCTTGGAATGTTAGGAGTCCACGAAAAAAGCCAGTGCCCAAATATTCAAGCACAGACACGCAGCCGGAGATGGACACGTTCTCCTCCTCTGTCAAGCTCCAGAAAAGGGTCAAGCCGGAACGAGTCGTGCAGGCGCAGATTGCACAGTGCTTGCCGGCTATCCCAGAGGGACCGTCGCCAAGACGAGCGTCCCTCAAGAAGTGTCCTAGCGACCCAGTGCGCCCGAGTAGAGCACACATTCCTTTTGCAAGCTTCTCTAACCCATCTTTCCACCTTAACAGTAGCCACACGACCAGAAGATCATACCAACCTTCCATCATCTCCCGCCGGTCTTCTATTCTCGACCCCCCCACCATGGCACCACCAGATTCATCCTACGTACCATATCAGCCAAGTGTGGAGAGTAGCTCTCCCACCAGGGCGTGGTCACCATCTCGCATGTCGTCCACGTCAGATTATAGCCGTCCCCGGGCGTCGACGGTCCATTACGAGCCACCCGATCTCAACGGGAGCCCCAGACCTGGGACACCCTCCTCCAGGTACGGTGGCAGCCCCCGCCGGCCACTGCCGCCGGCGCCGCTGTTCTCGGGCTCGGCCCGCAACTCGACGTTTGCGGACGACGCGACGGTCAGCATCCCGCTGGAGGAGGAGGGCGACGACGTGTTCGGTCCGGAATCAGACCTGGGCGACCACCGGGTGCAGCGGGGCTCGTACGGGTCGCAGGTGACGCTGAGCGAGGAGCAAACCGACATGGACATGATGGGTGACGACAAGGTGGAGCACTACGGTCCTGCGCCGGAGGGCAAGCAGGAGCGGCGCGGTGTGCGGGCGCCGCAGATGAGCAAGAAGGAGGTGGTGCTGATCAACGGCGAGCTCGTTCTCGAGTGCAAGATCCCGACGATCCTGTACAGCTTCCTGCCGCGACGGGACGAGGTCGAGTTCACGCACATGCGCTACACAGCGGTGACATGCGACCCGGACGACTTTGTGGACCGGGGCTACAAGCTGCGGCAGAACATGGGCCGCACGGCGCGCGAGACGGAGCTGTTCATCTGCATCACCATGTACAACGAGGACGAGTACGGCTTCACGCGCACCATGCACGCCGTCATGAAGAACATCAGCCACTTCTGCGCGCGCAACAAGAGCCGCACGTGGGGCGAGCTGGGCTGGCAGAAGATCGTCGTGTGCGTCGTGTCGGACGGCCGAGACAAGATCCACCCGCGCACGCTCGACGCCCTCGCCGCCATGGGCGTCTACCAGCACGGCATCGCCAAGAACTACGTCAACCAGAAGGCGGTGCAGGCGCACGTGTACGAGTACACGACGCAGGTGTCGCTCGACTCGGACCTCAAGTTCAAGGGCGCCGAGAAGGGCATCGTGCCGTGCCAGATGATATTCTGTCTCAAGGAGCGCAACCAGCGCAAGCTCAACTCACATCGCTGGTTCTTCAACGCCTTCGGCAAGGCCCTCAACCCCAACGTGTGCATCCTGCTCGACGTCGGCACCCGGCCCGGCGGCAAGTCGCTGTACCACCTGTGGAAGGCCTTCGATACAGATTCTAACGTGGCGGGCGCGTGCGGCGAGATCAAGGCCATGAAGGGCCGCTGGTGCCGCAACCTGCTCAACCCGCTCGTCGCGTCGCAGAACTTTGAGTACAAGATGTCCAACATCCTCGACAAGCCGCTCGAGAGCGTCTTCGGCTACATCACCGTGCTCCCCGGCGCCCTCAGCGCGTACCGCTACCACGCGCTGCAGAACGACGAGACGGGCCACGGCCCGCTAAGCCAGTACTTCAAGGGGGAGACGCTGCACGGCCAGCACGCCGACGTGTTCACCGCAAACATGTACCTCGCCGAGGACCGCATCTTGTGCTGGGAGTTGGTGGCGAAGCGGGGGGATAGATGGGTGCTGAAGTACGTCAAGGGATGTACCGGCGAGACGGACGTGCCTGGTAAGTTTAGTTTAGTTTTTTACTCTCCCTCCTCTCTTCGTTTCTACTACCTCCCCCCCGAACCGATGGCTGACAGAACGGCACAACCCACAGACACCGTCCCCGAGTTCATCTCTCAGCGGCGGCGCTGGCTCAACGGCGCCTTCTTCGCGGCCGTGTACTCGCTCGTGCACTTCAAGCAGATCTGGCAGACGGACCACACGATCGCGCGCAAGATACTCCTGCACATCGAGTTCCTGTACCAGCTGCTGCAGCTGCTCTTCACCTACTTCTCGCTGGCCAACTTCTACCTGACCTTCTACTTCGTCGCGGGCGGGCTCGCCGACGAGCACGTCGACCCGTTCGGGCACCACATCGGGCTGTACATCTTCACCATCCTGCGGTACACATGCGTGCTGCTCATCGCGACGCAGTTCGTCCTCTCGCTGGGCAACCGGCCGCAGGGGGCCAAGAAGCTGTACCTGGCCAGCATGATCATCTACGGCGTCATCATGGTCTACACCGTGTTCTCGTGCATCTACATCATCGCGCGGCAGCTGACGCGCGCCAAGGACGACCCGGACGACCCCGAGGTCATCGCCATGGGCAACAACGTCTTCACCAACCTGATCGTGTCGACGGCGTCGACCGTGGGCCTCTACTTCCTCATGTCGTTCCTGTACCTCGAGCCGTGGCACATGATCACCTCGGCGGCGCAGTACTTCTTCCTGCTGCCGTCGTACATCTGCACGCTGCAGGTGTACGCCTTCTGCAACACGCACGACGTGACGTGGGGCACCAAGGGCGACAACGTGATCCGCACCGACCTGGGCGGCGCCGTGGGCAAGGCCGGGTCCGGGTCGGGCACGGTGGAGCTGGAGATGCCGAGCGAGCAGCTCGACATCGACTCCGGGTACGACGAGGCGCTGCGAAACCTCCGCGACCGCGTCGAGGTCGCCGACCCGGCCGTCAGCGAGGCCCAGATGCAGGAGGACTACTACAAGAGCGTGCGCACCTACATGGTCGTCGTGTGGATGGTCGCCAACGGCATCCTCGCCATGGCCGTGTCCGAGGCCTACGGCGCCACGGGCATCGGTGACAACTTCTACCTGCGCTTCATCCTCTGGAGCGTCGCCGGCCTGGCGCTGTTCAGGGCTATCGGGAGTACCGCCTTTGCCGTCATCAATGTGGTTAACATGGTCGTCGAGGGCCGAGTGCGCATGAGCCTCAAGGTGCCGGGGTGGATGGGCGGTATGGGGTCGAGAGTCAGCGAGACGCTTAGCAGCATTGGGAGTAGCGTTAGGACTTGAGGTGTCCGTTCATGGTGGACGGTGATTTGTGGCTATTGCTGTGTGTTTTGCTTTTCCCCCTCCGTTGGTGAGGATTCATTTACCGAGAGGAGAGCTGCGATACGGTATCTCAAAGGGATTCATTCGGCTGCGAAGGTAGACGACGGATATGACTTGCAAGGCAGAGGGGAAATTGTTCTGGGCGATATGGTGTTTGTGTGGAATTCATGTACGTCTAATGTGTCGGTCGTTCAAGGCGATGGAACTTTGTTCGGTGTGCTTCGCGTACCATTTGGGTATCGAGTCGAGGGTAGTTCCGAAATGATAAAGACGATATCCCCATGCATTCTAGGCCAGGAAACATTTTCTTACACCTCCAGTCCGGTCGAGAGCGTGCTCGGCTGGTCCCTGGAGAAGCAAATGCTCTTTCCGAGACAACAATATTTATATCTATCTAGGTATAGGTGGGTAGCTATCAATTTATCTGACTTGAGGAAGGTAAGTATAAGCTTCACTCTCCAGATTACACGGTCCCCTACCAGGGTATCATTCTCGTACGTTTGTCGTGCAGAAAAGACCAAAAATGGCCTGATATCAAAGCCGTGCTTCATTACCATCCAACCGACGTCTCTGCAGGCAAGAGACAGGTATCACACATCATCAAAATGAACATTCCCAATTATGATTCGCCGAAGAGCAGACTTCCCCCTCACTCTTATTTCTCCATTCATATTGCCACCTCACGCAAGAGTCTCAGCGCGCTGCGCGATCACGTAACGAACCGCGGCTTCGAGGAGCCACCCCGACGCCTGATAAACCACCCCAAGGCGATGAGGATAGCCGCCAGTGCAAACGCCAGGAACTGGAAGATCTCCCCCACGAACGCCTTCTGGCAGGTGGCCTTGAGGTTATTCGCGACGTCCATCACGTCCTTTGCCCCGTCGGCGACGCCGCAGTACTGCGACCCGTCCTTGGCCTTGACGCAGCCGCCGTTGAGCAGCGCGTTCTTGAGCATCTTCTCCGAGTCCTCGAGCTTGCACGAGATGCCCTTGAGGCCGATGGCCCACGCGATCCCCCCGGCCGCCAGGAGGATCCCCGCCAGGGCGTCCAGGGCCATGGGCACGAGGGCCGGGAGCGCCTCGAAGAAGATGCCCACGGCGCCCACGGCCGCGACGATCATGCCGAACGCGCCCGTGAAGACGCTGTATCGCGTCGTGACGGGCGAGTTACCATACTTTTGCGCCTTCAGGAGAGTCACTGAGAGGCCAAGGACGACGACGGCGAAGAGAAACTGGAGAGGTGGGGAGAGTCGGTTAGGAGGGAGTTGATCTCATGGCGTTCATGACCCGACTTACTTGGAAGGCGCGAACGCCAAGGGCGATGGGGCCAAGCATGGTATGTATGTATCTTGTTCCGGGAGGAACTGCTGAGAGGGTTTGAGGTACGATGCGAGCAGAAGGGAACTACCGATAGAAGAGCTTGGTCAAGTCGAATCGGTTGTGTTTAGACAACAGCGACAAGAGTATGAAGGGGGAGGAGCAGAAATAAACCCGCACTGGTCTTGAGTGGGTGACCGGCTTTTCATATGCGGACGAAATGAGATGCAAGCCCTGTAGGGCAGACCTTCCCAGCCACACACCCACCTCCCAACCGCCAGGGACAAATCGCGGCACATGAAAACATAGGTGTGACCAATGTAACGATCTAAATAGAGACTGTTGCCTGGAGCAGCCCAAAAAAATTGGAGCCAAAAAGGGATCGATCGACACCGAGGGAAGTCACCCCATCCCTCAAACAAGCGCCTGCATGTACGCATACATAACACGTTAAGCCCTGCCCTGAATTAGCAGGCCAATCGAAGGGACCAAATACAGAGCGAAGAGGCTGGTTTGGGGCACCAGCAGCGGTGGAGTTGGTCGTTGAAACTGTACTTATACGGCGAAGCGCCTTGATGTGGGGGCAGGGGGAGGCGTTTGCAAGGATGCGAATCCATCTGGAAATCCTTTGCAGCCGTCCTATTCGACCGAGTCATCAGCAACTTGCCGAGTGCCGGAGCAATTTGCGGATGATCTGCACGTAAGAATTGGGCCCCGCCTCGAAGTCATCAACAATGACTCTACCCAGTCTAGCCAGTGCGTGCTAGGGAGGCAGTTGAAGTTGGATATTGTAGAATCGTATCCATAATGGTTCCACAACCTTGAACGTGAACTCGGGAGTTGGCTCGTGGTTGGTGTGCTCGGCCCTCCAGTGTAACCTGGACCTGGCCGCCAAGACTCGCATTGACTTGTTTGCTTGTCAACCACCTTCCCAACATCTTGCTTAATAACAGATATCTCCTTGGCGAGTTTGCCTACTCAGGCCCAGCCGCTCTTTTTGGAGACCCCTGCTGGCTGCTCTTGTGGGGGCCAGATTGGTGGCCTGAAGGTCCCAACCGATAAAAGCGTAGAAGAAGCTCACGATAGAGGGAAGAGGGAGCCACTGCTCTCTCAACGCCTGCCAGAGAGCGGAGGAAAACAGTCTGGGGGGTTACGTAGAGAACTGCGAGCTTGACTCGGTCTGGCAGAAACTCTGGGAAACAAGCCCCATCAGGACCTACTGGGTCTCTCTGAACGACAAAATGCTCTTTGGACCACCAAAAATGGCACCTGCCGTGAAATGAAAGATGGACAAGAAAAAGAAGCCTGAGACTGTCACATAGGAGAATGACACTGGAGCTCGTCGAGAAGATGTGCTCGTTTGAGTGCCCCCCTGTTTCCTGGTGTTGTTAAACTCGGGCTGCGTGTCTCACCTCTGCCCAAATGGATCAAGGCAGCGAAGGTCCTTTCAGACTTAGCATCGCTGCTCGAGTGTGCCAGCCTCACCAGGCAGCGTCCGATCCCGGGGCAGGCTTATCATCAGGAAACGGATGCTGGGGTTGAAAGTGCACTGCTCTGATTCTTCGACGTCGTCGTGATTCGTTTTGTTATCTGCAGCCCGGTCAAAGAGACTGATATCGCCACTGTCGCATCCATTCCTTACGGTCGCTATGAGGAAAGAGGCTCGCTCTGCACGTCCAGACTGGAAATTTAGAGATGCGGCATAGATAAGGAGCTGGCTGCATGTTTGACTGATTCCCTTCAACTTTATTGTCACCGTCCTTCGTATAAATCGTATCAAAGTTAGCAACACGGATGCAGATACCGGGAACAACAACTCAATGATCAACGGGTGTGGAAGCCACGAGTTAATTCAGAAGCCCAGAAATGTTAAATCGGCGGAATGACTTTGCCCAGTAAGGTGTCTATAATGCAGGTACAGCAAACTCCAACGGCTCTCTTTGGGGTTCCCACGCAAGCCAGTCTGATCTTGTTGTCCTATAATGGGTGCTTGTTAGCTGGTGTGTGCTCGGGACCACAATCTTGAAGCTTTACTTACGGTAATAGCCCCATGGCGTTAACCTTCCATATCCCCAGTGCCAGTGCAACCAACTGCATAACAATGTATACCAGTTTCACCTGCAGAATCTTGTCCCTATTGCTTCCCGTCTCGAACCTCTCAAACGCCTGGTTGGTCCCCAGCACTCCCATGACCGGGTTCTTGAAGGCCATCAATACCATCATGATGCTGAATATTTGCAGCGAGTTGCCCGACATGTACATCATGATCGCCGTCATTGGCAAGTTCTTGATTGGCCCGAGCGCAACCTCCCACGCCTTCTTGAGCTTCAGCGTATCTACCTCCTCTGGCGTCGGGGGGGTCCGCTGCTGTGTCTTCGAGTCCTTGGCAGCATCACGTTTCTAGAACTGGGTTAGACAACCTGGCGGGGAAATAAAGTGGCAGAGTAGTGGATTGCTAAGGGAGGCGCTACCTTGGAGGAGCTTGTTGGACCTTGCGGCTGGAAGCCGGGAGGGTCGGCAATCGCATTGTTCTTCGCTCTGGCAGGGGGAGGAGATTGGAGGGCGGAGACCCATTTGGGAGCTGCGGTGGTTGATGTGTTGAGTTGAGACATTGTGAACTGGGAGGATAACCTGAAAATTCGACTCCGGCTTGTTCACTGAAGGTGTCTGGAAGCTTGGAAGTCGTCTGGCTGTCCACGCCAAATAAACGTTAAAAGGTGACCACCGACCCACAGCTTCGCAGAGCCGCGTATGTCGTGTTCCATTTGGTGGACCGTGCACGGTCCGTTTTCCCCGTCAGCGAAGGTAAGGGGGGATCACGGTCTTGTCATGGAGAAGGAAAACGTCGCCCAATTTTAGACCACCTCTGCCGGTATGCCTCTCTGCTTCTCCCAGTGCGGATCCCTCCGTCGCAACGTCCCCCAGGCCCGCGACTTTCGAGCTTTGCTGATCGCCAAAGTCCACGATTCTAACTCTCGATAGTCCTCGCTACGACCCTCTCGGTTGTCTCCTAGCCCCGCGAACGACCAATTGACGGCGACGAACCCGATAAGGGGGGGTGCATGTGACATCTCGACAGACAGTCTTCGCTTCCCGCCTGCCGCCGCAAGTCACTGCGCCCGTTGGCTGGATGCACCATTGTGCATTGCTGGGCGTGAGGGGTTGCCAAGTTTGTCTCGGGCAGGTGTGTCTTATCGCACACCACAACATACCTCCCGCAGGTTTGCGTCGACAGGGTACATATCCAAGGGCCAGCATACCACATCGCCGGCGTATAGGCCCGAGGCCCAGAAGGGACGCAGTCCGTTTAGGAAGCACAGAAGATCCAGGACAACATGTCGAGCGCTCAGAGTGGAGGAGACTCGAAGTTGTTCGCTCGAGTAAGCTTCTTGTGGTTTCCTTTGACAAGCTTTGCCTATGCCTAAACTGGCTCTTTGTCACGTCTTGCTCCCGCTTCACCACTATCCATTCTATCTCACATGCTTGTTCGGGTTGATGACCCCTCTTCGTCACTCGTCTGATCCCTCGTCCTCATCAACCCGTCCCTCTCTTCTGCCCTCCTGCCTCCTCCCTCCTCCCTCCCTACCTCGACAGCAGCAGCCGGATCTATCTATCCTCGACCTGCCTCGATCGAGCGCCAGTCAAGAGTGCCATCGGCCGGCCAAGCTCCGTCAACTCCTCGCTCCATTCATACAACATGATCTGTCTCCCGACCCAAACCAATTACAATCATGATGTTCATTGCATACCTCCCCCCACCGAACTATTACTCACGCACGAGGACGTTACAGGGCAAGGTTAACGAGCTGCGCCTCGAGCTGAACACGGGCGGCAAGAAGGACAAGAACTTCACGAACAAGAAGATCGCCTTGAAGAAGATCGTCGCCAACATGACCATGAGCAACAATGACATGGTCGCCCTGTTTCCGGATGTCATCGGCTGCATGCACATACAGAGTCTCGAGATCAAGAAGATGTAAGAGCAAGGGTGGCTACTTATATATGGAACATCCGAAGGAGACCCGTCTTCAGGGATATCGAGGGGAACTTGACGAAGCCGCTGCTGACACTCGACTTCTTTCCAGGTGCTTCCTGTACTTGGTCAACTACGCCCGAATGCGCCCAGAGATTGCGGTGAAAGCAATCCCAGTCCTGGAACACGTGAGTCTTTTTTGCCATGCTCTGCACCGCAGGGTCTTGGGACCCCGGCTTACAGGGAATAGGATATGGAAGACCCGAATCCTCTCGTTAGAGCTCTTGCATTACGGACAATGTCCTATATCCATGTCCGGGAGTTTGTCGAAGCCTCGGTTCCAATAGCGAAACACCTCCTTCGCGATTCAGATCCATACGTGCGGAAGACGGCGGCATTCTGCGTTGCTAAACTCTACGACCATGACAGGCACATGGTCGAGCAGTCGGATCTTATCGACCGGTTAAATGGCTTGCTCAGAGACGACAATCCCACAGTGGTGGCCAGTGCTTTGGCGAACTTGATGGACATATGGGAGAGGAGCGATGCGATAAAGCTCACGATCGACTATAGCAACGCTTCCAAGATGGTTGCTATACTGCCGGACTGCTCAGAGTAGGTTTATCCCGTCCTGACTTGTAGCTTCGTGGAAGAAATTTCTGACAATGGACCAGATGGGGCCAGACATACATCCTCGAGGCACTGATGTCCTACGTCCCCGAAGAGTCTGGCGAAGCACTCCTCCTTGCCGAACGCATCTCCCCGCGCCTCTCACACTCGAACTCAGCGGTAGTGCTAACCTGCATACGAGTGATATTGTATTTGATGAACTACATTGCCGACCAGAAGCAAATATCGGCGTTGTGCCGGAAGCTGTCCCCCCCGCTTGTCACGCTCCTTGCCAAAGGTCCGGAGGTGCAGTATTTGGCTCTGCGGAACGCCCTCCTAATTCTCCAACGGAGGCCTGAAGTGCTCCGAAACGATATCCGCGTTTTCTTCTGCAAATACAACGATCCGATCTACGTCAAGGTAACAAAATTGGAGCTCATCTTCATGCTCGCAAACGAGAAAAACATCGACGAGGTCTTGACCGAGCTGCGTGAATACGCGACCGAGATCGACGTGCACTTCGTGCGGAAGGCAGTGAGGGCAATCGGCAAACTTGCCATCAAGATTGAGCCGGCGGCGCAGCAGTGCATCACCCTCCTGCTGGAACTGGTGGCAACGAAGGTTACGTACATAGTGCAGGAGGCGACGGTGGTTATTAGAAATATCTTCCGCAAGTATCCGAACCAGTACGAGAGCATCATCAGCACGCTCTGCGAGCACCTCGACAGCCTGGACGAGCCCGAAGCCAAGGCGGCGATGGTGTGGGTCATTGGCCAGTACGCCAGCCGCATTGAGAACAGCGACGTCCTGCTGGAGGACTTCCTCTATTCGTTTGCCGAGGAGCCGGTCGAGGTCCAACTCGCGCTGCTGACAGCTACCGTCAAGTTGTTCATCCAGCGCCCAACCAAGGGACAAGATCTCGTACCGAAGGTGTTAAAGTGGGCAACAGAGGAAACGGACAACCCGGACCTCCGGGATCGCGCATACATGTACTGGCGCCTCCTCTCGACCGACATGGAGGCAGCCAAGCGCATTGTCATGGGCGAGAAGCCAGCCATCACGGCGGAGTCGGAACGGCTCGACCCGGCTACCCTGGAGGAGCTCTGCCTCAACGTTGGCACGCTAGCGACGGTCTACCTCAAGCCCGTGCAGACCGTCTTCCGCAACGCACGCCCCCGCCGCTTGCAAGACAGTCCGGCGCTCCGACGCCAGCCAGAGACCGATGGCAATGGCGACGGCGACGGTGATGGCACCGACTCCAACAAGTTCCTCAGCCAGTTCGGCGAGGGCGGCCAGCCGTCGGACTACGACCCCCGCGCCGGCGGGGGTGCGGGCCAGAACGGGCAGGCCGGCGGCCTTGCCCAGGCCGTCAACGATGCGGACGCCTACTTCGCCGGCCAGATGGCGGGCATGCGGATACAGGAGCAGGGGGATAGCTTCGGCGGCAGCGGGAGTGATGGGACGGGGTACATTGTCAGCCAGAACGCGCCCCAGACTGTGTACCAGCCGGCACAGGGGAATGGGGATTTGTTGATGCTCTGAGGGGAGAGAAGTGACAAGTTTGGGAACTAAATTGAGGGGCTCGTCATGTTGTCGGTGCACGGAGAGAGCGATGGAACATGGAAAAGATTATGCATGGGGTTAATGGCAATGTAAGCATTTACAATTGGGCCCTTCGTTATGGACTGTTGAAGAGAGCATGGATATCATGGTAATTAATGTCGAGCGCCTCGTGCATTTACATGGCCCCCTTTGTCCCATCTTGTTGACCCAAGCAGCCGTGAGATGCAAAGCAGAGATACCGTTTCCTCTCCTCATCGGCCATCACAATCATCACATGTCGAAGCGCATAATTCGTTCAGCGACGAAGTTCGAAGAAAATATTCATTCTCTGATCGAGTACGGGAAAACCAGAAGCGAGGAATCCCCGCGAGCATGTTCCAGCGACGATGCGATGCACCCTCAGCTAGAGCAGGTCACCGACCGACCAAGCCATCAACGCATCCTCTCCCATCTCCGGTTCGTCAAAGAATAGCAAAGACCACCCCACTCCAAAGGCCCTAATCCGGTCCAACCCCTTCCAAGCCCACGTCCGTCCGTCCCTCCATCATGCAACGATCCAGCCGACGGAGAAACGCCATCTTGGATGACATCCGCGAGAAACCCTAAGGGGGGAACGAACAAGGACGAAGAGCGAAGTCCTTTCGTTCCAAGACGAGCAAAAAGAAAAAAGAGAACAAGTCGAGTTCCCAGCCAGCCGTGACCCCACCCCCCGAAACCACCACTAACCTAGCCCAGGGAATCAAGCAGAGGTGTTGTTGGGAACTTGGGGAGGGGAGCAAAACCGCGTTTCGCAAAAAGGAACGGCCACACGCCTACCCCAGGGCGGCGAGACCCACCACCACCAGGCCAGCGACGCCGGCGAGTGCGGCGCCCTCGTGCTTGGCGGCCGCCGCGTTGGACGGGGTGGGCGGCGAGTGGGCGGCAGCAGTGGTCGTCGTCTCCGCGCCGGTGGTGCCGGTGCCGGTGCCGGTGCCGCTGGTAGTAGTGGTTCCATCGTCGGACGTGGTGATGCTCTCGGCGGTCGGGGTGGCTGGGCCGGTGGGAACGGACGATCCCGCGGTGATCAGGGTGCCGGGCAGGTCGGTGACCGAGCTGGCGGGGGGGACGATTTCCGAGACGAAGACGGAGCCGGAGGTCGTCTCCGGGGCGGCCGGGTTGGCGGTCTTCGTGGTGCCGTCGCCGCTGGTGGTCGGGTGGTTGCCCTCGCTGGACGACGGGGTGGCTGGGGAGGAAGTCTCGGCGCTCGCCGTCAAGGCACCGGAGCCAGAGCCGGTCGCCGTGGCGGACGCGGAGGTGTGGACCGTGACGGTCACGGTGATGGTCGGCAAGGTGTAGGGCACGGTGTAGAGTTGGGTCACGTCATGGTCGCCCTCGTGCAGGACGATGGGCTGGACGATGACGCCGGTGCTGGCGGTGTCGGCGGCCGGGTTGGTCTGGGACGAGTGGCCCGCGGTGCTGTTCTCCGCACTGCCCGCCGCGGCGGTTGCCGTGGCGAGGGCGGCGAGGATGGTCGCGATCTTGGCAGACATTTTTGGTTTTCTGGCTCGAAACGTGTGCAAGTGCGAGATGGTTGCTGTATTGGATACGTTTGTCAGCCTGAAGTGTCCTCTGCAGAGTGAAGACGCCGTAATAATTTGGCCGGTGTTTGTTTTGGATATGGGCTGGGAAGACGCGTAGTCACGATAAGGCGGAGGAGACTAATCACCTGGGCAACAAATCTTCTCAGCAGTGAGAGGTGCTTTCGAAGGCGCTTGGTAAATGGGGATTGGCAATAAAGTTGAAATCCTTGGATGATAGAGGTAGGACGGGAGGAGAAGAGAGTGAGATAGGAGGGGAGACGGAGAAGGAGAAGGGGAGAGGAGGGAGAGTAGTGCGTGTTTATGCCACTCAGAGGGTAGAGATACCAGTGGTGGAAGTGAATCGAAGAGCTCCGACTTACCTGCTTTCAGACTCAGAATATGGCCACCACGACGTAGTCAAGGATAGGTGTCAAGGTAGGACGATCTTGGTCAAGGCAAAGTGCTGAAACTGTCAACGGACTGAAGCTGACGAAGGAGGTGCGGGACTGTCCTCGGGTTCTGGAAGTGGTGTTGTATGGGAGAAGATCAGGGGTGATGGATGGAAGGCAGAACGGCGAAGGTAAGAAAATAGAGGGAGTAGGAGGGTGCTGAGACGATATAAGGCTTGTGCTGCTGGAGCCCCAGCAGGGGGAGGAACGACACTGGCCAGTGAATCGAATACCACTTGTCTGATACCTTGCAGGGCCAGGTGAGATCTAACTGATAGACGAAATGAATCGATGTCAAAGTGTGGTGAGTGAGAGGTTCTCTCTATGGGCCAGGGGAAGGTGGTTCATATGTCAACTATGGAACCACCTATTGTCATACTACACCTGATCATGGGCAAGAAGCACTTTTGGCACCCAAAGACGGGCTTCTACAGCCCTTATGCTATAAACAAAAGCAATAACTTATCACACACTGTTTAAGGCCCCTGGTTCATATAAGAGGGAAGCTCATTGTTGATATGTGGATTACGATATCGAGGATGGCCATGTGAGGGATGCAATCCTCCCAGTCTGGAATACTTTGGATGTCCTTCTCAACATAAGGTGGGCATGGTTCACCTGGGATTGACCCGAGTCATCTGTAGGTAAAAACAGCAGAGATGTGTCTCATTTGACATTGCAACACCTTGCAAACGGGCGAACTCGGTAGACGGCTAGCCACTCTCGTCCAGTTCGAGAGAGGGCAGCAAACGGGAGTCACAGACAAGTGTCGATACCAACTATGAAATACGCAAGATGACCGACATGCCGAAACCATGGTTAAATATGCCGTAGCCAATGTTGTAGTAAGAGGAGAATGCCTCTTTTTGGCCGAGGAGTAAGGAAACCGATGTCGGAAGATCATCGTGGTGGCAACAATTCACTTCGGAGTGCCTTCGGCAACAACAGCAAACGTCGAGTCAACGTGGGCATCCATGTAAATGGCGGAGCCAAATTCCGTCGGCCTTCTAGAGCAGCCTGATAATACTTATAGCGTAAGGTACCATGTCCGATATGTTTGTTCCCTGACCACTGGGAAAGTATGAACTCTGGGGCAAAGGACAGTGATGCATGTGATGATCAACGACCGATGGTGGTCTCAGCTCAGTGTTGCCGAAGAGGCTCTTTGAGGGTCCTCGAAGTCTGCTTACGGAATAGTACTCCATCCTACTCCGTAGTGTATGCCTAATCAGGGGAATTCGGTCGAGGCTGAAATGCCAAGAAGATTTGGAGCGGAGAAGCGTGGATGACGATAACCCTGCTGGTCATGGGAAGATCAGGCCGGGGAGGAGAGTGGACGAGATGGGGAGCAAACTTGCATGATGCGTGCGGAGGATTGGTGGGGTCGGCTCGTGGTTGGGCTGTTCCTGTTGCCCAGCTAGGTTAGCGATTTAGTGTGGGTTGGCACGCAGGACCGGCGAAACCGGAACCGGAACCCTTTGTATGTTTGTACAGTACATACTCCGTACATGAAGAGCAGCTGAACGGGCACCTCTCGATGCCGTTGCATTGGCAATAAACGACCTAGGTAGGTAGGACTTGGGATGCGCGAATACTGCGTCCTGGATAGTCTTGGTAGTGCTGTTGGCCCGTGTTATGGTTGGCGCTATCGCCTAGTCTTGCGGTTGGTGTTCGTCACTATTCGGACATACATCTGGTCGTCAGAGAGGTTGATGCCCGGATTTCGCCTCCAGCGGGAATAACCAGCGGGTCCCTTCATCCATGTACTGCTTAGTACGTGCGTACGGATACGTCCATAGTATCAGTCAACCCGGCGAGCGTTCCTTCCATCTTGGACATCCCACCGTTCCACAGTTTCTAATCCCTAAAACCCTCCTGCTGCCAAGCCCTTTGGCTTGCTTTTCCTTTCCTTTGCATCGATTAGACAGCCTCAATCCAATTTGGCGACTGCTTGCTGCTTAGGTACCTATCTCTCCCCCCACATAACAGCCTGTCTTTCGACGCCGTGTGTCAATTCGAGCCGTCTTCTATCCCGCACACTCGTTTCCATCCTTACCGCAGAGCGGAGATCACCCGGACCCCAAAATCGCCCAATTTCAGGGGGAGACCTGTCCGACCGCCCTAGTGCCGCCATCGCATTTCTCCGTGCCATAGTGTAGACCTCTCCTCTCCGCGAGCCTTTTTCTCCGCGGAGCAATCAGTGCTGCATTTCTGCATCGTACAGGCCTTCTCGCATGGTGGTTGCTTCCGGAAAACCCGGCGCCAGCCACGAGATCACGAATCCCTCTTCCCCGACTCTCCGCTGCACTGCCGTCTGGTAGGGCAGTCAGCACCCAGTCAAGGAGGGCACAGCCAGCATCTCCAAGGAGAGCTGTCACTCCCAACCGGTCGTTTCTAGCGGCACGCAGTCGCAGGTACACCTTGCCACCCCGCCGTCGCACACAATTCCCCATCGTCCTCGATTCCCCGTCGAAAACACCGGCATCGGTCGTGAAGCCAGTCCTTAGACACCGGACGACGAATCTGCTTGATCTCTACCTCTCTTCATACCAGACAAATCCAGCAAAGATGGCCGAGCCCGAGTCGCAAATAGCGGCCAATCCCACAACCGAGGAACAGTCATTACAACAACCGAGTGATGCAGTACGGATGAGCGAAGTGTCGAAGGAGGAGGAGGAAGCGCAGACTCAGACCAAGAGCGACTCGTCGGTACCGCCCCCAGCCGCGGATGTTATCCAGCCAGAACCCCCAGCAGAATCACAGACGGCGACTGCTACTACCGGTTCCACAGCGCAGCCATCAAAAGGGAAAGGGAAGGACGAGCCACCGGTGGAAGACGATCTAAAGATAGGGCCTACTGACCCCCTACCCGATGCGTCGGAAGGCACCCTGGATCACCCAATTTGCAACATCACTCTCCTACTCCCCAATGGTGCGAGACATCCGTACAAGATCGACGAGAAGTATCTGACGAAGCGCAACGTGGATGTGCCGGATGTGACCGAGACCGGCAAGAGGGACCCGTTCAGCATTTCGGTCTATACCCTGAAAGAGCTGATACTAAGGGAATGGCGTGAGGAGTGGGAAGGCAAGCCAGCAAGCCCGAGTAGCATTCGGCTCATCCATTTCGGCAAGTTGTTGGATGACAAGGAACAGTTGAAGAGTACGTCATTTTTAGCCCTCCAGCACGCAAACCTTCCATTCCCCAACCCCAGCCACCCCCCTTTCCCCACGATAACTGACCCCGGATCCTCTAGAGTATCACTTTAGTGCAGACACTCCAAACGTGGTCCACATGTCTGTTCGCCCGGCCGAGATGATGGAGGAGGAGGAGGCCGCGAAGGGCAAGGGCAGCGGCCACCACGGACAGAATCGTGATAACGGTTCAAGGTGCTGTGTTATCTTATAGTTGACCAATCTCTTCTATACTCTGGCGTGCTGTTGTCCGCCGGCGTTGCAGAGGATGCCATATACCTAGCCCGGTTGAGCGGGCATTGAAACGGCCATATTATTTGGTTGAGCAGAGCACAGTCGGATGCTTCGTCCCAAAGATGACCATCTGTATTGGGAATGAGCCTCTACAGCCAATTTGCTCTACACCCGAGTTGTTTTCTTTTGTGTCTATTCCATACAAGACAGGGCGCCAGCGGGTTATCGGCGTTTCAATGTCTACTGTATCCGTACTTTTTGCTGTTTTTGCCCGATCGTTTATAGCGGAAGAATAGATGGTAGTAAATACGTTGGCCTTCTTCAGTGTGGTCTATCCAGTTTTATGTGTTGTCCTTGCTTGCCAATAGTTTTTATCATGCGAGCAAGACTCGAGGAGGTAAGCACCATGGCATGTTGTACACCTTTCGCCCCGCCTGGCCCAGCAACTCGAGCCAGTCCTGCGAGAACTTCTGCGAAATCAGATTAAAGCACCATGGGGTTTGATATCATAACCAGTGCCGCCAGGGCCCTCCTCCTCCCCTCCCCTCCTTCAGCACCAAACCCTCAAACCCCCAGTCGCACGAACGTGCCGTCCTCACATCTTCAGCTTCCGCTCCATCTCATCATGCACACCCACGACACCCCTAGCTTCCTCCCCGGTAAACACATCCTCCCACGTGATGGTAGCCTCCCGTCCGCGCAGTATCTCCTCGTGGACGCCGGCCAGCCCACCCGGCGACGGCCCCAGCGCGGCGGGCCGCCACTCGCCGTCGCGGGCGATCTTGAGCTCCATGGCGCGGCGCACGGGCTCGGCGGTGCCGAAGGCCCGGCGCAGCGTCTCCATGCGCAGCGCCTCGCGCGTCGCCTCCCACTGCCGCAGGCGCGCCTCCAGCGGGTGCGCGCTGATGGTCGTCGCGGTGTTGTCGGCGGGTGATGACGCGGACGGGCCGATGCCTGCGCGGAGGGTGTCGTGGAGGCCTGGGGCGGAGGGGGCGCCTTTCGTGGTCAGGTGGCTGTAGGTGGTGCTGTGGGCTTCGGAGGGGACGATGCGGAGGGACTGTGGGGGGGAGGGAGGTTAGTAGGTGGGTTTGACGGGGTTGTGGTTGATGAGGGCGGTTGGGATGAGGGTTGGAGATGATGGAGTTTGCTTACCATTTTGAAGGGTTGGAGAGGTGGATTTGGGATGTTGTTTCGGCAGATCCTAATTGTGGGTGTGGCTACTGTACAGATTGCCGTCCCTGCTCAGAGTTGTGGGTGTGGATGAAGATCGAGGAAGTCCTGAAGGCAGCGAGCTGTTGGCTGGGTGTGTGGTGAAGCTTGTCCAAGGCTGCTAGCTGCTGCGCGTCCAATATCGGGAAGCTAGGAAAGTACTTGGGTACAGAATAAGCGGGCTAGACGCAGGCGGGCGGCTGTTGGTGTTGTTACGTAATTAAGTCCGGTATCGCTCTTATCCCCGGTCCAGCTTGCTAGCTACCTCGAAATATGTAAACGGCCGGGCTTGACTCACCCGCATGGCCCGACAGGAGTTGCAATGGGCTCAATTGGCAAGATGGGACTGGCACGGCCTCCGATAATACGGATCGCCAATGGCACCTTCTACCGCCATCACCCCAGTGCTTCGTCCGCGCATCCAAACCCGTCCCTCTTCTCCAACTTGACCTTTGAGATACCGTCCTACAGCTCCGAGCCGCACAACTGGTGCATTGTCGGGCCCTCCCTATCCGGAAAGACCACCTTCCTCCAGCTCCTCCAAGGCCAGCACCTCTGCTTCCCCCCAACGGCCCGGTCCTTCCCCTACCTTGCCACCGACAATATCCCACACCGACTGAGGGCGCCGAACAGGGCGATCCGCTATGTCGGCTTCGACAACGCCGGCGCGGGCAGCGGTCTCGGCCCCGCCACCTCGGCCTACCTGTCGGCGCGCTACGAGAGCCGCCGAGAGCAGACCGACTTCTCGCTGCTCGATTTCCTGCTCGGCAACACCGAGCTGAACCCCGCTGGGGCCGGCGGCGGCGGCGGCGGCGGCGATGGGAGCATCGACTCCGCGCTGCTGGACCGCGTGGTGGTCGACCTGCGGCTCGAGAACCTCCTGCAGCTGCCCGTCGCGTTCCTGTCCAACGGGCAGGGCCGGAGGGCGCGCATCGCCAGGGCGCTGCTCACGACCCCCGAGGTGCTGCTGCTCGACGAGCCGTTCATGGGCCTTGACCCGCCGACCGTGGCGGGGCTGAGCCCGCTGCTGAGGGAGCTGGCCGACAAGTCCAGCCCGAGGTTGGTGCTGAGCGCACGGCCGCAGGACCCCCTGCCGGAGTGGATCACTCATCTGATCTACCTCCGGACGGATTGCCAGGTCGGCGCTATGGGAGAGAAGGAGACGGTGCTGGAAGGCCTGAGGAAGTACGTGCGCGGGGTCTGGAAAGGGGGTCTCGCCGAGGATGAGAAGCTGCCTGTTCACGCCCTGGGGGAGATGGGGAGGACATTGAGTGGACGGGGCGTCGAGGGGGAGGGGCTCATTGAGGAAGTCACGTCCACGCAGGCTGATGCCGGGACTAAAAAATTCGATGCGGAGCCTTCACTGGGTAAACCTCTGGGGGAACCACTGGTGGAGATGGAGGGATGTCAAGTCCGATACGGTGATAAGATTGCCTTGGGCAATTGGAGCGTTGCCGGGGCAAAGGGGCTCTACTGGTCCGTCCGGAGGGGTGAGCGGTGGGGCGTCTTTGGGCCCAACGGGTCTGGAAAGACAACCATCGTCTCACTCCTCTGCTCGGACCATCCTCAGACATACTCGCTCCCGATCAAGCTCTTCGGTCGAAGCCGGCTTCCCGAGCCTGGCTCTGGAGAGCTGCCACTGACCTTCTGGGACATCCAATCCCGCGTTGGACACTCCAGTCCGGAGATCCACCAACACATGCCGCGCAGCTTGACGATTCGGCAGGTCATGGAGAGTGCATGGGCCGATACGTTCCGCAGCAAACCAAAGATGGACGATGTTGCTCGTGGCCAAGTCGACGCGACGCTTTCATGGTTCGAGCATGAGCTCAATCCGGCCTCCAGCAGCCACACAGCCGACTCTGCGTCGTCGACGGCTGGGGAGGGCCTGTCTTGGGCCGATGATTACATGTTCGGCGAGATCTCGTTCAGCGCCCAGCGGATCCTGCTCTTCCTACGCGCCATCATCAAACACGCCGACGTCGTGGTGCTCGACGAGGCGTTCAGCGGCATGGACGACGCCGTTCGGGACAAGTGCATGCTCTTCCTCGCCCATGGCGAGGAGAAGACCTACACATCCACAGCCGCGTCGATCAAGACTGGTACCGGCACCGGCGTATCGGAGGCTCCGATTGTAGACAGCGAGGCCGCCAAGGCCGGCACCGTCAAGGTGACCGGGCTATCGGAGCAGCAGGCGCTAATCTGCATCAGCCACGTCAAGGAGGAAGTGCCGGACTGCGTTAGGGAGTGGCTCTGCCTCCCGGAGGCGAAAACGGGTGAGCCCGCGAGGTTCGGACGCCTAAATGGCCCGCTGAGGACGGACAGGAAGCGGTGGGAGGAGATCTGGAGCAGCGCGTAGCCTGTGCGATGAGACTCTGGCGCCTGGAAAGTGATTGGACTGTGCTTGGGTATAGGGCTGGAGGGCTGGGCGGAGGGAGACATTTTTTCTTGTATCGGCTGCTTGGGCGCCCCTAAATCTACAATCCATATGAAGGGATAGCCCGGGTACCCAGCCGGGGTATACGTATGATGATGGCCTATCCAGACACTGTGCTAACCCAACGATAAGTCCCACAACCCTCCGACCTCCAGGAGGCCGTCAGAGAAGTTCATATCGTCGAGCAGACAACCTCTCATATAAAACACTAACCAATACCACCCTGGAGTAAACCAAATTGTGCGACCGGGCTGTCACTCACGGTAGCGTGGCCATCTTTACGGACCCGAAACGTTATATCCCCTTCTCGGTGCACATGCACATCTTGGGAGCCTCGACCGTGGAGGGTTTGTATACCTCGAGTTCCTAGAGCGATTGGATAGGCCCCAATATGCTGGCAGTGATCTACTCTCTGGATTCGGAGCCTGTGAATATCTCGCCGAAAGGAGCTAGATTTGGAGGGCACAACCTAAGACTTACTCTCTGACGTGAACATATGGGTCGTATAGCAACGCCAAGTCCCCAAAGACGCTAATATCTCGCACGTCTTACGTGCTGCAAGTAGCAGAGATTCCAACATGCGCATTGTTTCTCTAATGCCTTGCCGACACGCCGAAATACTTCCTGGCGACTTGCGCACTCGGGATCGGTTGTTTTCTCTCCGGGTAATATTCAGGTCGGGTGTTACGTGATGAAGGTACAAAAATGTTAAAAGCAAAGGAAAAAGTGCCAGTGGGTGCTCGGCCGATGGACAGATGTGAAAGTGGCCCGATCTCACCGGATTGGAGGTCATCCTGTGCATACTTTCAGTTGTTATTGCCAGATGCAAGGCACCTCAGTCGGAACGAAAAGAAACCTAACGATTGGCTGACCTTCCAAGGGAAAATGCGCCCGGATAGCACAATTCCAGCTAGGAAGACGGGATGGATGGGTGACTCCCGGGTTCCTACGGTCCTATCCGCCCCTCCACCCTGAGAGAGCTGATTGAATGGGACGATCCCACCTAATATATATTGCCCCAGTCGGACAAAGTACCTGCAGGCTACTATATGCCTACCTGGCTACCTATTCGCTAGGTAGCCAGTAGGTTACCTTGCTGAAGGTCGTGCTTGAATAAGTTGGTTGGGGGCCCAGAAACAGGTGGAGGGATTGCTGACGGCAGATTATATAGATTGCAGTCACATATGAGTACATGCATTAGCAACTCACCGAGTTGATTGCACTCTAACCTCCAACACATTCCGGTGCTCATCGCAGTCCTATAAACTGGCAGGAGGTTCGTCCTCCTTGCCAAACCCACGGCTCTGGTCCTCACTCCCAACGCTATTCCGCCTTCGTCCCAACCGCAAACCGCAAACATGGTCTCCCTCACGAAACTCGGGGCGGCAGCTGCCGCGTGTCTTGCTGCTCTGCCAGGCTCAACGGCTTACATTTTCAACATGACTGCACCTCCAACTGCCACTCCTGGCAAGAACATCACCGCCACGCTCTACACTTCCATTTATGTCCAGAACTACGTCGACTTCGGCATCATCTGGGGCATATCCGCTCCCGAAGTTGCCTGTCATACCTGTGTTGGCCGGCAACTTGACTATACGAACCTGGTGTGAGTCGCTGATACAACCTGGCCTGCAAATACCTCAAAGCTTGGAAAATAGAAATTAGACACTAATCTGGAATTGGAACATGTAGGAAAGGCTCAGTTGCGGTTCCGCCCTCCGGGAACTTCACAGTTGATGTGACGATTCCCGCGGACTTTACGGGAGGACCTTACTTCCTCGTTGCGGCAGTCCCCTATCTTGTTGGTGTAAGTCAGCCCTTGACCCGAGATTCTCCTCGATTTAATCCCCCCCCCCCCCCCGGCCCCTCCGGGGGGAGAATCCGGATAGACTGACACTCGTTGCAGGTCTCGGGGTCGACTGGTATTAACTACTTCAACTCAACCCTCTACACTTCTTGAGGTGGTTTAGAAGAAGGATCTTGGCCCTTTTGCCCTAGTTGCCGGGATGCTTGTAAAGAGAGCGCTAGTCTCTCAACTCTACCATAGCTTGACGGCCTGTAATAATCGCTTCGCTTTGAATCAACAATATAAGTGGATGTAATTTGGCAGCAAAAACCAGCCGGCTGATAGAATCCTTATTCTTCCATCTCTTGACGCTTTTTATGTTCTCGAGCTGCACGAATTTGATTCTGTTTCTCATTGTCCCACGTCTTTGATTGGTGCTTCCGACTCTTTTCCCTCCTCCTCTCTCGCTTGGCCAATGCTTGCACTTCTGGATCGACCCAAGGGGGTATGGGGGAGGTTGAAATTTGCTGCAAAATAACGAGCGTCTCCGACTCCTCATCCTCACTCTGCTGTTGGTTAGCAAACCCTTGGGCTGCTAAAAGGAGTAAAGCCCTCAAGGTAAAATTAGCGTCATTCCCGGCGCAATGAAGCCTGTTGAAGGGACACCCTAGGGAAAGCAGCAGGTCGCCGAGAGAACCACCCCAAAAGGAAAAGTCTTCATTGGCTATTTTAGAAGTGTCTAGCACCGCCGAGAGACGTTCTGGGAACGGGAAGTCGAGAGCTTGTAAAGCCTGAAGGTCGTTGAGGATTCCATGACCTACAAAAGCCACATTCCGAGCTGGGGGTAATTATCAAGGATTGAATACGACCGGCCATATAGGATGGACGAATCGTAATGGTCTCCCCAAAAATAAACTTGCGGGAAGCTTTCATAAGGTATGAGGGAGATCCTGTGGCCATGTTGTGCGTTACTATAAGCCTGCTTGGTGAGACTCGGTAGATTTCTCTTGTGTCCAGAATGGCAAGGCCAACTTGGCAATTATCCTTGAGAGAAATCCCGCTCTTGATGGTGTTGATGTTCTCGAAGTCAATCGCGATGAGAACGACATCTAACAGGCTAGGCGATCTTGAGTAATGGTGTCCCAGACGGAAAACCTCGCTTAGAATATGGAGCCCGTTCTTTGCGATGCTTGGTTGTGTGGGGGGCAGCCTAATCGACAGCGGCGGCTCGACAGCTACGGGCTCGTGCATAGGCATCTCTAGAGGGCGTATCGGTTCTTCTTTTTGTTCATCCTCTTCGTGGATGTCATGGTGGTTATGAAGCTTGGCATCGGTCCAGTCCTCCATCTTCTGCCGTCTCACGTTTCTCTTGTGACGAGACGAGCCGGTCGGTACATCGGGAGTTCTATGACCTGACGGTCCTCCGTGGAAGTCGCTGACAAATTCGTGCTTGAAACCGCTAGTATCTACGAATCGTCTAGTCGATGGCAACTCGGAATATTTCTCAGGAGCCAGAAATTGGTCTGTTTACCCCCGACATCGTCTAAGCGTCTTTCGGGCCAGCAGAGTCTTTCTGGAAGGTCTTACCAATGTGCTCGTAGATCTTGCCAGCTGCTTCGCTGGGAGACAAATGCGTGACGTTCAGCTCCAGCTCAGTTCCAGTTCATGTTTGTCCTTGAAATGGAATACAGGTGCTATGGTTAGAACTGCTGAATTATAATTGTTGCGTCGGGTTCACGGCGTGACTCATCGGCGACTTGCATTAAGTTTGAGATTGAGTTTGAGCTTGCGTATACCATGGTGGACATCAACATTTAGATTTTTGTAAGGTTATCGAGATTGAACTGCCAGCGAGTATCGCCGAATTGAGTATCTTTACTGAGTATTGCTTGGACCCGGTTCAACGCAAATTAAATAACTCAAATAAATTAAAACACGTGGCTGCCACCAACCACGCCCATCACTTCACCTTGGCCCCCTCAACCTTATCCCCAGGTTTGGTTGCAGAAATTGAAACGAAGCGCCAGTACTTTTGCCCGGCGAGACCCCTGGCTCCCGCAACCGTGTTGATAAAGTATTTCTCCAGACGGAAGAACCGGACCAGGATGAACGGCACAGCAGCCAAGATGTAGAATAACCAAAGCATGGGCTTGATATTCTCCGAGTAGTCACGCACGACGATGTCTGTAAAGCCGGCGCTTTCAAGGACCTCTCGGAAGAAGCCTGGCTTAGACCGCTCGTTCGTCGGCATGGCGGCGTGCTGGTTAACCTGCTTCATCGACATGGCCAGGTCGCCTAGTTGCTCTTCGGACTCGAAGGAGTGGTCGTACTCGAAGAGAGCGATACGGCCTCCCGGACGGAGAACGCGGAAGAAGCCCTCCAATACAGCTTCGGGGTCTGTAGCATGCACAAATGTCTCCATGGTGTATACGCCGTCGAACGATTCTGACTGAAGGGTCTCGAGGTGGTGGTAGTCCATCTTTTGCACAGTGACTTGGCCATCAGGAAGGCGCGACTTTGCGATGCGCCGCTTCGCTTTCACAATGTGGTGGTCGATGACGTCGATGCCTGTTATCCTGAGACCTCTCCGGGCCATGTTTATGGCCACGGCAGCTACTCCACAGCCGGCATCGAGGACCTGCGAGCCTTCAGGCAAGGCAAGGGCGTCGAACAACTTGCCCTCCATTCGTCGCAGAGCCCGGCCGACAGGCCATGGCCAGTCTGACCCTCTCTCATAGTATCCGAAGTGGCGGGTGCCGCCGAGAACCAGCCGGTATCCAATCCGAGACTCGAGGGAGTTGTAATAGGACTGAAGAGCGGGGTTGTCGTTGATGACAGTGTCGGCTCTGCTATCTGAAGCCATAGCTCTTGTCGGTAGTTTGCAGATGGTGATTAGCGCGGACCTCGAAACGTGCTGGCGGTGGGGTGATGTGTTTACTGCTGGGCGCAGGACAAGTAAAGGGAAATATATGCAAATGCATGTTCACACCGAACTGTTTGAAGTCGAGGACATGGGAGGACGTGAAGAGATGACAACAGGGAAGTTGGGGAAATTTCCAAAACGGCCACGCCCTGTATGACGCCAGGTAGCCGCCCGGTGGGGATGCTTTTAGTGCCCTGCTACCCAAAGTAACGTAGGCTAGCGTACTTCAGTACAGGCTCACGTCATGCTTCAATCTCCCCTGCAGGGTCACCCTGGAACCTGCAACTTTGTCGCATGAAATTGACTTGGCTGAGTACAAACTTGGCTCACGGCAACCCTTAGCCACCATCCCTATCGCGAAGCTGAACTTCAAACCAACAAACACACCTGCATACCTGGCTGCAGTCGCCTAGTTTCACTGTCACCCATACTTAGAAATGGCGTTGAATCCTACAGTTCCTGCCTTTAACAGGTTGGTCACCCGTTTTCCTGGCCAGGAGACCTTGTCGAACTTTCTTTATCGATTATCCTAATCTTGGCAATGGATAATTAAGTGACAATCATGGCGGACACCGTGCCTGAGACCGGATCAAATGGAACAGGGTCAATGGTCACTGTTGGCTGGGTCTAGTCCGATAACGATCGAGGCACTGCTGACATACTGTGGGCATGTTGCACCACTATCATACTCTGCGTCTGGGTCTCAACATACCCGAATGTGCCTACCAAGGCAGACAAATGGTATTATCGATTTGTCGACAAGCTTAACCTAGCCTTCGTCGGGCTTCTTGGCCCTGATTTTCTTTTCGGTTTAAGCATTGGCCAGCTGGCCAGCGCCAGGAGGAGCCTCAAAGGTTTCCAACCTGTGCTTTTGAAGCTTCAAGTTGAGAATATCAAAGCTGAGTGGACCCTAACGCATACCTTCTATGCCAACATGGGCGGCTTCCTGCTCTGTAGTCCTGATTACGAGGATGGCTTTCCTATTAACGCAAAGCAGCTGCTTTACCTTGTCGAACATGGCCACTTGGACTTCCCAGACATAACGAGGAACGATATTTGTGACAAGAACATGGCCGATAGGCTTTCCAAGTTGGTCCCACTTGAACCTTTGTATAGAAATCCCATTGCTGACGTGGTGCTGATCCAAAGGGTTATTACCATCCTACAGGTTATCTGGTTCACTGCTATGGAAATACAGCGGGTTACGCTTGGCCTACCTTTCACAACCCTCGAGCTGACCACTTTAACCTTGGCCTTCGTTATGGTGGCCACTTTGGCGAGTTGGTACTACAAACCTACTATCAACTGCGCTACTCTGCTCTAAACGAAGGACGGTCGAACTGTAGAAAGCATTAGAGCCGCCGCTAGGTTCCACAGTGAGGCGCCCACATGCCATGAGGCCTATATCAGCGTTACTTGTTAGTAATATGTGGATCTAGACATATCGTGGCCTACCTCAAATCTGGTACCAAACACCGCTATACTTTGTCTTGGAGCATCGCAGCTTCTACATTGAGAAGCATTGGAGATATTACTCCTAGCTGACATACATGGTCTGTCTTCTTATCTTCAACCGGCCTGTCAAGACGTACCTGTGGACGAGATTTCCGTCCGACACCTGGTTTGCCGCCGACGATGGCTGGATAATCTCATTCGGCCTTGCCATTCAAATACCCTTCAGCCTATCATTCCTCCTTGCATGGTTATCTTACTTTCCCACTCGCACCGAGTGGCTTATGTGGCAAATCTGCAGCATTTATCACGCCGCCTTCTCGATTCTCGGCGCTTCTTACTACTTGTTTTGCGCAACCTGTATGAGAGCGACCAACAGAAGACGGAGACAACAGCCGCTGCTGCCTGACGAAGTTCCTGGGTGGGTGCGTTCTGGAAGCCTGTCTCTGGCACCGGATGCAATGAATAGGATGATATCAAGAGATATCGAGGAGGGTCTTGCGCTGGACACTGCCGGTTCTACCCGTCAGTTTTATTTATATTCTCTGCCGTCTGTATTTTTACATTGAGGACTTCGCCGGCCTCCGGTTGCAGCCAACTGGTGTATATCAGGGGGTGGACCACATTTTACCATATATATGATAGGCTATTTAACAAAGTATTTTGATAACGTGCCAAGTTACCCAGGACGTGCCAGGCCAGCGCAGCAATCCTCCCAAAAACAGCAGTCCAAACCGCAGCACATGTTGTCTAGGTGGAATGCAGCTTGGTGGGACTAGAAAAAAAGCTTAGCAGGACTATGGAAAGGTAGGTTTGGGAATACAATCCCAATAAACCCGTGGCCATAACTCTGAATTCTGCAGTAAGATCTATCAACAATAATTACCTAGGTGCATATTGGGCGGATCTAAGTACCCAGGGTCCTGTTTTCAATCAATAGCACAAATGGGGATACGTTCATTCATGTCATTCCTGGTAGCGACAGCTAGTAATAATTCAAGCAGCCAGAATTGCTGCTGCTTTAACCTTCCCGGTTGGCAGGTGAGGTTGCGACTCGGCGGGAGGTGGAGCTAGTTATCCGAACTCGGCCGAGTTTACCTCACTTCGACTGCACTTGCGAATATCATCTTACAGGAACCCAATCAATTCGTTTCCGTCTCCCCTCTGGATTGTTGAACAAGAGCCATATTACAACAGACGAGTGTGCCAAGATTGCCAGAATGCCGCCTGCTCTCTCAGCAGCTCTCAGCCAGGTACCTCTCCGCACTTCTCACGTACCTTACTTTTTGATTCTGGCCTATGCTGCATTGCTTCCCGTCAACTCTCTCACTTTTTCTTAACTAGCAAGTACTGTTTCCAGCCTTCCCAATGTCCTGATATCGTACCGCAGTACTAACATTACTACACAACTGCTTTATCACTGACATGTGACCCAACCCCCCACCCCCTATCTCTCATCATCTACTCCCTTTTACCCTTGCCACGGTCTAGTCACACCTCTTCCAAGGAAAGACCACTGTCACCTTAGCATACCACCACGAGAATAATACCTCAGTCACCAGAGTCACCAGCCCAAAAGCTTACACCCCACCCCCCCCAGCGCATCCCACCTGGCTCCTGGGACTCGCACATGCACGTCTTCGACCCAGACGCCTACCCCCTCTCCCCAGAAGCAGCATACACCCCCAAGCCACACACCCTCCCTTCCGCCCTCGCCTTCGAATCCTCCCTCGGCCTCGACAACATCGTCCTCGTCCAGCCCTCCGTCTACGGCACCGACAACACCTGCCTCCTCGACGCCCTCCACTGCCTCGGCCCCCGCCGCACCAGGGCCGTCGTCGCCCTCAGCCCAGCCACCACCAGCCCCTCAACCCTGCGCGCGTGGCACGCCGCCGGCGTCCGCGCCGTCCGCATCAACCTGGTGTCCCCGGCCGAGTCGGCAACAACAACAGCAATCACCGACCTCGCCGCGGCCGCGCAGCACCTCCTGCGCACCCACGCCGACGCCGTGCGGCCCCTCGGCTGGGCGGTGCAGCTGTACGTGCCGCTGGCCCTGCTCGACGCCCTGGAACCGCTCGTGCCGGGGCTCGGCGTGCGCGTCGTCGTCGACCACATGGGCCAGCCGCCGGCGGGCCGAGCAGCGGCGGACCCGTACGACATGCCCGGCTTCGCGGCGCTGGTGAGGCTGATGCGGGGCGGACGGACGTTTGTCAAGTTGTCGGCTCCGTACCGGATTAGCGGCGCCGGCGCTGCGGCGGCGGAGGAGGGCTACGCCGACGTCGAGCCGGTCGCGAGGGAGCTGCTGAGGGTCGGTGGGCGGCGGTCGGTGGTCTTTGCGACGGATTGGCCGCACACGAGGTTCGAGGGGCTGGATGTCCGGCCGTGGGTGGAGAAGGTGCTTGGGACGTGCGGGGACGATGATGAGCTGGTTGGGAGGGTTTTCAGGGGGGATGCTGAGGACTTGTGGGATGCGCGGCCGGGGGGTGAATGATGAACTAGAGTAGGGAGATTGTGGGCGCCAAGCTGCTTGACTAAGTGGTGTAAGTGAAGAGAGGCCGATATCCCAAGGTAAACGCACTTTGGTCTATGTCCCAACAACTAATCGTCTGCAGACCATACGAGGCTGTTATTTCGCAGTCGTCTGGTGCAGATTCGTCCAATATCATTTATATTCAAGTGTATATAATATACCAAAAGATCTTCTTCCTGTCTAGGTATGTAGACACCTGCAATCAGGAGAACGGAAACTCTGTCCGGGGACATCCCGAGCGGAGATCATTGACAGACCCTTTCTATGCATCCTAGAATGTAACCTGCAGAGTGCGCCTTTGCCGTTTCGAAGCATCTGATCTGGCACACTCTTCAGTATCCCGCAGCCTCTCCCTCAAAATTGAGGATAGCTTGTAGTGCCCCGTATCAATTAATCATAAGCCAGCATATGGAAGGGAACCGGGGCTGAGGTAGTCTGATTGTGCAGCTGCTGCAGTGGCCGACACGACGGAGCCCGGATTTCAGTCCGCACCTCGGACTGCGCACCCGGGAGGGCTCGGCCCGTTCGCGCACCCTTCCAGGGAGGGCTCAGCGTAGAGGTTGGCAGAGTTCCGGGAATGGTTACGCGATGGCCGGCAAGTATGGGATCTTCTACCATATCGGTACTCTCTGGGAGTCGTTGGTGGAGTCACTGGGTGTGAGCGTCGGTAGAGTCGGTTAATTGAACTTGGGCAAGCATCCATGTCTTCAACAGCATGAAGACCCGAATGCAGCTCATGGGTGTTTAGCTCAGCGACGTGGTTGATGGTGGGCGATAAATTCCGAGGGTCAAGGTATGCTTGCCTTTGCGGGCCACATCTGCAAGACTGGTGGTACTTTTGGACCTACAGCCCCATGATAAAGGCTGCATCCGAACTGGCTGATATCCGGAAACTCTCGAGCGTGAGGCGCTCGTAGGGCATAATGCAGAAGCTGATATGCCTCGCTAAGGCGTAGTTCCGGGCTGGCTACGGCTCTAGCCATCAACGTTGCCGAGCATAACCGGTGTCGAGGAATATCCCACCGCGATCGTGGGCGCTCTAGAATTTGAAGTCGTTCAAGGCACCCACACGGACGCTGAGCGGTTCAAGCGTAGACACAGCCTCAAACAATTCAGGAGTGATCTCGAAGCCCTGTGAACCGAACTCGTCTAATCTGGAGAACTGGGACTGGTCGTACGGTCGAGTCGGCGGGCGAGGAAGCTGGGCAGGCTCATTTGTGAGAGGGTAATTGGTGGCGGGGACGATCATCGGGTCGGACGGGCTCCCAACGTAATTTTGCTGAGGCGATTGAGGGGTTTCAATCCCGAGTCTGGCCAGCTCCTTGCTTATGAGGCTCAAGGCACTTCCAATGACTGGAGTAAAACAGATTAGCCAAGAGGGAGGACGAAGAGTGCGTATGTTCGGTGGTAAAAATTACCTGGATTGACAGACTTGAGTCTGTCCAGTGCGTGGATGCAAAATTTTAGTCTCTGACAGGACAGATTATCGTTGACATTCGCCTGGACCTGAAGGAGGAAGATGGAAGCGGCGATGTAGACGCTGTACGAGAGCGAAAGGACGCAGCGACCGTAACCGAAGGTGCTGCAGAAGAGGTCAAATATGACAATGGTAGTGGTCGCAGCGTTGACACACTCAAGGAGGTAACGCGCATTCGGCGCGGTGAGGCGAGGATCACAACCCCCGGCGACTCTTTGCGAGAGCATAGGTCGGTAAAGTAGGATCTTGAAGGTGTGATAGAGGCAACTGCTGCATGTTAATGACACATGCGAACATGGCGGGAACGGGCTTTGGATTTACTTCAACGTCACAATGTGCGACGGTGGAGCAAGAGCAGGGAGCGAGCTCTTCTCTATCCGCAGGAATTGAGGGAGCTCGTCCCACCATTGCTGCAGAGCTGCTCCTTGTGTCGAAAGGCACTCCTCCATCTCAGCCTCGGTATTGAGGCGCAGTGGATCGTACATGTGGACAAGAATCTGGTTGAAAATCACCGAGAGCTGGCACATCTTGGTGAAACACGAATTGGAATGGGCCGCGGTGGGAGGATATTCGAAATCCTTCGAGTCAAGTCCGAAAGGGACCCAGAGATCCCGCTCGGAGGAGTCATCAACTGTAGGGTCAAGTTAATCAGCCAAGTATTGCAACGGACCACCGAGAACGACAACTCACACATGATCTGAGGCGGGGAGACGGGAGAGTGCTGGAGCACAGGAGACCTGCCCAGATACAGGGATATTATCTTGTCCCAGAAGTAACAGCTCCAGAACAGGCGGTTGCGGATCTCGATATCCTCGTCTGAGAGATTGACCGAGGCGGCATACCTGGCGCCGTCCACACAGATGCCAAGATGGTCAATGAGACGGAACGCGATGCCGCTATAGACGTAGGCTTGGGCGCTGTTCCCGAGGCTACACTCTTGCGCACTGAGCAATAGCAACGTCTGGACGGTCGGAATCGTGGTTATGCCGTGGCTTAGTTCGTCAAAGATCATGATCCGCGCATGCCGTCCAAACACCGCACCGCCTTCGTACGCCTCGTCCAGCTTTTGGCGCGTAGACGGATCACTCTTACCCCACCTGATGGAGTGTGACAGCACAGCGTTCATGAGGGTATGGGAATAATAGGGACCCAGAACTTGCATGTCTCCTAGTCGCCGTCAGATCTGCAAAACTACTCCTCCTTTCACGTGCGCCTTGGAGAGAGAGACATACGGGTGAATGCCGGTCGGTAGATGAAGTTGAAAAGGGGCTGGATCCAGCACCAATGTATGTTGAGGAGGTACTGGAACGGCTCCTACGACGTGTCAATATCGACGAAGCGTGGGGCCAAGAGGAGGGAAGTACTATACCGGCGTGGCCGAGAGATCTTCCAGTGCCCGCTGTTGCCACGCATTGGTGACCAGACGCTCCCGTCGATCGAGGTCGGCATCTCCAATGGCTGGCGGGCTCTGGGATGAACTGCTCGGCGTGGCGCTCATCTCATTCTCGCTTGGCAGCTGGAAGAAGCTCGTGGTTCCATGATAGGTGATGACCCCCTTATCATCGAGCTTCAAGCCCGTGAAGCTTCCTGCCAAGCCATCATCAACGGCATCTGAGGGTTTCCTTAAGTGGGCGGGGGCTGGAGCCACAGGCCTCACATAGGACCCCTGGCTCTGGATGCCAGCCAGCTGCTGTTCAAGCTCCTGAACACGGCGTTCAAGCCGTTGAGTGTAGGAGAGAGTGGGGTTCCTGGCCAGTCAGTCTGAAATGGGCACCTGGCGAGTAGGCAAAGGAGCCACTTACAGCTTGTAAACGCAGGCTTCCGTTCGCGTCGCACAACGCTTGCAGGTGGGCCGCTCGCCTCCACACTTCACCTACACAGGGCACCGTCTGTCAATCAACAGTCGTGGCAGTGTGGGCAGAATGGACGGTGAGCTTACCTTCCGCTTCCTACACGGCTCACACGAGAAGGCGCTCTTCTTCGCGACTCCGACGGATGACATGATAGTCGGCCCGCTTGGGACATGGCGAAGCGCGGCTCTTTATAGACGGATAATAACGAAAAATGAAAATGAGCCCAGATGACCCAACCGCTCTTTTGGAGATGCCTCCATTTCGATTGCCCCACCCCCGATCCGATGACCCCATGCCCAAGATGGGTAAGCTTGGCAGACCAGGGTTAGGGTTAGGGGCGGTCAGAAATTGCCGTGGGGCTGGTCGTCGATGTATCCCGGCAAAAGTGACGCACAAGCCAGGAACAGGACCTGATTCAGGGTCCGGATTCGGATGAGCGAATTCGCGAAAAAAGGCAAAAAAGACTCGTCGATGAGCCATTGAGCTCCAGCAATGGCTTTTTGCTCTGCTTAGATACCAGATTAGCCCCCATTACGCCCTCCCGTGTCTCTGTTACCACCCCGGAGCCATGTTTCGGCGGGCATTCCGCAGTGTCACCAGCTCGCGTGCGCCAATATCCGTCAAGCCAACAGCGACCCTGACCTCGACCTCGACCTCTACCTCGCCCTCACAACCCCTCGCAAACCCCCACTTCCCGACCGCCACCATCCCCGCCGCCCGCACCATGGCGTCGGCCTGCAAGCAACCAGAGTACGAGAAGATCCCGTCGACGTCGATCCGGGTGCTCCGGACCGTCTCCTCGGTGCGGCGGTGGCGGCGGCCGCACCTCCTGGACCGGCGCAGCGTGGGCCTCGTGCCGACGATGGGGGCCCTGCACGCGGGCCACGAGTCGCTGGTGCGCGCCGCGGCGCGCGACAACGACCACGTCGTCGTCTCGCTGTACGTCAACCCGGCGCAGTTCGGCGTCGCCGAGGACCTCGACAGCTACCCGGTGACCTGGGACCGCGACGTCGCCATGCTCGCCCGCCTCGACCGCGACCTCGCCGGCGACGGCGGCGTCCTGGGCCGCGTCAGCGCCGTGTTCGCGCCGACCACCGCCGAGATGTACCCCTCGGGCTTCCCGGGCCAGGAGGTCGACAGCGCGGGCAGCTTCGTGACCGTCACGCCGGTGGGGTCGGTGCTGGAGGGGGCGTCGCGGCCGACCTTCTTCCGCGGCGTGGCGACGGTGTGCATGAAGCTGTTCAACATTGTGCAGCCGGACCGCGTCTACTTCGGCCAGAAGGACGTGCAGCAGACGGTGGTGATCCGCAAGATGGTCCGCGACTTCATGCTGCCGACCGAGGTCGTCGTGGGGCCGACGATGCGCGAGCCCGACGGCCTGGCCCTGAGCTCGCGCAACGTCTACCTCGGCGAGCGCCGCCGCCGCGTCGCCACCGTCCTGAGCCGCGCCCTGGCCGCCGCCGCCGAGGAGGCGCGCCGAGCCGGCGGCGACGCGGCGGGCCGAGACGCCGTCCTCGGCGCGGCGAGAAGGGTCGCCGACGGCGTCGCGCGGGAGCAGGCGCTGCTCCCGCCCGAGGAGAGGGTGCGGTTCGAGGTCGACTACATCTCCCTGGCCGACCCGGACACGATGGAGGAGCTGGACGGCGTCGATCCGGCGAGGGGCGCCATCCTGAGCGGCGCGATCAAGATGCTCCCAGTCGAGGCGCCGCGGGAGGGCGAGGATCTCGGGCACAGCGGTGGCCCGGCGGTGAGGCTGATAGACAACATTATTGTCAAGCCGGCGGCTCAGGGTTCATAAAGCCAGCACTTTTTTTGCATTTGGTTGGCGTAGGAGGCGACTTTTTGCATATTGTACAGTTTCAGTTGGTAATTAAGTGTGTCGACCATCTTAATCATGGCCAGTCAGGCCGGGGCTTGGCTATTATTTTGCTTGTGCAAGGTTTTCAAGACGAGCACAAAAACTCGACGAACTTGGGCATGTCTGTTTTCTCGATTTATCCGATGCTAGAAAAGGGGCGCAATGGCGCACACGCGGAAAAACAACAAGGTTTCGAATTACAAGCCCACAAACAACTCTCGGCTCCAGAACTTGATCCAGGCACACACACGCACACCCGCAAGAAGATACTTTACATGGACCTCCTCCGCCTGGAAGCGATGGAGCCAACAATACCGCCGAAAGCGCCATTGGAGTCCTTGTTGGGGGCGTCGGACGAGGAGGGGATGGAGCCGACGATGCCGCCGAAGGAGATGTCCCGAACGAACTTGCCGACATTACCGACACCTGCACCGGCAACGGCACCTGCACTAGCAACGGCACCTGCACCGGCACCGGCACCGGCACCGGCACCGGCACCGGCACCGACAATGACAAAGTCGATGCAGCTCTCGTAGGTCTGCCTAGCGCTGGTGCCGAACCAGAACCACTGGAGGACGCAGTCGCCGGCGACGGCGCACTCGGCCGCGGCGGAGGCGGGGATGGTGACGTCGAAGTTGGTGTTGTTGGCCGGCAGGGTGGCGAGGCTCTCGTCGGCGTAGCTGTCGAAGACGATGAGCGGCTGGCCCAGGACCTGGTTGGTCGCCGTCTTGACGATGGACACGTTGGCGGGGCCCTCGTGCGGGATCGGCAGGATCGCCCTGAAGTTGACCACCTGGCCGACCGTGAATTGCTGAACGAGCGCCACGTTATCCTCGAACAGGGCGCCGCGGCAGAGGTCGAGCTGACCTGTAGAGAGTTTTGCGGTCAGCGTGCCGCGCCATAGTTTGGGGGGCTTTTTTTTGGGGGGGGATACTTACATGTAGCCGGCACGTTCGAGAAGCTCTCGAGAGGGATGGTGCCGTCGGAAAGGATTTGGTTAACGGTAGCCTGTCCACATGCCTTGGCCATTGCTGCGCCGGGCAGACGCCCGGGAGGTGAGGTCACATTCCCGTGAGCAGACACAGTTGCGGCCAAGAAGGCCGAAGCGGCGATTGAAGTCCTCATGTTTGGAGTATGTAGTGGCAAGTAGTCTGTGTGAACCGAACTCGGGATCTTGCCCAGAGCGACTCGTTCAAATGAGCGACGAGATATAAATGGTAGTAATAAGAGGGCTTCAAAAAGAGAATCAAACGAGTGGCCGGCACTGCCGAAAAATTACATCAAGATATGACGGGAAAAAGAGCAGAGAAGAACAGAAGAAGCATTTATTAGGGGGATAAGATGACAGCGCATGTTGCCCTTTATGGCAATTCCAAGCCCAGTCGGACAATTTTCCCTGGTGACAGCATCGATATTCCGGGGAGGCCGCACGAGGCCTGTTTGGCCTAATGTCGAATACAGAGAGAGCCATTACTGCAGGCCGCTGGTCTGAAACGGCGAGAGTCGGGGCCTTGGCGGTGATCAGTTTAGGAGACCCTGCACGGAGGAACTTGAGGCGCGCGCTGTTTGACGATCGCCGGCTAGGGTTCGCTTCAGTCAAAGGCTTGGCACAACCTTTGAGAAGCCTTGGAGAGGCAATCTTCTCAAATCTTATGAAGGGGTAAGACAGCGCACTGATCCTTGGATGCCTGAATATCAAGATCTCCACCAGGTACGGAGTACTTCTTCACGGCTAAATCTGGCAGAGCCTCCTGGCTGCTCCTGGGTCTCATTTCTCTGGCGGAACATGGCGCCTCGCTTCTGCCACTCGGGCGAAGTATGAAACCGTGCACTGGATGGCACATTTCTACGGGCGAAAACAACCCTGAGTTTCGCCCTCGTCATTGGATGATGATAATGATGATGAAGGGAGTTGGACGTAGGTCAAGAAGAGAGTTCATATCTTCTTCAAGAAATGCGCCTTGAATTTCTTGTTGGCGCGGTCCGCGGATCGATACATGAATTGGTCGCCGTGGATCTCGAATACCATCGTCGTCGTACTGCCTGGCTGCTGCTGCCCTGGCCCTGCTTCCTCGCCTTGATCGCCTGGTTCCGGAGCAGCGTCCCCGCCCTTGGCAGGAACGACCTCGATGCGAAACACGGTCCCCTCCTTGGGCACAATCTTCAGCGCGTTCCCGCGGGTGATGACCTCGAACGCGAACCTGGTGTCCTTGATCACGATGCCCTTGATGCCCACGCGGCTCACGCAGCCGCTGCGCACGACCTCGACCTCGGCGCCGTGGAAGTCGGCGCTGCTCAGCTTCGCGGCCGCGCCCTGCCCGCCCGTGTAGAGCTCGTTGCCCAGGATCTCGCGCATGTAGCCCAGCCACAGGCGGTGTAGGGGCTCGAAGAGCGCATATTTCCGCCCCTCCTTCGGCACGTCGTAGAGGCCGAGCTTTCTCTTCTGGCAGGCCGACAGCGGCTTGGGCTTGAGCGTCTTCTTCCGCTCCTTCTCTTTCTTTATGCGTGCCTTGCGGCGTTCGTCTCGGGCGTTGGATGCCGGCGGGGAGGAGGCCCGCAGGAGGAGAGGCCGGTGCTGGATCTTGTCGGCGAAAATTCGATTCGCCGAGTCGGGAGAGTGGCCGCGCAACAGTAACTGCTGCGTTGCCGACTGCTGCTTGGAAGCCATGGCGGGCGCGCGAGCGCTTCGCTTCGAAGATAGATATGACTGATTTGACGCGAGATGATTCGGTGGGAGCTGACTGTAGGGGCTGAATTGAGGCGGCGAGCAGAATTTGGATGCCAAGTCGCATTCACATGCTAGAGATTGACTGAATTTACGCTATAACTTGCATGGGTCGCAATAAGCTCGGTATTCCATGGTAGGCGGCCATTGAACCCCACAATCCCCCCCCACAAGAACTAAGGGAGAAGCCGTCCCAAGCCTTACCCCAGGAACGCTCTCTCATCGCAATGCAGCTGTTATGGTTTGGGTTGTCTGGGGCTTGGACAGTCAGTTTTCTTTGGGAATGAAGTCCCACATCGAAGCCCCGAACAGCTCTGCTTAAAAGAACCCTGCTACGATACTCGATGATCCATTGGACGCGCCAAACCCCGAACCTCCGCCTCCACAGCAACCTGCGAACGGCCTGTCACACATGTCGGACCACGATGACTCGGCGCGCGACTCGGCGCCGGACCTGCAGATCCTAGGCGACCAGATTACGCTCCAGCCGAGCGGATATGTTGAGCCACCAAGCTCGGAGGCGAAAGAGGAGGCCTTGATGAAGCACATGGCGCGCTTCCGCTCCGAGCCATTGCAGTATGTTTGCCCTGCTTCTTTCCGGCAAACCTGCGGTGAACCCGGCAAAGAAAGGTCGACCGACCGACCGACTGACTGACTGACTTCCCTGCCCTTTCAGGTTCCTCCGCGAGGTGTCCCTCTACGTGTCCGGCACGGGCTGGCGGGCCTACGACAACGTCATCGGCCAGCCCATCTTCTACTCGGGCTTCTCCGAGAACATGAAGAACGAGGTCACGTCGGCGCCGCTGCTGCAGAGCCGCATATCAGAGTTGGTTGCTATGAGGTTGGGCGTCGAGGAGCGCGAGGGCCTGCTGAACCGGGACGATAAAGACTTCGAGGCCAAGAGGGCGCAGCGGCGGTCCGTCCTCACCACCAGCCTCCAGCAGGTCGCCGAGAAGCTCACAGACAAGATGATCTGCAAGTTCGAGAGCAAGACGTTTATCCGCGGGGCCTACTATCTGACGACCCAGCTGCTGCTGCGGGCCTACCACCAGGGGATCCACGTGTCGAGCGAGGAGGTCCTACGCCTCCGGAAGGTTGCCGAGAAGGCGGCGAGGGATAAGCACAGCATAATATTCCTGCCTTGCCACCGGTCGCATGTCGACTACGTCTCCTTGCAGCTGCTCTGCTATCGCCTGGGCTTGGCTCTCCCCGTCGTCGTTGCCGGAGATAACCTGAACTTCCCCGTGGTTGGCAGCTTCTTGCAGAACGCAGGTGAGTTGTGACACGTCTATTCAGTCGCGAGCAGAGATACTAATGTTCCCCTAGGTGCCATGTATATCAGAAGGCACTTTGGCGACGATGCCCTTTACACGGCCTTGGTGCAGGCCTATATTGACACCATGCTCCAGTCCGGGCACAACCTCGAATGCTTCATCGAGGGTGGCAGGTCCAGGACCGGGAAGCTGCTACCACCTAAGTTTGGCATCCTGAGCTTCATCCTCGACAGCATAATGTCTGCCCGTGTTGAAGACGCCATCATCTGCCCTGTCAGCATACAGTATGACAAGGTCATCGAGACCGAGGGCTACGTCACCGAGCTCCTCGGCGTCCCCAAGAAGAAGGAGAACTTGGCCGATTTCCTGACCGGGGGTTCATCTGTGTTATCATTGCGTCTCGGTAGGGTGGACGTGCGATTTCATGAACCTTGGAGTCTCAGGGGCTTTATCGACGAGCAGATCGCACGGCTCTCCAAAGTCCCATCCGGCGTCAACATCGACTGGAAAGACACCGATAACGCCGTCGTGCGGCAGAAGCTCTTGCGCACGCTCGGGTATAAGGTGTTGTCCGACATTAATGACGTCTCCGTGGTGATGCCCACGGCCCTGATCGGCACCGTGCTCCTCACGCTCAGGGGCCGTGGAGTCGGAAGGGCGGAGCTGGTCAGGAGAGTGGAATGGCTGACCCACCGAATCCAAGCAAAGGGCGGGAGAGTCGCGCACTTTGGCAATGCCCCCTTAACCGACGTCATCGAGCGCGGGCTCGACGTGCTCGGCAAGGATCTCGTGCGTGTCTTGCATGATGTTGCCGAGCCGACTTACTTCGCCGTCGACCGCTTCCAGCTCTCATTTTACCGCAACATGACCATCCACCTCTTCATCTCGGAGGCCCTCGTCGCCACCGCCTTATACACCAGGGTTAAGCTCGGGGGTGGAGCCGCAATCCAAGACATCTCGTACGAGGACTTGGTCGAGCAGACCCTGTTCCTCTCCTCGCTGTTCCGCGGCGAATTTATCTTTTCCGGCGAGGGCCTGACGACCAATCTCAACAAGACCCTGGCCGGGCTCGAGGCCGATAACGTGATCCGCACCCAGAGGGACGACGAGGGCAAGATCGCGAAGGTCGGCCTGTCAGACGCCGAGAGGGCGGCAGGGAGAGAGAACTACGACTTTTACTGCTTCCTCATCTGGCCCTTCATCGAGTCGAGCTGGCTTGCTGCCGTGTCCCTGATGGGTCTCACGCCGCCTCTCGGCTCCGAGGCCGATATCTGGATCCAGGTTTCCGAGGCACAGAACAGTGCCCAGCTGGTAATTATTGGCCCCTCCCCCTTTTCCTTCCGTATCGCCGGCGCAGCGTCGTCCCCGATCGATCACTAACGAAACCCACACCCTCCACAACAGCTAGGCAAAACCCTCTACCACCAAGGCGACCTCAGCTACTTCGAGGCGGTCAACAAGGAGACGCTGAAGAACTCGTACCAGCGCTTCGAGGAGGAGGGCATCATCCAGGTGGTCAAGTCCAAGGACGCGAAGGTGCCGCCGCGCCTGCGCCTGGCGCCCGAGTGGACGCCGGCCCGCGACCCGGCGACGGGCGCCCTGATGGCGTCGGGCCGGCTGTGGGACTTCACCGAGAAGACGGCGTCGAGCCGCCGCGAGGGCAAGAACCGCCGCGACGGCGCCACCGTCAGCACGCGCGTGCTCGGGCTGACGGATGCGCTGGGCAGGAGGCTGTTTGACGAGGCGGTGCGGCCGGCGGACGGCAAGGGGAAGGGGAAGGGTGCGGCCGCGCCGCCGAGGCTGAGCTCGGAGGAGGAGAGGAGCTTGCAGAGGGCGGTTAAGGAGGAGAGGAAGAGGCGGAGGTTGGACAATAGGGCGCACTTGTGAGTGCGATGTATTGTGTTAGGGTTTGTATTATGGTTTGTCCCCTCGCGGGGAGGGATGTACATCTACAATACACTTGAGCGGGATACCAAATTTAGCACGATTGACTATGTTCCCTTTCCCTTAGCCACAGCCTCAGTTGTTCAGGACTAGTAACCCATGCTCCATCAAAACACATCCCACAGGCTAACCTTCCCATCCTTGCTCCCAACAGCAAGCCAATGCGCTGTCCCAACCTGCTGAACGCGTCTATCTCTAGCAGTAACCTCGACCATCCTCGGGACGACGACGGCGACGTCTCCCCCGCCACCACCACCATCCCGGGGGACGTCCTCCTCCTCCTCCTCCTCCTGCCCCGCCGCCCGACTCAGCGACCGCGACTGCGACCGTGGCGGCGGCGGAGGGGCCTCCTCCGGGCCGCCGCCGACGATCACGTCGGAAAAAGCGGCGGCGTAGCACCCGACGCGGTGCCAGCCGAGCACGGCGACCTCCCTCATGGAGCGCGCCGAGTAGACGCGGGCGCGCGAGTCCCAGCCCGCGGTGGCGAGGACGCGCCCGTCGGACCGCACGCGCAGGCCCTGCTGGCCGGCGTGACGCGTGTCGACGACCTTGAGGGGCTGGGTCTGCATGTCCGGCACCGGCGGCGTCGCTGGGGTTGCGGGCTGGGGCGCTGGGGGTGCGGTTGTTGGGGGGCTCGGGTTAGTGGCAGGGGTTGGGATTGGGGTGGCTTGTTGGGGGAGCTGGGGTATCGGGTGTCGGGCGAGAATGGCGTCGGCTCCGGACGTGAAGAAGGAGGTTTTGTCTGGGGTCACGTCCAGGGAGAGGATCGGTTGGGTGTGGACCTGGGCCCGGTAGGTCAGCTCCCACTTGCCCTGGTTGTTGAGCTGGGCCACGACCGCGAGGCCGTTCTCGTAGGCGGCCGCTAGGACAAGCTCGTGTTGGCGGTGGAACAAAGAGACGGCCATGACCATGCCGTTCTTATCCCCGGGCGGCCTGATTGTGTGGATGCGCTTCTGGGAGGGAAGATGGTAGATGTCGATCTGTGGCGCATGCGCGGGTCAGAATCAGCTATACGCACCGGGACGAAGAACAGTGGACAGAATATGGTCTCTCACGGCTTCCGAAGCAAGGGTGTTCGGGACCGAGATTAGTAAGTCGGTTGGCTCGGTTGACGAAGGACATGAGGAGAAGGAGCAAAAGTTCATGGTGTTGATCTCCAGAATGTGAAGGATCCATGGTTGAGGCCGCTCCTGGTGAGCCGGTTCAAGAGGCAAGACTGTGCTCAGTGAAGCCTCATCCTGTGCCCCAAGTTTCCAGACAACCAACCGGTTGTCTCTACCATGTCTATAGAGATACACTTAGCAGACTAATTCAAACATACAGATCGAACAATAGTGTGCCTCCCAGGCAACCTACGTGATTATCCTGTCCTCACCCCATCCTGCAATGCCAAGGATAGCGTTGGAATGGGCATGCCAGATCGCTCGGGGCCTCATGATGGTGAGATCCCAGGCGATGACGAAGCCGTCGGCATCACCCGTGACAAGGCGCGCATTGCGCCTGATGAATGTTGCCACATGGACCTGGACTTTGTGCCCTCTCAAGACAGATTTTGGCTGCAATGGCCGCCCACTGTTGCTGTTGGTGGTGGCCATTAGCCTCCGACTCGCAGGCAGGCCTTGACTTGGCTTTTGCAATTAATAGTGGGTAAGAGAGACTCCAAATCGCCAGTTGCGGTCAATGTCTAGAACAAATCCCGTCAAAAGTTGCCCTGGAATTTAAGGTAACTTGGCCCGGCCTTACGGTTCGATTGCGGAGCAATGGTTTCGGTGTGGAGAAACCCTCCGATCAGATCGGGTAGCTTAAACGGAGACGCACATCTTTCAAGAGACCAGATTTACTCCCGTCTCTGGACATCCGAGACAACGGCTCCTTACGCCGAACCGGGCATGGCGGGCTGCATCAATTACACATGAGCATTCAATGAAAACCCCACCTCTCGATTTGAGACTCACTGAGTACTTCAGTCCGCATAATGGACCTGCCCGGGCAGTTATCAACTACCTACCTACAGTACGAGGGTTCCTAGGCAGAGCATCACGACAACGATGCTCGGAGGGATACGTTGTGCCGGGCAGTAATAGTGCGAACAAGTTGGAGCGCATGGACACACCAGCTGAGGGAGGTTGAAGTCCATCGAGCCGGGCAGTTTGCTGATTGCATATCACGATGGGAAAGCCTTGTCTTACCTGTCGCGGAAGGAATGTACTTAGTTTGTACGGGTCTGGACTCTAACCGACCGAGACAGTACCTATTTGACTCGACTCAGCCGTCGGGTCGACCAAATGCCGGTACGTCAAGAACCCGATCTGTCTCGACCTGCCAAGACCTAGCCTCTCTTATTACAGTTGCCCAGGGACTCAAGACAAGCCAAGCGATCCAGAGTAGATCAACAAAACGAAACGAAACACGGGTAGTAATTCTCCGCGATGTTGCCCCACTGGGCTTGATTGCTAGGTAGCTTTCCGATTTCCATTCTCTCAGGCTGGAATGGGCGATGACTGCTGTTGCCTTTTGGAGGCTCTTGTCATTGGCCACTCCGTTTGGAATGGGGCATGTGGTACCTCTTGTTGAGTGCCATTTACAAGCCTGCCGAGTGTTCAATCAAATGGTTTGCGAAAAAGAACCTCCAGGGCTGGCTGTTTCTTCTTTTGATGGGACGATACGTGCCGAGGAAGGTACGTACTGTAAACTGTTCATGGCTGTGGCGATCAAACCGCTCCGAATGACATGACACACCGAAGGGCCGAATTTGAATTTAAGATTTCTGGAAGCAGCTTGGAAGAAGCAGAAACAAGCTCAGGTGCGTTGAACTTCGTGAGCCCCCTCTACTGCGTAACATGGAACTGGACGCTTCCATGATTCCGTCACCCCCTCGATTATCAGCAGCTTGAGCCGATGCAGGGTTGTTCCCCCTTGTGCCCCTCGCAGCTGAAATGTGTGGCGCCGGCCTAGCCAGAGCCAGACCCTGTCGGACTAGACCCCTGGAAGATCCACCAGCCCAGCAGTGGCTTGACCAGTAATAATCCGTAAGCAGTTGGGAAGGTAGGTACCAAGGTTAAGCAGGCTCCAATTCGCGTCTCGCCATTGCCTTCACGAACGTAAATCAGGCCGCAGTGTGTTTGTTGCTTTGGCAGCCGAACGGATGATCCCGATCTCTACACAGTGTATGTGTGTGCATGTGTGGATGCTTCGGACCTGAAGTTGCACATCCCGAGCGGCGCAGGAGAATCAGGCCCTCTAATAAGATTCTTACCTACCTCCCTAGCCTAGGTAGCTTTCTAGACTGGAAGCAGTGACATCCGTGGTATCAAAAAAGAAAACTGCCAATTCCCCCACATCCACCACATCCACATCCACACCCACAATCCGCGCGCCACGACTAGTCCTTTCCCAGCTCCCGGTCTGCTCTGCCCTCTCTCTGTCTTTGTCCCTCGACAAACCCTCCTTTCCATCTGAGCATTGTCAGGACCGGCCTGCTCGCCAACTCTTGCTGCGCATCTGCCGACCTTTTCAGACACTCATGCTTCGAAAGCGCAAAACCGGCGTATCAGCTCTCGGTCCGCTTTCATCCCGCCAACGGTTTCCTACAGTGCACCCATCTTCTCCCCTGCCCTCTGGCGCCATTGTATCACCCACAGCTAGATTGGATCCCCGTGCCTGGCCCCGGCATCTCCGGCTCCTCTTGCCGGCCGCTCCGGTTTTGTTGTTATCTGCTCATTTTACCAATACATCGTCATCGTGCCTAGGTACCGAGAGGCATTAAACCCCGGCCGTGACCCTGGCGGCTTACGAGGCTCCCCGCGCCGTCGTCCGGGACTTCGGTTCCGGGATGATGAGTGCGCCCCACCACCCGCATCCTCACTCCCGGCTCGAACTACCTGGCTCTGGTGCTCCATCATCTCTCCCCAACCCCTATGCTCAATATGAAGAGCCGTCGCCTCCGTATACTACCATGGGCAGTGATTGTCCCCCGGATCAGTTTGAAATCCCTCCATCTAAGCGCCAAAGGCTATCCGTCGCAAGTGCCACTGACGGTGACGATCAACGCCATCATGTCGGAGGCTCGCACTCTGCTTCAACTGCCACAGGCGCCAGCAGGGCTGATCCGCCCTCGGAGGGACCCCCACGTGAGGCGTCGGGCAGAGGGGACACGGGAACGGCCAGCTCGACAAGGGCGCCTCCACCAGCCCCTACGACGGCCAAATCCAAGAGAGTACGGACAGGCTGCCTGACCTGCCGGGAACGACATCTTAAGTGCGACGAGGGGGTACCGGACTGCCTCAATTGCCGCAAGAGTAATCGCGAGTGCAAGCGTGGTGTGCGCCTCAACTTCATCGATGTGCAGGTCAAGGATCCGCCCTACGTGCCACCGACGCTCGAGTGGTCGGGTGCGTCACCTTATTTCTCTTGCCTCTTTGGTCCTTTGGCCTCCACCAAGCCCTGCAGCGGCGCTGGGAACCCACTGACAGTGCCCCTGATCTAGTGCAATTCCAGGATGAGTCCCGACTGATTGCGTCCGAGTATCGAGGTGGACTGGGGCGTTACGCTCCTTTTGACCAGGTAAACATGACGCCACCACGGGAGATGGATGTCGACGCAGTCTTACGGCAACAGCAGAGGACCTCCGGTAACCCCGAGTTTGCATCGCCGTTCAGCACCAGCAGCAAGAGTGTTGACCCACCGGGGTCGCAAGGAATGTTCTATCCTGGCAACGGGAGGCCTGGGCAAGGCGAGCAATTAGGTTATGGCGAAGCCCACATGGCACAGATGCGCGAACTGCACTCGCGGAGGAACAGTGAAGCCTTCCTCGCAACCGGACAGCAAAGCCAGCCGGCGCAACAGACGACGAGCTCGTCTGGAGGGTTCTCTCTTGCGGCGTTACAGGAGCGATTCCCCTCGAAAGACGATGGTCTGCGGCGCAATCATGCCTACCGAATCAGCGACGTGTCGAGCGTGACCTCGACTCTCGTGCCTCGGAGCGCTAGCAACTTCCCGTCCGGTCTAGCCTCAGGACAGCTCCAGGGCTCTCATGAATCGCTCATGACCCCTCCAGGCGATAAGACAGCAGTGGGCGAGCGCGACTATCTGAGCTCGGACGAGGAGATTCACTACATGCAGGTCTTCGTAAACGACGTGGCCATCTGGATGGACAGCTTCGATAAGGACAAGCATTTCAGCCGCGTGATTCCCTACCTTGCCTTGAAGTCGCCCATGCTCCTCAACGCGTTTCTGGCTTGCGGGGTGAAGCACCTAACATTGGTCGACAAAACGTACAACGATGACAGGGCATTATTCTACTACGACACAGCCACGACACAACTGCTTCGAAACCTGCAGAACCCGGACCGCAACATGGCCGAGTGTGCAACAACGGCGGTGGTATTGAACGTGTACGAGATCATGAGCGAGAAGCCGACACAGCGGATGAGCCACATAGCCGGCGCCAGGGCCCTCATAAGGGAGTGTGGCTGGGACGCGAGGAGCCCCGGAATTGGGGCCGCATGTTTCTGGTTGAATATCGGGATGGAGGTGCTCAGCTGCTTGGCCTTCAACTGGCAGACCGCGTGGGAGCCGGACCAGTGGGGCCTCGACCTAAACTTTGCGGCCTGGGGCAGCGGAGAGGGAGACGGCCGGGCCGGGGCTGGAAGTGATGGCAGTGGGGGCGGCAACTTGGGCGGCACCAACAGCCTAGGAGGCGGTGGCGAGGAGGAGGTCTGGGTCCATCGAATCTTCTACATCGTGGCCAAGATCGCCAACTTTCGGGCCAACATTCCGCGCTTCCAGGAGCCATCGCCGCACAACGAGCATGCCCGCCATCAGAGCCGCTTCGCAGAGTGGAAACGTCTCAGGGCCATGTGTGACTCGTGGGACACCAACTGCCCACGGCCCATGCACCCATTCGGCTACGCTCACAGGTCGTCGAGCAAGTCGCTGTTTCCGAATATTTGGTGAGTATCCATCCATCCGATGCTGGGCGGGGGGGGGGGGGGGGGGGGGGGGGGGGGGGGGGGGGGGGGGGGGGGGGGGGGGGGGGGGGGGGGGGGGGGGGGGGGGGC